CAGTCCCCGATCCATCCCTGCTAGTTGGATTCGAGGCCCAGCAGCAGCGGTCCGGTTGCCCAGTATATTGGGAGAGTAAGTTTCAGGGACGCTGCAGTGGGATCGTCTGCTCGTCACGCCAACAGTCACTGGTTGGTTTCGGCCCCGTCTGCTCGTCAACTTCCGTGGCGTGGGTTGCCTTCCAATTGTGAACGGACGTGTTGAGGGAACGCAGCCGTTGACATGCACACAACAGGTCCCTGTCAACGTCTTGTTGCATACTAATTTCCCCGATTAGTTGCTTTTACTTGTGACTGCAGATCGGGGTGGGAATGAAAGGAATGAAAGCAGTCCTACGCCACCAACCTTTGCTGTTACCGTGGTGGACGCCACCTTCTGCTCGCTCAGGTTTCCACGAATGTTCTACGATCGCCGCCACGTGCTGGGAACTCGACATGCTTCTACTGATTTCGGCAAGATGTGGCTGCAATTGATCGCACCACACCACGGTTGCAAGAAAACCGAACGACGCGCAAAGAGCCATCGGACCCAATCCATACAGTAGCGTTAACCGGATGACAACGCCCCGCCGCCCTCCTTCCACAGCAGCCTTCACTTTTCAGATGACGAGATTCATGGAAGGCTGTTTCATGCCTCGTACAGGAAAAAAGATTGGACAACAGCAGGAGCTGCATTGGCGACTTTTGCCCAGCAGAGAACTGGCGAAGGAAACCTGGCTTCTGCTGAGTCCCCGGATCTGCCTGGGTCGCAAGCGTCAGGCTCTCGCCGAAGATCCCATTTTGGACGATGTGAGCCACACTTCGTACCGATTGGACTCTGCGCAGCCCAGCGTCTGCGTTGGGACAATATGATGGAGTCGAGCTTCGAGGAAATTAGCATTCTCACTCCGCTCCATCCGAAGAGCTAGCGCGGTTAACCCCGTACCTTCGGTTTTCTCTGGCTCATGTGCTCAGCTACGAACAGTCGAACAGTCTGATACTCTCGGCACTTTTCTTTACTTGGAGGATGGGTCCTAGTTCAACGAGGCATCGCGCCGTATCTCACCTTGAATTCGCGCCGCCACCAGCTGAGATTTTAGCTTAGCATCGTGACGATCTGGTCCTGTCACTTTGATGGTTCGCTTCTTGGCAATGGCGGCAATTTCTGTCCCCTGTTACAGTGTAAGTAAGAGTGTTACAGCAGTGACTACGCCATCGCCATCTCCTCCTCATCGTACGTCCGGACACTGACCGTACACTACACGTGCAATTAGTTCCCTTCAGGGGTGCTTGTCGTACGCTATCGCCTCTTCGGCATCGTGCAGTCCCGCGGTTTTGGTTGACCCCTCCCTGCAACGCCCAATGGCGTCTAGGCAGCCAGGAACGCCATGCCGGTCGACATCAGACAGGGCGATGGTCATGCGAGCTCTGGCAAAGAGGCCAACCTTCCTATGCTCAAGCCCCACCTCGTCAGCTCTTACGTTCGAAGTTCTGGCACAGTCCTACTCTCGGCCATGGCTCACCGCTCGGCTAGACTGATTAAACACGTAGCTGGTGAGGTTGAGACGGGCAGGACCGACTTCACTTCCTCAGACGGGCCATGTCGTTTCACGAGCACCTACTGTATTTGATTGGGTGCCGGTTGCGCAGTCAAAATATTGGTGCCTCATCGAAACCCGAGATCGAAGTGGAATTAGTGTTCCTTTTCCGCATTTCTTGCTTCGAATGCAGACGCAACTGAGCCTTCCAACTCACTCTCCCTTCCCCGCTCTTCCGTATGCCGAGAAAAGACTTAAGGTACGGATACGTTAAGGTGCCGTCTTCGAGTCGTTGCGAATCTAAAACTTGATGGCGCATCGCACGACCGCTGCCTGGGAGAGAAGGCCTGGATTGTTTAATTTCCCAGCCTGCAGATCTTCGGACTTTACACCACGATTTACTGATGAGACTGTCTGAGCGTTTTTCCCTTCTTCCCAAATTATTATGAGGCTCAAAATCGAACGAAGGGGCGGGAGATCAACAGCTTCCTCAGTGCTGATTGGAGCAGTTGGTTCGCCCAGAGTGTCGGTGAACTACTTGACCCTACAGAGTGCTACAGCCTGCGAGGGACAATCTTTCCGGTTGGGACTTAGAGTGACGTCTACCGGCCGCACTCTCTATTCAAGTAGATTGGCGTTTTCGGAAGAAACCGAGAAACTCCAACTTCCATTTGGAGCTGCGAAGGCTAGATAGGGAGACAGAGAGTATGGGAGTGATCAAGCGAAGTCTGTGTAAGGTACACTAACTACAACACACAATGAGCCGCGACAGCGAACAGCAATCCTTCAATCTGGAGCAGGCAGGAGCAGGTCAGACTACTGCTAGCAAGTCGATGGGACCGACAACGTTTGTCAATTGTAATCAGATGACGCTCGGCTCCCTCCAATAGTTGCTGTGCAACACACTTGACAAGCGGCCAATGGAAGGCAACGGAGACAAGTCCTGCAGTTATCAGTGCATCCGCTCAATGTTGGGTATACAGGTCGAATGTTCCTCGTCCCTTCCTTCCCCTGATACTGATATGTGCGGAGTAATTGTATATACCCTAGTATTGCATACCTAGGTACTTGTATGTACATACATACCTTACCTTCCTCTCACTCTACGGACCCCGGCTCATCGATGGGTTCCATGACGTGAAGGCGTGCAGACCGATCGCCAACACGTTCGTTCTCTGCTCCAGTTGTCAACGCGAGGTGACAGAGTGCTAGGCTGTTTCTTGAAGATCAGAGAAGTGAATGTGATTGTGGACAACAAAACCTTCGTGCATACGAAACTAACTATCTGTACTTGTACGGATTCATACTGTGGAGGCTTATATGTAAGGTACCGTATGTATTGTACAATGGATATCAAGCAACGGTAAGGTACTGTACTGTAAGTAATCCGTACAGGGTACATACATACATACATACCGATACAAGCACAAACACCTATACGTAAGGTACTTTGTAAATACTTGGTATATTGAACCTGAATCATGCCAGCGGGAGTGATCATCGCGTGTCACAGCAGGTTGATCCAAGGGTCTGGATATTGTGCCTGGTTGCGTGGGGGTCTGTGCGAAACCTTCTACGGGCCCGACTCTCCAATCCCACGGTCTCGGATACATTCCCAGCCAGATTTTGGGATCAAACACCCCGGCCCCCACTATCCGTCCACTACTTTCTTGTGTAACGCTTCCATGCCCGCCCCCGGATGCAGTAGCTCGAGACCAGGTACACCGTTTCGCGGCCAACCTAAAGAGCAAGTCGCCTGGCTGGGGGATCTAGCGGGCCGAGCGCCTGGAATGTCCCGGTCTCCTGCCCATCTACGTGTAAAAAATCACCCCTGCCACCAAGTATCCTGTACAGTACATAGAGCAACTAACGTTAGGGCTAGGTATTGCCAAGCTGCTAGCCTGTCAAGGTAGTGTATTGTACGATACAGTGCCGCCCCGAAGTCATCCAAGATACGTATTCCTGACTAACGAGGCTTACTGGGGCGCGTGCTCCGAGGGAAATACCCATGTTTCGACTAGGGCCAAGTCAGAATTTGCTAGCAGCACCAAACAGCTGCCGAACAGTACGCCCGTATTACACATGTAGAGTGATGACGGCCTCGCGTGCTGCCCTGGTCCGTCGTATCGGCGGAGCCTCACACGGCTCTGTGTTGGAGATACAGGACCCTCCCACGGATAGTTAAAAAGTCTCTCCAGAAGGGTACATGGGATCTGGAAACGCATACCAGAAGAAGAGTGCAGCCATGCACATGTGTCAGAGTGGGCAGCTCCAACTAATGTCTGGTCCAATCCTCCCGAGAAGTGGGCCCCGCTCTAATCTTTCGTCCAATCTTCTCCAGATAGTGGGCCCCGTTCCATGACTTTTGCCGGTTTCCACGAATCCTGTAAAATGACTGTGAGATTCTCCTTATCCCACAACCCGTGAGAGCTTCTCCAGTCAGCTTCCAAGATGCGGGCCAATCGCGCCCAAACACTCATGCAGTTGTAACCCTGCACCTGCGCCGTTCACTCTTTTGACCCGTCCGCTCCCTGTCGAGCGCTCGGGTTTGCTTGATGGCACGGAACCGGAGCATACAAGTATATACCTCCTAGGGTCAGGCCGTCAAGCTGCATGGATGACTGACTGCACAGTCAGTTGCAAAGTACCGTCAGGTATTTCAGTTGTACGGTTCTTCTGCACCTATGAAATCCAGCCTCACTAGGCAGACCGGCCCGGTGCTTGTCCGGTTTGGGAAGTTCAGCTTTGTTCATTAGCCGTCGCGGGGTGGTGAGTAGTACCTTGATCCCGTGTCTTGCGGCGAAGTAGTACCTTGATCCCGTGTCTTGCGGCGAAGTAGTACCTTGATCCCATGTCTTGCGGCGAAGTAGTACCTTGATCTCATGTCTTGCGGCGAAGTAGTACCTTGATCTCATGTCTCGCGGCGACCAGGAAAGGAGGATCCGACGAATAGTTACACACTTCTAAGTTCGTTTGTTTCGGGCGGATATTCCACGCCATTGCAAGGGCCGTGGAGGATATAAACTTCAAGTATATATATCTCTAGCATATCTTCATGCATGCGTGTTGTATACCACCACTCAACCAAAAAGATATCACGCGCAGTCTGCCTTTCCCCGTCTCAGATTCCGCAGTTCTGTATTCCTCAGAAGCTATCAGCAACACACAGACAGCTTGGCCATAGGACGAAATGCCAACCCTCTCCAAGCCAACCCGTCTTCCATGCCGGTGCGAACTCGGCCATTGCCCCCCATCAGCGAGCTCGGACAAACCGGGTCACTGCCCTGAGGTACCCGATGGCGAAGACAATCCATGCATGCTCTCTCTTCCCTTGTTCACCACGACCGACGACTTCTGGCAGCACTACTACCCAACCACATTCGACCACAATGATCTGCCCCCGGCTGAGAGCCGTGAGGGTCATGTCCGTCAGCCGTCCGGCATGTCCCGCGCCAAGCTTTCGCGCCTCTCGTCCCGCCCCTACTCGCTCCGTGTCGCCGACCCTTCCGACTTCGCCCATGTCTGGGAAACGTCATTGGTTTCCCTCCTGACCAAAGTCTTCCAGCAGCACTGCATGTCCGACTATGCAGTAGACGTGCACAACTTCCCAGAATTGTCGAATGACTCGGTGCCTCGCGTGATTTACGTCACCCTGCCTGACAACACGGCCGCCGACGTGGCCCACCAGCTGGAGCAGACCATCCGCTCAGAGGTGGCGCGCGCCGTGCCGTCCCGGTTCAGCCCGCTTTACCTTCGGTTTCGCAAGGGGAGTCTGCAGCGATCGACTCAACCGAGCAGTAGCAAGGCAAGCCGCGGCTGGTGGGGAGAGAAGGAGAAGGGCGAACGGGACCACGTGTGCCCGCCGAAAAACGCCAGCTACCAGGCGACTCCTGTCATGGGCATGTCCATCGGCCCCGCGCATGTTTGTGTGGCTGCGTCGCTAGGCGGCTTCGTCAGGGTCGGCTCCGAGTTGTACGCCATGAGCGCTTTCCACGCCTTTGAGTCCTCGCTCCAGACTTGCCATCTGCGGGTATGCCACCCGGCAGACCCAGACTTGCCAGGGATTGTGTCCGAAAATCCCCGCGTGAGACCATACAGCATCGGCAACCTCGCCATGTGGGCGCCTCAGGGCACGCTACGGCCGTCGCTAATATTTCAGGGGACCAACCTCCCCGAAGACTCGACCATGGTGGAGATGGACTGGTGCTTGATCGGACCCGCTGCTGAAGGGAGAAATTTTGTTCCAGTGCCTAGCTTCCAAATGAACCGCGTCGTTGCAGTTCAGAGCACGGCGGCCGTGGAAGGCAATACCGAGGTGTATGCTATGGCACGCACCAGCGGCTACTCCCTCGGCTTCACGTCCGACACACCCGGCTTGCTGAGGTATAGCGGTCGCCTGCAGCGGGAGTGGACGGTCCGGCAGTACTCACCTTTCAAGCGCCCCAAGGAAAGCGTGGTGAGCGCGCCATGGCAGACGCTGAAGCAGTGGGTAACGAGCGGAATCGGCGTTCCTGGAGACTCGGGCGCTTGGTTGGTGCGGCGCCCCGATAATGCACTCATAGGGTTCATTTGGGGGCGCAACCACGACTGCGGTAACCCCCTGGAGCGAGTCAGGCTGACATACTTTACGCCCATGATCGACATTCTGGCCGATATAAAGCAGAACCACACGACCGAAGAAGAGGTAGCGCTGCCGGCCTACTCAACGAGGGATTTGGGACGCGTCCCTGAGGTGCGCCATCCGCGGGAAGCGGTGCAGCGCGATATGTCCCAGGACCCATGTAAGAAAGCAATTTGAGCCAAAGTTTCATCTTCGGTTATCGTTTGCAGAGCCAGCGTACGACTTCTGGGAAACGCTGTGATCTTGGCTTTTGGCGAGATGCGCTACATATGGTGTATATGACTGACACTGCTGACAGGGAGCGTCCTCGGAAGCAGCGCAATCCAGGAGAATCGCCGCGTTGAGGCACATCTGATCCGGAGCCACTTTGTGGGTGGAGGAGTGCCGGCGTCCGGCACCATACTCCACTATCGTCAGGGAATCGATGCCCACCAAGCGCCCACTTCGTCTTTCGGCGGAGAGGACTCAACAACCGGTTTGCCGGACCTCATTGAAAGCGTCGCTGCCGGAGCTGCTGGGCAGACGACTCCTCCACGCAGCGAAGGTGACGGTTCTGTGTCGAGATTGGGCTCCCAAGGAGAGCTGTTGCTAGGCATGGGACTCGGCGTCAGCAACGACCCGTCTCTGCCAGAATTGTCCGCTTCATCGTCGATCCGCTCCGGCACCAGTCTGGCCGACGAAACATGCGAAGAGGCGTCCAGGGAGAATGGTGTCCGTATTGCTGATGAAGGGGACATAGAGGATAACGCCACGGCCATTGTGGACGAGCCAATCCGTTCTAAAGCGTGCTTTCCACCAGCGTTTTTCTGGTTTCGAAACCATGGTGTCTATCCCGAAGGCACACGGACGTGGCCTAACATGTAGGATGCGAGGATGCCTTTCCCGCCAACCTCTTGCCTCTCTGTCGAATGTTCTGGAATGGGAAGGTCGATCGGTGGACGATGGCGGCGAGGTGGACGGTTCAACAGACGATAGCTTCCCCGAGTGTCGATATCGCTACGCATTCGGGCGAGCGGTCAGGATCGGTGGTATGATGCTAGGGGTGCCTTTCTATGCACCACAAAGAGCATGTTCGCAGCCTGGATGCACGTTCCATGCTCAGAAGTCATGGCCCCATAGGCTTTCTATAACGAGACTAGATGTCATCTTCGGTTGGTAACGGATTTGCAACATGGTCGAATGTTGTCGGGCGCCCACATGGTGTACCAGCCGCGTGTTGATGGAGTTGAATGGTTCAACATTATCATTCGGCGGCACTCGTGTCGTGGAAGTTCGTGGTGCAGTGTAACACTAGCGTAGTATCCATTTGAGCCTCTGAATATTTTGGGTTAGTGCGTTTGCCTTACCCCCCACTTCTCCACTTGAAATTACAACCCTTCGTCTCATTGGTGTAAATACACTAGAAAGGCGCCCCCGCTGAGATCGTGCATCAGCCTTGGAGGCAGCCACGAGGGTGACATCGTTCAAACCTGAACATGTAGTTCGCACGTTCTCCAAGATGCCGCTTCGAACGGGCATAGAAACCCCGAATGACGTAAGATGCGGATGAACACACCGAGGTTGGTTCAAGGATGACTTCTGCACTGTTTTAGGATTGACATGGACGTTAGCGGTGTGTGATTGAGGCTTTGGCGGTTAGACAACCTACCCTAGGTCATGTTGCGAGCCTTGCCCATTGGTGTCACCCCCCTTTGTAGTGTAGGGCTGATCAGTGACGACGGTTTAACAACGTTGGAGCGATTGCCAATTGGCTCATGGCACATGAGCACAGCGACATACCATCCTACGCGACGACTGCTGCCTTGGACATTTCAGCACAAGATGTGCATCGGCCGCGTGATTTAAGCCAGCCCAGCCGGCGAGATTCGAGCAGACTCAGCAGAGGCGGAGTCATATGAGGTATATCCTCGTAAGCCATAAGACATTGGCAAACGTACCTAATGATGGTAATACGATGCCTCCGTCGCTCTTTGAAAGGCATTCCTTACCACCAAATTAGGCAGAACGGCGGCCGAGGCATAAACTTGAGCTTGGAAATTCGGCCCTCAAATTCCCCGAGCCTTCTTGGGCTTCTCCCAAGCCTTTATCGATCCGGGCTAAGGGCGGGGGTAAAGGAAACCGGAGGCCCGTGTTCAATGCCGTTGGAACGGTTCGTGCAAAGCATCAACGCTCACCGAGCCATGGTTAACTCCTGCCGTGTTCGAGCCAACGGCGCCAACAAGTGCCGGCAAGGCAACCAAATGGCGCAGAATATTGCCCGGTATGATACTGTGACGGTATCTCCGACTCCCGTTGCAAGCGGGTGCCGCTGCAAGCCTACAACAGCCAGTCAGCCACGGAGGGCCGGCGTGGCTTGTAGGCCATTTCCTCGGTCACAAGTTTTGGAAGAGGCGTTGTTTAGTTCAGAGCCCCTGATAATCCGGCTTTGGCTCAGGTTTCCTAAGGCTTAGGTTGCGTTTCTGGTCGATAAGCCAGAAGGTTTCACCTCTCGTAGGACACGTCCAGGAAGTAGAATTGAAGATAGAATTCTAGACAAGTTTGAGTTACTCAGCCAGTCATTGAAAAACATGAAAAAGACTTGAGTGTTGCAAGCAAGGTTCGGTGCCTAAAAGAGGAGTCAGCACCCGCCATTACTAATGGCTGCACTAGCTCGACTCGACGACGTGAAGTGAGCAGGTTATCAAGGTGGGTATGTACGTAGGTAATCTTCTGCGCTGAAAGGAGGCATCGATTACGGATAGCTCCGCGGTCTTTGCCCCTCGTCATGTCGTGGGGGCGGCATTTTCGGTTGGAATATGGGGTTGGACAAGGGGACAACCTGGAAGCTGACATCCAACTTCAAAGCGAGCATACTGTTTACTGTCATAGGTACCTGGGTCGGAGAAGGGCCAGCTGAGCTGCTGCAATGCTCATGCGTGGAAAAGAATAGGGAAAGAACAAGAACTCTGCCAGAAAGCTGTATTTGGAGAAGGAACGAATGGCCGACTGCTGCCACAAGCTATGGTAGCTGATAGCTCTTTACATGAGCTGCGAGCAGTCAAAATACTCTAAGATCCAGCGATTCCTGGGATAAAATACAAATAGGCTCTATACGTGGACCTTCAAGCAGGATGAAGCAGGGAGGACTAGATGTTCTACTAAGGGAGAAGGCCACTTGTTGTTTGAAAGTTGGCGCTCAGGCAGCAGGCGGTCATCAAAAAGAACATATAGATAAATGGAGGTATGGCATGGTAGATTACCGGAGACAGTGTATGCGGAAGACCAATAATAGTCTTAAGACTCAAAGGTACCTTCAATCCTCAATAAGCTGATGGTGGCAGTTGCCAGACTTATAGGACATGACTCCATGAATTGCAGAACTTAAGATGCGGAGGAAGTCTTCTATAACTGTAAACCGCAAGATAGAATTTGTACATTGATTTTTGATCTCAGATCATTAGTGCCAGTGATGCACACGACTGTCCTGGACGTGTCCATTCTGGGTTCAACCGTTGTACTCCTGCTCCTACTGAGTACCACAACATCTAGTCTTGATCCTTCAGATGAGCAAACTGGCATCTGTTTAATAGGAGCACGGCACGTTTCCAACACAATTGTTTACCTACGCAGACCAAAAAGGCTCGGAGGAGGGTGACACGCAGACCTACTGAATTCCAGACTTGACCTTAACAACATCGCGTAGCATCCAGTCGTGCTATAGTGCTGCTGACAATCAGCCCAATACTTCTGCCTCCAGGTTCTGCCAAACCGGCTCGCCCGGCCACAATTTCCCTAGGTATAGAGCCTGCTCCTTCCGCCCGTGTCGATTTTCCAGGAACTCTGCATTTGATTAGACAAAGGAAAATTTAGCAGCCGGATTGTGTTTCCATAACGCTCATCTAGCTAAGATCCTGGCCGTAGTTTTGCATCTGGTAGCGTTTCCGCGATGTATCCCGCAAATGGGTTCAAAGCCATGATCCGCGGTCCCATGCTCGTTCAGTGCTCAGCATAGAATTTCCTGTGTATTGATCTCGCTCAGGCTACCCTGCAATTCTAGACATTCCTGTTGGCGGCATCGATTTGAAGATGCCAGCTATCCCTGTTGGCAGCACTGGTTACGGCGACTTGCCGGACGCCGCCACATTCAGGCAATGGCGGCGGCGTCCGGCAAGTCGCCGTAATCAGTGCTGTCAACAGGGGTAGCCGGCATTTCCAACTCGAGCTCGACATCGTACTGCGGATTGACTCCGAATTGATGTGTCTCCGAGTCGTACCTGAGCCACTTGCCGTCTTGAGCAGCGATGCGGCAGCCCAACCAGAGCGCCCGCTCCTTCCTCTCCTCCGTCATGGAAAGGACCTCAAAGTACTTCTCGTCATCGTCAATCTTGTCATTTGCAAACCACCCGTTGGGGAAATACTTCTCCACCCAGGGGAAGCCCCGCAGGGCATAATCATCCGGCAAGGGCCTCGTGGCCGATTCGTTTTTGGGGAACTGCTCGCCCTCAATCCGAGCGTACGACTGACATGACCCAATCAACGTATTTAAAAAGAGAGATGTAAGCTTCCACGGAAAGGCCCGAGCCATGTAGACCATGGCCTCTGGGTAAAACGTAAGATGGTAGACGAAGACAAGAGTAACATGAAGGTAAGAAAGGATGTTAGGGTCGCCAAACCGCCGCGAAACAACGTTGTATGTCCCATTGAAGAGATGAAGGGCATCAGCCAGCTCCTTGGGCAAAGCTGGCTCCACACCACTCTCGTGCATGGGCTGGTCCTGCGATTCATCGTTGGGACGAGTTCCCTTGATGGCTTTGAAGATTGGGTTACCCTCAGTCCCATAGCCAATGACAGCGCAGCAATTTGAGATGCCGATAAAGTAGCTGGGTACGTGTTAATGACAATCCCCCCACAAAGTCGAGACGACAGCGCAATTTACATACCCAGACTCAAGCCACCTTCGCGTGGTACGGCCAATATGACTATCAAGATGTTGGAAAAACTCGTTCATCGAGGCTTCTAGCTCTCCCTGCTGCTTGCCGCTGAACAAGATGCCGTGTGCTTTTACGCAAGCGAATTCGGTCGGTGGCAGCCTGGATTGCTGTAGATTTGGGGTTGGTGCCATGATAGGGTCAAAAAGTGTCATGATGCTGTCGCGCGCGGAGGCGAAGGGCATGTCAACACACAGCGACTTCGTATAGTAATAGAGTTGCTGCAGGGCATTAGGACGAGCAAGGATCGCCAAATGGTGGTAGAGCCTCCCGGTTGTAGGGGCCTTGTCGGAGGCCTTGGAGTACCAGTGACGGCTAACAGCTGTCCAAACCTCTCTATCGCGCACATCGTCGTCCTCAATCGCCATACGATACCGGCCGAGGTCCCCCAGGCATTCAATCCAAGTGTCTTCAAAGGCGGGCACCGTCTCGTAAAGGAGAGCCATCATCGAGTATGCCAGGTAGATGAATGTCAGCATGTGATCCAGACTAGCTGGAAGGCGATGCCTCAAGAGTTCGAGAAAGCTGTGGATGCCGTGCCTCCACATACGCGCAGGCATGGCGTATTTGGCAGCAAGTCTTCGCAATGCCGGACTCGCAGAAGGATGCTGGGAGGCTAGAAAGAAGTCGTGATGTTCGTGGAGCAATGTCCGGTGGAGAGCAATCAACGCCTGCCACTGCTCATTGTTGAGCTTGTTTGCGGCATCGTTTTGCGAGCTCTGGGCATTGTCAACCTCGATACACTTGCTCTCCACCATGACGAGTCCCGCGTAGATGCCTTTGACTTCAGCAACAAGTTGTTCCTGAGATATGGGCCTGGTTTCAGGTTGCTTGATAATCTCAATCGGCTCGTCGTCTGCTGAAGCCGGGGGCCAGGGGTCAGACGGCGGAGGCGGATGCGACTGCCGATGGGGTTTAGCTTGCGAACTCGACGAGACACGCTGACGCTGATGGGTTGCTACGTTGGCCTTATCGTATGGGCGGGGCCTTGGCGAAGCAGCGTCATCGTCAGGGCTCCAAAGCTTCCCCTTCTGAAAGGAACCTCTGTCGAACTCGGCACGGCTGTCATCCATAGCTGGGGTGGATGTGGGCCGGGCCTTGGATCGCTTGGGAGGCGAAACACTCCTAGATCGCGAGCCTTCCCGCTTGGCACTCGGGGTGGGGCTGCCAGCCCGGCGCTCCTGGTCCTGGTGCGCTTGTGTGACAAGCCCCGCAGTTCCGGCGTCCGGGTCTCCATGTTTCCTCCGATTTGACGGGCGAGCGGGTGACGACTGAATGCCCTCACCAGCACCAGCCGTCTTGGTGGGTCTCTGACCGGCATCAAAGCTGGAGGCGCCGGGCTTGCTCCCGTCCCTGCTCCTGGTGAGCTGGGGTGACGGCAAGGGCGACGAGGTGAAGGAAACAGAGTAAGAGGTAAAAGGACAAAGTATGAGGAGGAAATAGATGAATAAAAAAACAAAATAAAATAAATTGAACAATCAAAATGAAAAAGGGAGAAGTAGGAAATCAGAAGCGGAAGTGCCGAGAAAAGAGAGAATGTCGAGGAGAAACAGAGGGAAAAAGCGCTGAGATCGACATACCTTTCTCCCGGCGACTGCGCAGCATCCCACTGAGACCGGATCCAGTCCGTTTTTTCCGCTTCCGTGGCCTTTTCAGACAGCAACTGAGCGTGAGTGTCTGAGAGGTGTTTCTGGAAGATTGCCAGCACTGGCTCGAGGCCATTCTGCGAAGACTGGACCTCGCAACCACAGAGAGGACACACAGCCTCGGGTTTTGCCCGTCGTGATTCTCGTCGCAAATGCTCGTTCCACTTCTTGGCAAGGTCCATTTCCTAGATGAAGCGATTCTGAGGCCCGATGACGGCAAGACTCTGCGTAGAGTGCTGCTGCGTGCGGACGTGAACCCCCCAAACGGGAATCACGCATCATCCAAAGACTGCCCAACTGCTAAAGGTCGCCAGGTTGCGCTGAACGAGCGATTTCGGGGGAGCAACAGGGAGAATTGAGATGTGGTGGGGCAACAATCGATTGCTTTGGAACCGACTAGCACCGTCAAAAGTCGATGCGGCTCTGCTCATGGCAAGGGCCTCTTGCAGACTTGCGGAATCTGTGCTTAAGAAGTCTATTTGTCCCTGAACATCGCATGAGCCTCACATACCGTAGAACGACTGGTTCGCGGCGATTTTGCCGTTGTATATATGTACTGAAGCCCTTCAGTCAGATTTCGGTACAGTACACTCAGCAAAGGAGCGGCTAAGGAGACGAGGCAAGTTAGGCAAGTTAGGCAACCAAGCCCTGCGGGGCATGGTTCGCAATGATCGCATTGCAGTTCGCGGACCGCCAAGGAACCCTGTCAGGCTTAGACTAGGTAACTTTGGTACGTACGGTACGTATCCTTGAGCCGCATACTTCCCAGCCTGCATCCTCCCCACTGCAACTGCCCAACTCTTTTCAGGTCTGTCCATCCGTTTTGTGGAATCGGTCAAGTAAACTCGCCATCCTCTATTGCAAGTGGACTCTTGTGTTCCACGCTGTGGGCGTGAGAACTGCAAGCAACGCGCGCATGTATATATGTTGCATGCTCCCAGGACAAGAGAACAATTTTTCCGCCATACTTCGTACGCAAGATGCACTGGGCCGGGAATCCAGTTTTGCCCTGTCGCATCACGGAGTCCACGGAATGCAAACAAAATGTCCCATCAAAACCTGCTTGAATCATCAACATCTTGGGCAAGATTAACCTTCACAGCAGCAATCATCTCTCAGCCCAGCCATCTTTTCCTCAGCCACCCTCGCTTACTAATCCCACCACCCCTGCGGCGATCTCTGCGAATTACGACGTACCTATAAGTCGCGGCCGACCCTCTCGCCACTCGAATCGAACCAACCGCCGACAGAGTTGAAGAAGCACCAGCCAGAGCGCCGTTCCTTAAAGCGGAAGTCAATCGCGGATTGTTGTTGGCTCCTCAGGCTGAGCGCTTTCGATATTCAGCTCGCTTTGCTCACTGTGGCAAGCTCAGGCGGGTCCCAACCACTCTGACCTGAATCGTTTTGTTCACCGCCAGCGGGGCGATACTAGCCTTCTGCTACGCGGCCAACCTTTCAGGCGTCATGGAGGTGGAGGTTGATGACAGGACATTGCTCGAAGACGCGACGAATAGGGGGCGAGGGCTGCAGTTCTGCAGTTAATCACTATCACGTTCAGTTATCTGTTAACCTGCTGACGATGCCACCGCTCAGGGAACACGACCACAAATCGGACCGACAGAAATCGTTAGGAGGTTGCCTCGTCCTCTAATGACCCCCTCGACAAGGTGTTAGGCTCCGATATCACCAAAGTTCCTGGGGAAATTGCTTGGGAGCGAAGCGGTGTTTGGGCGATGGACTTACTGAATTGCTAGGCGCGAATTGGGTGGTAAGAAACCGTCAAAAGAAAGGAGTCAGCGGCTCGCTGTGAACCCTGAGTCTCGGTGCTGGCGCCGGAATCGTGACCCACCAAGCCTTAGCGGAATCGATGGATTGAGGCTGAATGCTACGTGAGGCTCCGCTTGGTGCCCTCATTTGCTGCATTTCTTGCGAGCCGCTGTGTAAACCTCAATCTACACTTTAGGCACCGAACTCTACTCGTCAAGGCAGCAGAGCCTCTGAATCGATGTCGGGCAGTAGCTGGCCTTGTAACACTTGCACTCGGATCCACTGCAGCCCGCAATGTCTATACACCTCTACAAGCGTCCTCTCGCAGAGGGTGGCGCCAGATCACCTCGAGGGTAAGAGCTAGCGATGTTCGAGCCGCTTGCAGCTTTTGGTGTTGGCAGCAGCTGGGACACGAGGGTGTGTGGCCACATCACCGGATCGCAGCGGGCGACGGCTTCCACGTCTCATCACTACAACGCCTCATACCGTCCACGGTCAGCCTTGGTGACTGTTCAAAACTTCAAAGGAATATAACAGAGTGCAATGGAGAGGATATCCAAATATGCGGCTCAATGGCGTGGCAACCTACTGACCAAAAAACAGCAAGGCGATCTTCGGTATCTTGGGCAAGCTTAACATCCTCAATTTGCTCATCTAGCCGACATGATGCAGGGGAACCTCCCTGCGGTCTGCTGCCCGACACTCTGAGTCCGTACGACATTTCCTGTAGGTGTTTCAAAATGGCAGTATGTATCCGTACAGCTAGGGAAGAGTGGCTCCGGCCGATGAACCGCAACGGGAAGGCAGGAAGGCTGTCACAAAGGATGCATACAATACTTACCTCAGGTAGTTAACTGCTCTGTGGATTGTTTACCCGGAAATAGGGGCGACCTAAAGGGCACCAGGCGACGAAACGGCTTCGATGCCTCGGCTACTGTACTTCGTAGTCAAGAGCTGATCGCCCCCTTTCTCTCCCTCCCTTCTGCAGCCCTAGGCTGCATGGTAAGGCTGATGCGAATCCCGACGTATGGTCGCACGGACCGGCAGGTGCATTACCTCTAGGCAGCACCGAGCTTCCCGTTCACCGAGTTTATTCGTCGCGTATGCCAGCCTTGCGACATAGCTACCCGAGTGTTAAGACCGACGTTTATAACACAGCCTTCGCTGGGCAACACCGACCAGGCCCAGGCTGAGCCTCTGAGGCCGTATACGCAACAAACAGCCGGTCAGTTGCAGATTACCTTCGTTGATTGAGGTGGGCGCCAAGCTGCAGCCTTCCTCCTCACCGACCATACCGCAGGACGCCTAGGCGGTGACCTTGATGTAAGGCCTCCTGTTTCTTCTTATAATCTGCGACAGCCCGCGTTCCTCTCCTCAGGGATGCGGGAACGCCGGCCAGCCTGGGCCAGACGAAGTGCAAGGAGATCCTGAGAGTCTGATCTCGAGAGGACTTCCCCCGTGTCGCCCTGTTGTGCATGCATACATGCTTGCATCACCTGAGCCTTGCGATAGGTTACTCCCTTGGGTCGCAATTTTGGCGTACACAACACTCAGTCCGATCTGCTAGTAATGGTCTGATCCCCGGCACCGGGAGCCGGGGCGGGGATCTCACCGCTCCTTTCCGGGGAATGCAACGGGAGATCCCGGCAACGCCCTTGCCTACACCTCGGTAGGCATCGGCACCGACTCGCCGGAGCGCTCCTCCTTTCCAGTTTTGATGGCCATTTGGAAATTCCGGAGTTTCCTCTGTCGTCTATTGTTTTGAAGGACACCACGATGCATATGCAGGCACGCCTAACGCGATTCCTGAGCCGTCCACGGTTGATTTCAGGCACTTACGGCTCCCCACGTAAGGCAGCCCCGGCTCGGATACCGACGTGCAAAGGCCGAGCAACCTGCACTTTTATCGGGTCGGGTAGGATCCCTGCTTGACCTAACGTCGCTCGCGATGTGATGTATCATTGATATTTCGTACTATGGCTTGGCAGCAGCAAGGTTGGCGCTCTCACATTCGGGTGATTGACTAAGGTAAGGTAAGGTAGTTGATGGCAGGGGTGAATGGGCGGCACTCGTCAGATTTACAGCAGGGAGAGCTCCTGTTCTGAAGGGCCGCACTCCCGCTCGTGCCAACTTGCCTATGATAAGTAAGAAGGATGGAAAATGGAGGCGGGCAGATTTAAGTTCTGCAGCTCCAATGATTATGATATGAGCGAGGCCCTACGTTTCTGCCTCGGCATATGATTAGTCGTTAATCATGATTATAGGGACACTGAGAAGAAGTGAAGAATGCCCGAGCCTCATGGCTTTCTTTTCTTTACGTGGGGGCTGTGTTGATTAGGCACCTCAGGACGACTCTAGACGGATATTGAGGAGATATTAGAGGCAGGCTAGCAGGCAGTTTGAAAGACTTGAGAACTTGAGAGGTTCTCCGTTTATTGGGGGCTAGCTGCATACCTAGCTGCTGTAGGAATGACACTACGGTATGTGACCCTGCACAACGTGGAGGGCCTCGATTAGCTTGGTGTCACAGCTTTCTGCACATCTATGGAGTTCAGATGGAGATCCTGCACTGTCCGAACGTGGTTCGCTCATAAGAGTTTGCCTGCGCATTACGGACGTCTTTCCGTGCTTGGCTGGACTGTTAGTGTTGGAGCATTTCCAATTCCTAAGTATCTAGTCTTGAGCGGGATCCAATAAAGTCACATGTTTTGCAAGAACCACTGCAACGCCTTTCACCTGCGGACACCGTGAAAGCTTGCGTGTACGCGTGTTTCTTGCTTTCATACTCCCTGGCTGGGAAGAGAGGGCAGCGCCTTGTCGCCGCCCGGGCCCTGTTGCAAACGAGATCACATCCGATTGTCACAAAACAAAGGCGCCGAGGCGTGTTTGGACTCCGAGATGGATGGACCAGATCCAGAAGATCTAGGGGTACACCGGGCGGCATTTGTTGTCTCGGAACACCTTAATTGCCGTTTCTCCTTGGTTGCCTTGTTTCAGGGATTTTAACTCACATCAAGCGGAGTTAGTAGTGCTTCTTTCCGATAGAAGATCTACTATGCTCCTTGCTACCACCCGGCATGGTGGTTGAAAAGTGCAAAATAAGAGCCTACATTCCAGCTACGTGTTGCGGCCCTCGTCGGGCCAACAATGCCCTAGCCACCTGATCGGACTTGTACAACGCCGTGACGATCGGGGCTGGCCAGGACCGGCATGTAAGGCAATTAGCGTTTTTGCTCCTTTCCCGATCCATCATGCCGCCCTGTAAATCTTTTCGTAGCCACCTACCAAGAAGAATCACCAAGGTGATTGTATCGATGACACGGGTGACGGGTTTCAACATAAGGTACTAGTAACGTTGTACCGTGTATGCGTTGTAACACGGCCAGTCTGGCCAGGTAAAGTCGATCGAGAAATCGAGCTGAGCTGGAGGTCGAATCGAGAGGCCTCCAGTATCAAACACTCGCTCTGCTTGGTATCAAATCTCCAGCAAATGAGCAAGGCGCGTGTTGCGCGTACCTTATTTGCTGGGCGGGAAGGAATAGGTCCGGCTGACCTTAAGCGTCGCAGGGCAACAGCACCCTGTTTGAATGGGCTGGGTTTCGCCGACTGCTATTCGGCGTCTTACCTAGGCCAAGGCCCGCAAATATCTAGAGGCCAGTTCGGTGAGCCGATCACAGATGGCTCGATTAATGAGCCCCGGATACCGATACTGAAACAAGGCACCGGCCCCGAATGTTCGACCCATCCAGAGGGGCAATCGCGTCTCACATTACTCCTACATCTAAAATTTCAGGTTTGACTCGCTCAAGGTCAACACCATGGCGCCTGAGAATCAAGTCGATGTGATAGTTCAGTACTGTACTTTGGCAACATACTTACCATGTCAGGTCGCGTGTTGTGTCTACGAGAGGTGAGATCTGTACAGTTCAGGCTTGTTAGTCATATGATTGTGCGAGTTAACACTTAGGTCAAGCATCTGCTGCGACGGAAAGAATATCATGCTTGTCAGGTGTTGAATTAATAGTCTAGTACCAGACACGGTCTGACGGCGGCTTCGCTCGCAGCTCGTCCTAACAATCTTATATTCTGTCTACCTTAGTTTCTTCGTGCTCTCGGAGCAACGTCTGCTCTTACAATCATTCAGTTGCGACTGCCCGCCAGCAAATACATGTTCCACAGAATCCGATGATATACCGGGGACCTCTCGCCTTTTAGTTGAACCATGAAGCGATCGCTCCTGTTTTCGGCATATTCTTGTCACGGTGTCAGTGACGCAACGTGGTCCAAGGAAATGTCGAGAGAAACACCGTCGAATTCATGTTGTCTTTGAATTCAATACTATGGCGAACCGATCGGCGTGGTATACTGTTTCCGAGTCGAAATGGGAAAATCAGATATACATCATACGTGGCCCTTTCGTCTGCACGGTCATATCAGGAATTTAGGCAGGTAGAGCTCGCACAACTGAAGTCGTGAATGCCATCATTTGATTCAAGATCTACTTCTCCAGCTGATGTTGCGTAGTGTGCAGAGAAGCGCTGCTGCCCCCTGTCAGCCTTTTCACTAGGAATGAAACATTCAGAGTCCTCAACCTAATAAGCGGGGACTCGCTCTGTGGCGGGAAACTGCCAGCTCGAGGAAAAGTAGTTGAGGCAGGTCTAACCAAACCAGTGCGGAACCCGGCACCGACGTTTTCGCTAGTGAACTCCCAAGGCCCTCCGAGGTCCTGACGTGGAGCGAGTGTCTCGCTCTTGCTGTCCTGGAACTGGTCGTCCACGAAAGGAGCAAGTCCAACCCAGTCCTTACTATCTCGCGTCAGTATGAACCCCCCCCCTCTCTTCTCTCTCCTCTTCCTTTCCTCTGTCTTCCCCTATCGCGCGGTATATAGAACAGTAGTATGAGCCTCCCCGGCGAAGCGTTCGCTTTTGCCGTTTTTCGTATCACATCCCTTCACTCAATTCTCAACCCTTCGTGCCCACGCTCTTCAATGACAGACGTTACAGACCAACCTGAACCTGTGAGGGGATAATCGCTCGCTGTGTACAATTCATGCATCATTCAGGTTGTTGTGCATACGCTAATATTAGCGCCTGATTCAGACTGGAAGCAAGTCTGCCCAACAGAGCAACACCAAACGAGACAAGGGATGGGTGGCAATATTGTCATGCGCGAAGATGCCGAAGGGATTACCTCACCCAGTCTCGAGCCAGACTCATCGTCAATTTCTACGTATTGGAAGCAATCGACGGCCAGCCAACTCCATTCCAGGTTACTCGAGTCCATTGATCACTCATCACAAGTCATGGAAACATCAATCGAACTCTATCCAGAAATGACATGTCTCCATCGCCATCATTTATTAGGTCGGCAAACAAGGTATGTCTTCTAGGGCAACCATAACAGAACCAAGGCTTGCTTGCTACAACCAGGGTAGTAATAACCACGAGACACTCACTTTAGCCCCACTCCTTTCCATTCATGTAAACAGCCTCCCGCAACATCTTCCCCTTCGTTCCCCGCTCCCTCCCTCAAAAAATCTGCTCCAATCCGTCCCAGACCGAGGGATCCCCGTTCGGACCCGCCCGCTTCCTCCTCTCCCAATACTCTCCGTTAAACTTCCAGTACTCCTCCCCTGTAATCTCACACCTGGCCTTTGTAAACCAAGCGGGGACAAACTCTTCGCCCTTGGCCTCCCTCTCCCTCCTCCGGGCGCGCTGCGCCTCCTCGAGCCGGTTCTTCTCGGTTGCGGCAAAGTCGTACTCGCCCTCCTCCATCGCCCTTTGGTCAGGCCGGAAGCGCGAGTCTGTTGGCGCCAGCCACGGCCGCAGGTTGTCGTCGAGGTGGTTAAATGACAGGACAAAGGGAGTGAGGTTGAACGGGATACCCTCCGGGCGCGGGTTGGCCTGCCAGATGAGGAAGGCCTTGCTGGGGTCGTTGAAATTCCCGCGGTGAACCAAGTCGCCGTCGGCCGGGGCGCCGGCTGGCTCCTCGACCGTAGCCTCGTAGCCCGGCGTCACGCGCGCGTACAATCTCGAATTCCACCGCCCGCCTATGCTGAGGCGCACGCGCCCGTTTGCGTCGACTACTTTGCCCGAGATTTGGTAGGCGCTCGAGGCTTTCCAGCCACGTGGCTTGAACTCAAGGTGGCATACCTCGCCCGTGGTCCAGTTTTTGATTTCCATGGGACCGTAGTTGTCCACGACCGGGTTTCCTGTGATGATGCCGACCACCGAGGATGTGACCTTTTTCCAGGTGAAAAAGTCTTCCTTTCCGCCATGGGTCGGCCGGAGTTTGAGGAACCAGGTGCCGAGCGGGTTAATGTCAAAGGACCGGCCGTAGAACTTGGATTTAACGGCCGACTCCCCGTAGTACGTCCACTTCGGTGACTCGGCCCACGCTGCGCCGATGGGAGGGTGATGGCTGACCTGCTCAATGAAGAAGCGGTAATTCTTATCTGGTCTGACGTACTCGAAGGTTTCGCCTAGCAAGGGGTTGAACGGCTTGGCGACACGTCCGATGGTTGATGCATATTCGCTGGCAGCAAACGCGGCGACATACAGCAGACGCTCGATCGAATCTGTCCTGTCCGCCGCGAGATCTAAGAGATCTGCATATTCCATGTCCTCGGCGCAACGGTAGAGCAGAGAAGTGGGTTCATTGAAGGACACCGGCAAAGTCATCTTTGTCATGTCCTTTCCAACCATGGACTTCAAGATACCCTGCGGAGGTGTTAGTAAATAAGTGTGTTTGAGCAAAGCAAACTCTTGTGTGAAGAGACCTACCCAAAGCGAAATCTTTGGCCTGTTATCCGCGTCCAGCTTTAACCGTGTGCGAATGCCGTTCTCGTAACCCTTGAACGAGCTACTAATGTCAAAGCCAACTGACACAATCAATCTTTTCTCTTCGTCTGGAGCGGTAACCTCAGACGGCGGCAGCTCGGACACTTCAACCTGGCCCGCATCAACGGCATCAAAGAACTCCTCCTCGTCCGACTCGGAGTCTGAGATATCCGCAATTTGAGTAATAACCGTCTGGCGGCGAGACAAGGTGAGATCGGGCGACTTGGCGCCTGCGGCAACCTCGGCTCCGGCCCCTTCTTTGACTTCCTCCTGTCCTTCAGCTGCAGCCGCAACAGCGGGCTCCTTGCCGTCGAGGATACCGTTCTCCACCGCTTCCTTGAGAAGCCGTTTCGTCATCCGCCGTTTCAGCTCAGCCTCGCCGACCCGAGCTTCCAGCGCCTCCTGCTCCTTGGCAACCTGGGCCATGCTCTCCTCCCACATTCGCCGCATCTCGCTCTCACGGTCGAGACGGTATTGCCAGTATGCATCGCGATCTCGGGAAATGCGGAGGAGGTCCCCAATGAGGACGGTTAGGGAGCGGATGGCGGCGTCGTACGTCGAGAGGGCCTGAGTAGTTTTGGGATCCGATAAGGTGAGCGCAGGATTCTTGGACGACTCGAGGATCAGTGCTGCTGTGACGTTGGCCATGGTGTCGAGCTGTAACTTGGCCGACTGAGCCGTGATGTTGAAAGCATCTTTATTCGCGGGTGGAGTATCCTGTCCACTCGACCCTTCTCCAAAATCGTCGTCGTCATCCACCTCGTCACCAACAGTCCCGCCGTGGCGATCAGTCTTGTCGGCTTCCGTGGCCGCGTCTGCAAAGTCATCCTCGTCGTTGCTTCCGACTGCGCTGGCCCCTGGAGTAGCGCCCTTTGTGGACATTCTGGAGGAATGCATCCGTGCAAGCTGAATACTGTTGCGCGAGGGCTCGGCGACGCTCGCGTTATCGCTTGGTGGCTCTGAGACGTTGTGGGAGTGCTCAGCCTTTGCCTGCTTCAGCAGCTCCGCGTTTCGTGCACGTTGCCGTTCCTCCTCCTTGGCCTGGTCCTTGGTCCACTGTATCGAATTGTTGAGCGCCCAGAACCAGCGCTTTGCCTCCACCTCGTGGTTCGCTTTGAGTGTGTACTTGACGGAGGATTTGCCAATGATCTCGAACTTGGTCTTCTCGTCGGGGCTCATATTTAACTTGGCGATGCGCATGTTGATGGCGCCGCGGCAAGCAGACCCAGCATCGTCTTGATGCTTATAGTAGCTCAACACGCCGTCTTCCAGGACGAACCAGCGCAGCTGGTACCCTTTCCGATAATTGGTCCATTTCTTGAGGTAGCCCTTCATTTCTCGTGCCTCCCGCCCGGCGAGTGGATCGCCAGGCGTCGCTGTAGTTGCTCCTTGGGTGGTTGAACCTAGGACGGCTTTCTCTTGTATGCCTCTCTGAGCCGCCACGGCGGCGGGTGACTTTTTCAACATTGCGCGGGTAATTTCGTCCTTTGTCACGTCTTGCGGCAGTTTGCCCTTGCGATCCCGGCGGAAGGGGTCGGCCCCGTGCAGCAGCAAAACCTGAATCAATCGGGTATTCTTTCGGCGCGCCGCCTCGTGCAGAAGCGTGCCACCGGACTGGACTGTGGTGGGGTCCGAAGCAAACTCGGTGCTGTTGATATCCAGCACAGTCTTGAATCGCGGCTCCTCCAACACCTGCTCCAAGACCTTGAGCTCGCCATGGAGAATGAGATCCTGGACCTGCCGAACCTTGTTTTCGGCGAACAGGGATCTTGAGAGCTGCAGCTGCTGGAATATTTCTGGGTTCCGTGCGAGATCGATGGGCAAGCGGCCCTGGTGATTGGCGATGGCGTCGTTGATCTCTTTGTTCTCAAGGAGGAGACGAACAACCTGGCTCCTCCCTTGGGCCGCCGCAATATGCAGAGGGGTATTGCCATCCTTGTCGCGCGCATTTATATCGAGCGAGCCGGCTCCGTCAGAGAGAACGTATTCGACCACGGGCTGCTCAGCGCACTGAATGGCAAGGTGCAAAATCGTAGTGTCTTCGAGGACGCCGGCTTGGGTCGAAAATGACGAGGTGCTGATGCGGGGGGCGTTTTCGGCATTCTCTCGAATCGCCTTGGAGATGAATGCGGTGTCGCCGTTACGCAGCGCTTCGACAATGCGGAATTTTTTGATGGAAGATTCTAACGAGGTTCCTTTGTCTAACCGGTCGGCGGACTTGACACTGCTAATCGAGGGGGCGGCATACGAGGGTGTTCGGCCGACGATGCCCCCAGAAACAGACAGCTTCGAGCTGTGACTTTTGACCGACTGCGGATGAGGCGTGGCAAGGGATGACTGAGAGGTCGCAGTTGCGGTAGCCGAGGTCAAGGTGGAATTGCTAAAGACGGCGCTCGAAGTGACCTCCTCGCTGGAGGACACGTCCTCGTCGACCCCTTTTCGCCTTAGCAAGGACAAAGCGGAGGATTTCGTTCGCCGATGCGAACTGCACACGGATGGGCAGTCAGCAAGCAGTCTGGTGTCGTTGGAAAGGGATCAGGTAAAAGGATAACATCAAGGCGGGCATTGCTAGCGCTCCAGCTCTGAAGTCGATAGAGTAGGATATCAAGTTCTGGGTTGCCTACCTTTCCCCCGTGTCAGACATGACTAGGGAGCTCACGATCTATAACTGCTAGTACTTGACGAGCGTTCAGGTGGATCTAGGTTGCGGACTCGAAATCGGAGGAGGGGACGGATTGGCCAAGGAATGCAGCGGAGTCAACCGGTGGTAATGAATGTCGACTTGTGGTCAAGGAATGCACACATTGGGAGGTAAGGTAAACACTGGCGTAGATAGGGGGATGGTAGCGATGATGAGGTAGGTAGAAGATGTGGGGGGATTTGGCTTCCACCGTTTTTAGTTAGAGACCAGATGGCCACACTTTCTGCATCCCCTGGGCCTGAGAAATGACGTTGACAAGTCTAGAACCGCTTTTGGAGTAGCGGGAGCATGTAAGCGCGAATTGCCTGCCGCTCTTCACGTGGATCGTTGGTTATGATGCTCCATTGTTGGCACTTCACAGGAACGAACTTTATTAGCCCTCACCAAGCGGGGTAAATAAAGCGCTGAAACGCTGCTGTGGACAGCCCGCTACAAGGGCCTAGGTCTATGTACATACAATCTGTCCCTGCTAGTAGAGGGGGCAGCACTGTTATGTAAACAGCCTCGCAGCGTATCCAACACTAGTGTAGCCAGGCATCGAAAGTCGGTATGTTGGTATCCAGGCATGTAAAAATAGACTGCATTTCAAAATTGAGGCCGTTTCTTGGATACGGATCGTAGCCATGTACGGCGAACATCTGATATTCTTCCCTCGTTTCACAACCAGGGTATCAGGGTTAGGTAAGCATGGTCAGACAATGTCACAGCCGCCAGGGCCCAGGGGAGATTGAGGTGACGGGACCAGGGCCCGAGCTCGGGGACATCGACCGAACCTCGGCATCTGTTACGTGGGATAACCTAGCATATGCTACTTGAGATATCATTCAAGAATCCACCTTCGAAAGCCCGTCATAAAGGTGATCCTCAAACGAGAATTCTATATAGATTTTGTCCGCATTCGAGTATTTTGTTTAATCTGCTTTCTTCTATCCGTATTCTCTACCTTACTGTCTGCCTCTGTCTCATCATCATCTTGAAGCCGTCTTAGTCGAGCCTCCTTCCTTCTGGAACACCGCTAATACCCCAATTGTTGATCGTTGATGTTTTAAACCCGCCGTTGGACGCCTTTCAGGCCTGGCCCGATTTGCGCGCGCCGCTCCAAATCTGTTGCATTCTTTGTACAATACTTAGACTCGGCGACCAGGATGACCGACCGCCCAACGCTCCTTCGGCCGCCTCCTGCCGACCCCAACAAGTCGCCCATTGAAAATGTCTTGGAGGTGACCGAGTTGGCCGTCCTAGGACCCGTGAGTGGACAAAGGCTTGTTATTACCTAGACCAGCTCAGCCCTAACAGTGCTTGGAACAGAACATTTTCACCAACACGCGCCGGCCATGGCACCCCCCTGGAGCACGGGGCATCTACGGGGGCACCGTCATCGCCATGTGCATCGCCGCGGCGCAGCGCACCTTGCCCGACGATTTCCTCGTCCACAGCTGCCACTGCTACTTCTTGTTGGCCGGCTCGTCCGAGCTGCCCATCCTCTTCCATGTCGAGCAGGTGCGCGACGGCCGCTCGTTTGCCACGCGCACCGTCCAGGCGCGCCAGCGCGGTCGCTGCATCTTCACCATGACTGCCTCCTTCGTGCGCGAGGCCTCGGGCGGCGAGCCCGGGAGCCAGGTCACCCACTCCTCACCGATGCCGCTCGGCGAGGATGGCTTGCCGATGCGGCCCCCGCCCGACGACTATTCTGAAGAGTCCGAGATCCTCCGTCAGGGCCCGTTCCAGGGCACCAAAATCGAGGTCGTAGGCCGCGACGGCGCCGAGCCGGGCACCAAAAAGACCCGGCAGTGGATCCGCGCCCGCGGCAAGATATCGGGCGGGTTGCCGGCCCATATAGAAGCGCTCGCCTACGTGTCGGACAGCTACTTCATCGGAACCATCACACGCATCCACAAGCTGTGGCGCTACCCGTTCAAGGCCGAGGATTATGAGAAGCTGCCTGAAGATATGCAGGCCAGGGTCAAGACGCTGCACCGCTATGAAGGCATGGGCGACGACCCGCGCGAGATGGTGGGCCGCCCGGCCATTGGCATGATGGTCAGTCTTGACCACACAATCTACTTTCACGAGCCGAAAAAGGTGCGGGCAGATGAGTGGATGCTCAGCGAGATGGAGAGTCCCTGGGCAGGCGATGGGAGGGGTGTCGTGATGCAAAAAATCTTCAGCAAGGACGGGACTCTCTTGGCCACGTGCGTGCAGGAGGTATGTTTGGCCGTCCAGCCTTTGGCAGTTTCGCCCTGTGACAAGTCAGATGTATGGCTAACTCTTCTCTACAGGGCCTCGTCCGGTTGCAACAGCAGCCCCCGCCCAAGGAGCGCAAGGACTCCAAGCTGTAGGTGGCTTCAATCAAGCCTGACTCAAGTCCAATCGCTGTTTGGCATGCTGTAGCTGTCGGGAGGATTCTCGCCCCGAGTGGTATACCGAGAAAGGGTGCCACAGCACAACAGCATTGTTAGGCGCTTGGATGTCATGGACTGTTCGAAGGGATCCCCGACTGTTACTCCATAGCTTCAATCGTGCTGTTGATGAAGGGTATTTCTGTCGATGGCCGCCGATATTCTCATAATCAATGTATATATGGATCATAAGAACATTTATTATTTTGCTCATTGTATCAGAGGTTTAGACCAGGGACCCATTGGGAAGAAATGACCTCGGAGCCGCATCGATGGGAATCGCATTGTGAATTACGCAGTACTGGCTTTTGGGTCTTCCAGGACGGCACACCAGCCTACTATGCCCGGGGAAACGTCTACACCTTATCTATATAGGCATGGCCCCTGCAACCGCGAGGCCAGAGAATCCTGCAGTTCCTATTTTCCATCCTCGAACCAACTGTTCGTTGAAACCTCCAACTGACTCTTACAAGGTTCCTCAATAGCTGGGTATCGTGTTCATATAAACGTTGTGCCTTGGCTCCCGCCAATCTCCTTCCCTGTGTCGCAAAAATGGCGTATGGCAGATGACGCCAACAGGGATGAGCCATGGCAGGCGTACATGATGAACGGCCTGGTAAATGAAGTTCGCCGATTGTGCAGTGGCATAAATTGCATCTGAAAAAAGAGCAGAAGCTGCCGGGAAAGGGGTTCTACTTCCGGGAGCATACGGACCATCGCAAATAATCGCGACATTGGCCCGCCGTTTTTGAATGCGCGTTCCTTGATGCTTGGATAAGGATCTGGGTTCAGATGGTGACACCCTCCAAGCTTAGCACCTTGGACTTATCCTCGAGGATCTGAGCGCGAAAATCAATGATCCCCCGGGCTATTGTGTCGAAGTCCTTGACTCTGTCGGCCTTGAACTTCTGGAGAAGCTCCCGCAGGCCCTGGATGAAACGGCTCTTCTGTTCGCCTTTGTAGTCGTCCGGATTGCCAAGTTCCAGGAGGATTTGGTCATCTGGGTGATAGAGGGCTAGGAGTCAGCGTCGAGAGGGGCGACGTGAAGGTCTGTTGTTAGCAGCCCATTCAAAGTCGGGAAAGACTCACCAGGTGGGATAATGGAGCTGAAATGCTGGAATTGGCATTGGGGCGGACAGTGCTCTCCACTGAGTTCAAAGGGGCAGAACTCCTTGTGCGGGTCAATCCTGTTGCTGTATGTCAATGACTTCAAACCGCCGGCAACCGAGTTTTGGTAATCGGCATGAAACCGATAGGCGTGGAAATAGCGAAGAGGACTTCGGTAAGGGGTTAATTTGCGGTCCGGCTTTGACGCCGGTTCATGGTGCAACTATCTTATCATCAGCTAAAACATGCCGAGCCACTGGAAGAAACGACGTTTACTTCTCCTGAAGGCTCGTTCTCCATCTCCTGCAGCGCCTCGCGGGGCTGTGCGACGCCCGAGATCTGATCTGGTATTGGTACTGACGTTTGCCGTGCAGCGTTCGTGTCATCATCTGTATCGACTCCAGGAGGGGCTTCTGCTGCTTCTGGTTCCGACGCTTTGGGCTCTACCTCCATCGGCGTATCCTCGTCGGGGTTAGATGGACCAGCTGGCCCAGGGCCTTCAGAGGCAACGGAATTCCTCTCAATCAATGCCCTTGGTTCTTGGGTTGTAGTCAAGGCATTCAAGGTATTCGCAGTATTCGAAGCGTCCATCTCAACATTCATGTCGCCTTTTTGTGAGGGCTGATCGGCGTTCTGCTCAGGATCACGCCCTTTGGGGGCTGATATTCCCAAGCCTTCCTCGTTTGAGGTCTCCTCGATAACATTGCTTAAACTGTCTTGTAGAAAAGCGGTGCCTCCGGTGGTGGTTGCTGCCAGCGCCTCGGATTCGTTGGGCCTGCCGGGCCCCGATGGCCGTCGTGTCTGCTCCTCTGGAAAACCGGTCTCCTCCATTGACACATCCCCAGCCTCTCGACTCTCATCGGATATTGCAGGAGTCGATGATGCCGAGGTATTTTCGGCATGAGAATCAGAAATGCCTAATGGCCATTAGCGAATGGGTCCAGCCAGAGTAACATAGGCAGTGATTTTATTCCAGGAAGATAGTACCTGAAATATTGACCGGGCCCAAGCCATTGGCTTGTTGCTTTCCGGCATCAGGGCCGGTATCAAGTTGGTCCAACTCATCAGTCAGTAACCTCTTTTCAGCCAGGCTTTTTCTAATTTCAGCCTCCAGTTTTTCTTCCTCGTCTCGCAACTGCTTCAGTCGGTTAAGCTTCTCTCCGAGAGAGGGATCAACCTGAGCCAGGTCAAGGCTCATGATCCGACTCCGACGTTCCGTCCTCTTGAGAGGATCCAGATCCAACGTCTCCGAGGAATTCGGCAGCGTCGTCAACGAGCCATCAAGCATGGGTTGGGAAGTAGGCCTATCTGGCTGGATGGGGCTGCCCATGGATTCGGCCCGCTCACCTCCATTGGGCGGAAACGTTTCGCTCTCCTTGGGTTCCGGAGTCCACCCCGCTGGATTTGGTGTTAGAGAGCCTCCTGAGCTTTGCTTCGCTTTCCGTCTCGCCTCTGCCAATGCAATTTTCCTTCTCATCTCTTGAATTGCCTTCTCTTTGGATTCTAATTCACTCACTCGCCTCGTTCCGTTGACTGAGCTACTGGGCGGTGTGAGTGACGGGGCAGGGCTTGAAAACTGACGGGGAGAAAAGGTGTCCGTGAGCGGTGGGAAGTCACGGATAGAGGGCCCACCCTGGGTCCTATTATCACTGGATTGAATGGGTGACGTCTCAACTGGGGAGCTCATATCCATGTCCAACTCCATTTCCTCGTCATCCGATCCGTCACTGACATCGATGATTAGAGAAGTCTGCTTGTGGGTCGGGTCGAATGGTCGCTTGGCGGGTCCCGGAGGACCTGAAGCATAGTCCACAAAGTCCGATGCCACTGGTCTCTTGCGGTGGTTTGATGAACTGGGCTTAGAGTTTGGTGATAACAGCAAACCAGGAATGGAAGGACCAAGTCCGGCACTGGACGCGCGAGCAGGGCCCGCTTCGGGGCCGGTAGAGGCTGTTATAGATTCAGCTTCGGCTGGCCGACTCATTTGAGAGGAGCTGGCCAGTGCATCGTTGCTCCTCTGTGCGTCTTTCTGTTCGTTCTTCTCTGCTGCCGACTTTTGTGCTTGTGCTTCTCGGGATTTTTGCAGAGCCGCTATCTTCTGCTGGAGCAGACGTTCTTTTTCGCCCCATGCTTTTGTTTTCGTGGCGGTGGAGGAAGCGGGCGCGGCGCTCTGAGATTGTGGTTCGACCGTCGCTGGCTTGGACTGTGGCGCGGTTGGCATTGGTTTTGCTGCTGCCGGTGTCTTGGCAGCTTTAGCAGCAAGAAGCCGTGCAATACGATCTTTCCGCTCTTCCCCTTTGCCTGCTTGACCGGACACAACGGACGAATCCTTAAGGGGAGGACCCGAGGGTTGCGCCTGCGCAGTGGCAGGAGCCCCTGGCTTGGTCACCGTGGAATTGGCCCCTCGGGCGGACTGGGGGGTGTCATTTGGAGGTGTCAAATGATCATCGGCTGCCTTTGGCATGTCAAGGTGCAGGTCTCGGAACAAGCTCTTGATCAACTTCTCGTCGAAGCCTTCATCAATGTAGTTTTGATACTTCACCCCCAGCGGCCACAACCGCAAAATCGCCTTTTGCGCCTCCTTTTTTGCTTCATGCAAAGATTTAAAAGGACCAAATGAGTCCTCTTTGGATTCAGCTGGCGTCTCCAACCGCTGTGGATTGTCGTTGGCCGATGGATTTGCAGTTGAACCCGCATTAAGTTGTAGGCCGGGTACAGCCGTGGTGCTCGCGCCCGCAACTGCCGGAGTTGAGCCTGATTGTATCTTAGGGTCTGCAGCGAAGTCAGTCACGCTCCAAAGATGAGAGAATTGATAGTTACCGTCTCCACTACTAGAGGCTTGCTGTGGTGTTGGAACTTCGCTCTGAATTTCCCGCGGAGACAGAAAGGGCGAATATGATGCCGACCGTTCACGACCTAAGACATTTAGCAGCCAAATCGGGATTTCTGGGATTGGAACCATACCTTCATTGTCCCGTGGAGCATTTCCACCTTCCCCCTCGTCACTCCCGTAGAACCCGCCATCGGGCGTGTCAGCAGCGCTCGTCGGTTGACTTGGATTGGTAACAGGCATCAGCTTGGAAACAGGTTTTGCCGCATCTTTATCGGATTCCCGAGGCTCATACAAGTCTTCAAACTGTCCTTCGCTCAACTCGCCTTCCTCAACATCGGCATTAGCGGGCGGGCGGGTTGGGGGAGGAGCGGGCTGATTCGAAAGGCTCGTGGTCTCCCGCGGGCCGTTGCTAGCAGAGTTTGCTTGTGAATGCTTCGCAAGAAGCGAGCTTGCCGTGGAAGGCTGAGGCATCGGGACGTGCGACACAGATGTTGGAAAGAAAGGTGGCTGAATCCAAGAACTCGGACCAAGCCCAAAGTCCGACGGATCTCTGCCCGGTGGCGGCGGCGGCCCTAACCCAAGGCCCGGTATTCGATTCGCATTGTAATCGAAAGAGGCCTGTGACGCTGCGCGGTTTATGGCTGGGGCGGGAGGGTTGTTTGGCGGGGCATAACCAGGTGCGGGAAAGTGGGGAGCATTGGGATAGTGGTAGCCCTGCTGCGGTTGTTGGCCATGATACGGGCCATAGGGATATGGGTACGGGTATTGTGACATGATGGCGAGATTCGGGAAAATACGTCGTTAGAACGTGGGCATCTCAAGAGCCGGCGGTTTGGTGGCGCGTCTGTCCAGCGCAAATAGACCGTATCGTGGTCAAACGCAAACACAGCAGAAGAAGCCGCCTGGGTAGCGATCAAGGAGACTGGCGCAATAGCCAGAGACAAAGGACCGTCGGTCGCCGTGCGTCGCGAGGGTCGCGAGGGATGATTCGTTCCGATACTTCGAGGTTGACCTAGCAGAACGCGAAATCTCAGGGCCTGAAAACTGAGATGGATAGGGCGTAAAAAATAAGCTCATAGTTTTAGGCCGTCGTCACATCGCAAGGGTGGCGGAGTCTGCTGATTGATGCAATGCAAAAACCAAATATCGTCGATGGAGGGTTTGGCTAAGGTGTGGTTTTGGGATTCATTGATGAGAGACGCGAAAATGACCCAGTGACCCGAATAATTCCCTATTTGGTAGCGGCAGGCACTAGACCAAATCCGGATAAGTGTATGTGCACGGATCATTTGCGTAACATCAAAATGGCAGGCTGAGGTTTGTTTACTCTGCCAGGGTAGGCTGGGGCAACCGCAACTCTAACCTCAGGGCACCCGCTCTTTCTATGTTCTTTCTCGACTATCCCAATCCACCCCAGGAACGCCGCAAGGCAAGAGGAATTGTATCCGAATTTTGCATTTCCAATTACTGGCTTTCATCAGCCAGTGTTTCTCTCTACCGTCGCCTTTCTTTTTCCTTTTGCCGTCTTGATTCTCGCGACCCCGCGCGGGGCTCCTTTCTGAATGTTTACATGACCGCTTCGTCGTCACTGCAGCATTTCAGCATCGATTCGGGCAATATCCATGCCTCTCTTGTCATCCTAGACCTCTAGTTGCACCAAATTCAGCGCACCATGTCGGTACGCAACAATCCGTTCGCGAGAAACGCCTCGCACTCGACAGGTTCGAGCGGGCTTGGCAGACCAAAATCCGTTCTCTCCCCCTCGCCGTCCCTGGCGTCGGGTGCGCCCTCCCCACCCGCCCACAACCGGTCGCAATCCCATAATCTGTTTCCGGCAGCATTGGCGCCGCCGGTATCTGCACGGAATGGCAATGGCCATGCTCGTGGAACGTCGAGAGAGGGCACTCCCAGCTCCAGCACATTCGCTCCGTCATTCATCAAGACAGAAGACATGCGGAAGCACACCGACATTGTCAGGGGAATCGAGGGCGAAAATGACTTTTCCGGCAAGAAGTATGTGTGGCTTAAGGACCCGCACACAGCATTTGTCAAAGGTTGGGTGGTGGAGGAGCGTGAGGGAAACAAAATCTTGGTCCAGTGCGACGATGGAACAGTGAGTGTACATCGAAAGGGTTTGGGTGGTACAGCTTACTGACATTGGTGAATAGCAACGGGAAGTTGGCGTTGAGAGCGTTGACAAGGTCAACCCGGCCAAATTTGACAAGGCGAACGACATGGCAGAGCTAACGCACCTGAACGAGGCCTCTGTGGTCCATAACCTACACACAAGATACATGTCCGACTTGATATACACCTACTCCGGGTTGTTCCTGGTGACAGTCAACCCGTATACGCCTCTCCCAATTTATAGCAACGAGTACATCAACATGTACAAAGGCAGGAGTAGAGAAGATAACAAACCACACATCTTTGCCATGGCTGATGAGGCGTTCCGCAACCTTGTCGATGAGAACGAGAATCAGAGCATTCTTGTCACTGGCGAATCCGGTGCTGGAAAGACCGAGAACACCAAAAAAGTCATCCACTACCTCGCTGCAGTCGCGCATTCCCAAGCTCCAGTGAAGAGCAGAGGACAGCAGCACTCGACTCTCTCCGCGCAGATTTTGAGGGCAAATCCCATCCTCGAAGCATTTGGAAACGCGCAAACGGTGCGGAACAATAACTCGTCCCGGTTTGGCAAGTTCATTAGGATCGAGTTCAGCCGCACTGGATCAATTGCCGGTGCCTTCATCGACTGGTATCTGCTCGAAAAGTCTCGTGTGGTACGCATCAATTCGCAGGAGCGTAACTACCACATATTCTACCAACTTCTCAGGGGCGCAGACCGGCGGCTGAAACAAGAGCTCCTTCTGGACGGCCTGGATGTTGAGGATTTTGCCTACACCCGCGAAGGTCAAGACACCATTACCGGTGTGTCAGATCGTGATGAGTGGGATTCCCTTATGGAAGCTTTTGCGGTCATGGGAATTTCCGAACACGAACAAGCTTCGATTCTGCGGACTATCGCTGCTGTCCTTCACCTTGGAAATATCTCGGTTGTCAAGGAGAGTCGATCTGCCGACCAGGCCCGCCTCGCGCCTGAAGCCAAGGAAGTTGTTGAAAAAGTGTGCAAGTTGCTGGGGGTTCCAGTGGAGCCCTTTGTCCAAGGCTTACTACACCCCAAGGTCAAGGCAGGCAGGGAATGGGTTGAAAAAGTCCAGACCCCAGAACAGGTCCGCTTCAGTGTTGATGCTCTCGCCAAGGGCATCTACGAACGGGGCTTTGGTGACCTTGTCGCCAGGATTAACCGCCAGCTCGACCGTCCAGGCATGGGCCTGGGGGACACCCGTTTTATTGGCGTGTTGGATATTGCCGGTTTCGAGATTTTCGAGCACAACAGTTTCGAGCAACTTTGTATCAACTACACCAACGAGAAGCTACAGCAGTTCTTCAACCACCACATGTTCGTGCTGGAACAAGAGGAGTATGCTAGGGAGCAGATTGAGTGGCAATTCATTGACTTCGGCAAGGATTTGCAGCCTACCATCGATCTGATAGAGCTCTCAAACCCAATTGGCATCTTCTCATGCCTCGATGAGGACTGCGTCATGCCCAAGGCCACCGACAAGACTTTCACGGAGAAGCTGAACACCTTGTGGGATAAGAAGTCGCAAAAGTATCGGCCATCCCGTCTTGGCCAGGGGTTTATCTTGACGCACTACGCCGCCGAGGTCGAATACTCAACGGATGGCTGGCTTGACAAAAACAAGGACCCTCTGAACGACAATGTCACGCGCTTGCTCGCCGCCTCAACCGAAAAACATATCGCCAATCTGTTCGCGGATTGTGCCGACCAAGACGACGAGACTGGCGGTATGCGGAGCAGAGTGAAGAAGGGTCTGTTCCGGACAGTAGCGCAGAGACACAAAGAGCAGTTGTCCAGTCTCATGGCACAGCTGCATCTTACGCACCCACACTTCGTACGATGCATCCTTCCCAACCATACAAAACGACCAAAGCAATTCAGCGGTCCGCTCGTGTTGGACCAACTGCGGTGCAATGGTGTGCTGGAAGGAATCCGCATAGCCCGGACCGGTTTCCCCAACCGGCTGCCGTTTGCCGAGTTCCGGCAACGATACGAGGTCCTCTGTCGGGACATGCCCAAGGGGTACTTGGAGGGTCAGACTGCCGCAAAACTGATGTTGGACAAGTTCGGCCTTGACAAGTCCTTGTATCGCATCGGTCTCACCAAGGTCTTTTTCCGGGCTGGTGTTCTCGCCGAACTCGAAGAGCAGCGAGACGCACTGATTACCGAGATCATGTCGCGATTTCAGTCTGTCGCTCGGGGCTACATGCAACGAAGGATCGCCTTCAAGCGTCTCTATCGAGCCGAAGCAACCAGAGTCATCCAGAGGAACTTCCAGGTGTATCTCGATTTGTGCAACAATCCTTGGTGGCAGCTACTCGTCAGGATGAAGCCTCTCCTAGGCGCGACGAGGACTGCGACCGAAGTCAAAAAGAGGGATGAGATGATCAAACAGCTAAACGAACAGATGCAGTTGGAGGCGCTAGGTCGACAAAGGCTCGAGGAAGAGCGGCGAAACGTCCATGCAGAGATGCTGCGCATCCAACAAACACTTGAGAGCGAGCGTGCTCTGGCGCTGGATAAGGAAGAGATCTTCAAGCGGCTCCAGGTCCGTGAAGCAGAACTCGAAGACAAATTGGCTGGAGCATTGGAAGACCAGGAAAGATTGGAAGATCAACTGGACACTCTGCTCGAAGCCAAGAAACGCGCCGAGGAGGACGTGGAAAAGTACCGGACGCAACTTGAACAAGCAGCTGGCATCATCGCTAGATTGGAGAACGAGAAATCCGAACTTGCGGGGCGTGTTGCGGACCTTGAGCGCGCAATCGACGACATCACCAAGGCGCAGTCGGAACGCAGCGAGCAGGAGGCAGTCCTTGAAGAGGACATCAAGGTGCTGAAAAGCCAACTCGCCCTAAAGGAACGCAAAGTCCAAGATCTGGAGGGCAAGCTGCTAAAGATTGACCAAGACCTAGAGGTCAAGCTTATGAATGCCCAGAAGGAACTTCAATCTTCCAGGAGCAAGAACTCGCACCTCAGTGCCGAGAATCGCGAGATTCAGCAACAATTGGCTCAGCTTTCCAAAACTTCAACCGACTATGAGGATCTGGTTAGAAAGAAAGAAAGCGAGCTGGCCCTGCTGCGTTCCGACAATAAGAGGTATGAAATGGAGCGGCGCAGCTTTGAAGACCAGTTGAGGAGTCTCGGCACAGAAAGAGAGAAGGCTGCAGAACGCCTTCGCGATGTGCAGGCGCAGCTTTCTGCCATGAAATCCCAACAAGCCCAGCTTCAGAGAGAGGCGGAGGACGCGAAGAACCTCCTGGCGGCCCGACTCTCCGAAGACGCTCAAGCCGATCAGAACCGTCACATCCTGGAGTCCCAGATAAGAGACCTCAAGGAACAACTGTACACGACTCAAATGGAGCTCAGCCGAGAACGTCAGTCTCGCGATGATGTCCAATTGCTTGGTGAACACAAGTTTCAGTCGTTGAAAGAGGATTTCGACCGCCTAAACGAGGCAAAGATCACCATCGAGAAGGAGCTATATGCCCAACAGGACACTCTCCGTCGGGCTCTGGAGTTCCGAGCAACAGCAGAACAAGAACGAGACCAAGCTCGTGAAGAAATCCGACGGCTTCGCCTGGCCAAAACTGAAGCCGAGGAAGCCCGCCGTGAAGCGGAGCTGGTAGGGGAGCGAGCCGCCTTCAAGGTGGCTCGGGAACGGGAGGAGAGCTTGCGCAAGGATCTTGATGCAGCTCATGACCGACTCAAATGGTTTGAGGCCGAGTGCACGAAATTGAATCATCAAATCGAAGACCTGAACAAGTTGATGATAGAGTCTGGGGAGTTCGGACTGAAGAACGATCAGGCAAAGGAGCGGCTGGAAAGGGAGCTTCAGACTGTAAAGAGTCGGCTTGCCGCCTCCGAAAACGACAACCGAGCTCTCCTGAACAAGTTGCAACAGAAAGGCCTTGAGATCGCGCGGTCCACATCCCGAGCAAGCGAGGCCTCCCGTAGCCAGATTCTAGGCCTGCAGCGTGAGAAGGCAAGGGTGGAGGAACAAAACGCGAAGCTCAACAAACAACTTGGCGATTCGCAAGTCACAATTGCTTCCTTGGAGAAACGTCTTGAAAAGCTGCAGCTCAACCTCGAAGATCTCAACCACGAGGTAGCCAGAGAGGTACAAAGTAGCCGCAACGCGGAGAAACTCTCGTCCAACTTTACGGTTCAGCTAGCGGAGGCGAATCGCACAATTGAATCGGAGAGGCAACTTCGAACTCAGGCGCAAGGGACCATCCGCAATTTGCAGTCCACGCTGGATGCTCGCGATACCGAGCTAGCTGAATTGAGGGAGCAATTGCTGAATGCGCTCAGAATTGTCGATCCCGAATCCGTGCCCCCTGTTCAGACAGAGAGCACCGGTGACAAATTCCTCAGCAAAGCCTTTGACCTGGCACGGAAAGTTGAAGAGCTGCAGCAGAACCTCCGCGTGCAGGCAGCCGCTCGCTCTAATGCTGAGGCCCAACTGGCGGAGCTCAGGGCAGCTAGGAATGAGTCTCCAACCAGGCCGCGGCTGGAAGAAATCAGCGTAAACGAAGCCCCGTTCAATGGATCACCTACCCAAAGACGATCCAAGTTGAATGGACGCCACTACTCCAACACGTCTACTCCTCCGCGTCGGTCCGCGAATGCCGAAGTCGAGCAACTGCAGGACTCGCTCAAGTCAGAGAAGACTGCGGATATCCTCAGCTTCAACAACCGCATGGACCTCAAAGCTGAGGTTGAGGAGCTACAGAACCAGCTGCAGCTGGCACAGATGCAGAATCGACACTTGCAGAGCCAGCTCGAACGCTCGACTGCCGTCCCGGAAGCGTATCCTGATGAGAGCCGTCGGGTACAGAAGCTGGAGCAAGTGAACAGCAGGCTCCATGACATGCTCGACAAGTCCACGAAGCAGGTGTCGGCTTTGGAGAAAGCCCTACACACCGGTGAACTCTCACTTCGTGATATTCAGACCAAGTCTCACGAGGAAATACTGGATCTGCTCAACAGCCAAGAGGAGTCTCGGCGACTGCTGCTACACAGCCATAACGATGCCATCGCAGAGTTAACCGATATGAAGGAGCATCTAGAGAGACTGAGGCGCGACCGAGCCAAGACCGAGCTCGATCTGCGGGATGCGAAATCCGACCTTCAAGAGATGTCGCTTGCGAGGGAGCAGGAGGCAGCCAGCCGAGCCCAGCTGCTGCAGGAATTCGCCGACCTCCAGATCCGGATGGACGCAGAGGCCTCAAAGCTTGCTGATGTGACTGCCAGCCTCAACCTTTACAAGAGCCGTGCGGACGAGTACTTTAGCAAACTAGAACAGGCTGAAATTGCTGTGCTCAAGGCGAACCGTGCTGAGCAGTTCGCCAAGACACAGGCCAGGGAGGCCGAAGAGAGCTGCGCAGAGGTGATGGCAGAGAGGCAGCGTCTTGATAGCATGATTGAGGACCTCCAACTCCAGAATCAGAGACTGGAAGAGAAGATCGAAGACATGTCAACAGATCTGGAGGCCACGATGCAAGCAAAGAAGCGATTGCAGCACGAGCTTGAAGACTACCGCAACCAAAGGGCAAACGACATTGAGGACAAGGAATCCAGCATGGAACAGCTGCGTAAGAAGTACCAGGCTGAATTCGCCACCCTCACCAAGGAGCTGGACCTCACCCGGGAGGAGAAGCTGTTCAAGCAAGCTGAGATTGCGAGATTGCGCGAGGAGCTCGACGATCTCAGGTCCAAGTGGGATGACGAGGTCCTCAACAGCTCAACATGGTCGAAGGAGAAGGCTCGCTTACAGTCGACGCTCTCAGACGTCATGGCTTCCCGAGACGAGGCGGTCAGTGCTCACAACGAAGCTCAGGGTAAGATCGTGGCCTTGCTGTCGCAGGTACGCTCACTCCGAGCGTCAGTGGACGAAATCACATCGGAGCGCGACAGCCTGCTTCGCGAAAAACGGAACGTCGAAACACGGCTGGAGGAGGCCAAGGCCGGGCTTGAGGAGCTGGCTAAGGGCGAGAGCCCTTCGTTACGCAATGCCGCGAACATTGACAAGGAGATTTTAGATCTGAAGGCCGGCCTCGCGCAGCAGGAGGACATTGCGGCAGCGGCCGTGGAGAAGATGCGGCGTGCAGAGGCTCTCGTGTCTGAAGTTCAAAAGGACATCGTGGCGGAGAGAGAGGCAAGCGCCGAGTTGCAGAAACAGAAAGCTGCTTTGGAGAAGTCACTCAATGAAGTGCAGCTGAAACTTATCGACCTCGAGACTAAGGGTTACTCGACCGCCAGCCACGACATCAAGTTCCTGCACAAGCGGATCCAAGAGGTGAGCTTTTCACCTTTTATGCCCAAGATCCTACATGGATGTACTGACAAGTTTCACAGCTCGAGGCGCAACTCGAAGAGCACGAAAACGAACGCAGCAAGTCGCAGCGCTCAGTGCGCAACGTGGACCGCATCGTCAAGGACCTGCAGTCTCAGATTGAGCGCAAGGACAAGCAGAACACGCAGCTACAGGAGGACATGAACCGGATGCGCGACAAACTGGACAAGCTGCTCAAGACGATTGAGGAACTACAGGCATCCGAGAGCGCCAACGAACTATCTGCGCGGCGCGCGGAGCGAGAGCTTCGCGAAGAAAAGGAAAGGTCGCTCCAGCTGGAGCGCGAGCTTGAAGGGTGGAAGCTCCGGATAGAAAAGGGAGGTTCGGGCGCCAGCGTTGCTGGAAGCGTTTTCGGCGGGAGCGTGCGTGGAAGACATGGCGGAGCGATGTATGGGGACGACGTCAAGATACCCCAACGAAAGAGCAGCATTAGCAGGGTTCCCAGCTTGACGAAGGGGTTCTTGTAGATGGTCGCGGTTAAGGTTGGGTGTTCATCAGCTTTTGCTTTTGGCATAATTCTCTCATATGGGTATTGTTGATGATGGCATGGTCTAATGAGCAACGGGGTCTGCATGTTGGGAACGGGGATATGTCTCTGGGCAGATACCACTTGGGGGTTAATGGGGATGCACTGCGAGCATCGTGTTGTGTTGTTGTCTCACCCCGGCTGGTTAGGCAATGTACTGTATCATCATCCTCTTTATCATGCTGTTAACTCTGGTCACTTTACACTAGGCTTGAGTCTAATTGGGATACATATGCGCGAGCGTGACATTGTCTGCCTCACCACCACCACTCAAGCAGAAACGACAGGCCTGGACGATAAGTGATGTAGTTATGTTGCCTAGGAGCCATGCTATTCTCATAGAGACCATTTGGTGGAGATTTCTCGTGCAATCCTCTGTGGCGCAATTGGCTAGCGCGTCTGACTGTTAATCAGGAGGTTGGAAGTTCGAGCCTTCCCGGAGGAGCTTGTTGAATGTTACCCTAGCAAGGCACTGCCTGGAGCAAGCACCCCTTTTGTTTTCATGGGGGAACCCCCTTTCTTGTTTATTTTTCCCGGCGCCCAACGACGAGAAGGGAGAAGGGCTTTCCATAGTTCTGTGCCCAATGTTATTTTCTGTAGGGTAAACCTTGTTAATGCTGGTCCAGAATGTCTGCCTAACTATGCCTTAGCCACTGCAGAACGGAGTGTGTGCCAAGTCCTCCTCCCGGTGTCGATGTAAACCGAGTCTCGCTTTCCATATAGACGTCAAGGCTGGGCACCTTCTGCCCGGATGCTGGTTGCTCTCGACCGGGTCCGTTACATTCCAATGCTGCCCAACAGATTGAGAAACGACGACCGAGTTCACCTCCCATGACGAAGAAGGTGCAAAGGCTTACGACAACCAGAGGGTTCTGTGTGATGAGATAAGTAACCCATTTTCTCCTGTCACTCATCTCCCTCTTTTCCACCTTTTCAAGTCTTAACCCATCGTTAAAAGACCTTGCTTTGCTTAAAGTCATCGCTATTCTTGAGGAATATCAGTCCATTCTCGAAGGATTCGAAGTTATCGCCATGAAGACCGGTTGTGCCTTGCTCGCAGTCGCCGGAGCGGCCATGGCTCAGAGATTTGCTGGTCAGCCTGCATGCGCCGTACGTCGTCTCTCATCGCACATAAACGCCACTTGGATGACCGCTGACTGTAAGGGTTGTTTCAGACCGGCTGTCTGTCCTCGGCAATCGCTGCTGCTGGTTGCGGGTCTGATGACCTTGGCTGCCAATGCGGCGAGAAGAACTCGGAGATTGCCAACAAGGCGGTGCCTTGTCTCATTTCAAGCTGCCCAGCTGCCCAACTGATGCAGATTCGAAGTGCTGCCTCGGCCGTTTGCTCAGGTTACTCGGCAACAGCCGCGCCGGCAGCCGTTCTTGCCCGGATCACTGAGCCCGCCTCTCTGCCATCGCCGTATCCGGATATCCCCGCGAAAATAGTCATCATCACGAGGCCTATTGTGGTTACCGTGTCGGCAACGGAGCCTACTCTCGCCCCTACTATGTCAACATCGGAGGATATGCCCACTGCAAGCGCTGCTGTAGTGGGTGCTCCGGTGTTCTTTGCTGCGGGTGTCATCCTGGGTTTGTTGGCAATCACCGCCTTCTTGTGACAAGACGGCGTATGGCTGAGGACATGGGGAGACTCTGATAACCGCACGTCCACCTGTAAACCCGATTACTGCATGAGGAAGAATCCACTAGAAGTTCGACAAGTTGAACTCCTGGGTAGCTCGTTTTGAAGCCGATGGAGCCCCCGCCCTCGCCGAGCTGTTCTCACCACAATGATAGATCATGGGAGTCATGTATGTCTTAGGCCACTATTCACGCCGCGATTGTTGCAGCAGACTCCAAGGAAGGGCTATTGGTATCCTGAATCACCATAGTTTGAGTAACACGACGTCTTTGTTTGCATCTTGCAGTTTGAAGCTCACCTCGAGGACGCCAACCGCATCGCCAACAGACATACCTCGTCAGTGGGAGTGTTGGGGGCGGTTGCCATCGAGCAGGGGCACAATGGGAGTCACCCGCCGTTGTATAATGCAGACCGTGAGCTGTGGGTTATCAGAGGCTGTGATGTGCTTGAAGCAACTCCCCGTCGAGAAGTGTCCAGTTGACTCACGAGTGTACTTACCTGGCAACGTTACTGCCATTAGTACTACAATTCAACAGTAGTGTATTGTATTGTGGTATATACAGTATGTACATACAATACATACAGTACTTGGTCACCTTAATGTCTTGAACTCTGTTAGCTGTACGGATAATATACGGTAACACCATGCATTACGTTACGTTGCTATCGTTACTGTACAAGTACAATACAGTACGCTCATTTATTCTCTTCATTGACGTCCAACCGCAGTCTCATTGCGAAATAACGCTTGAGTGGATGAACTGCGTCAAGTATTCAACAACTCACATAAACCGGAGGATACGGATGAATTCGCGAAGTCCTTCTCTAATAAACCATATCTGTTGAGTGGCAGCACCGCGGTTCCTGCCTATTCGTACTCATCTCCTCGTTTCATCTCCTCCCTTTCCCTTTCATACATATTCTACGTCTCCTCAACATGGCTACCGAAGTCGCCCTCGAAACATCAATGGTATAGCAACACCTAACACGGGTGTAGTTCTTGTAAACCGTTTCCTGACCAATATCTCAGGGCACCATTACCCTTGAGCTGTACACGCACCACGCCCCCAGGACATGCGAGAACTTCTCGACCCTGGCCTCGCGCGGCTACTACAATAACACCATTTTCCACCGCATCATCAAGGATTTCATGATCCAGGGCGGCGACCCGACCGGCACCGGGCGCGGGGGCACCAGCATCTACGGCGACAAGTTCGAGGACGAGATACACCCCGAACTGAAGCGTACTTCATCCTCTCCTCGCTCCCCACGTTCCTGGCTAATCAAAAGCTGATCACTGTTGGCTACCTCAGACACCGGGGCAGGAATCCTCTCCATGGCTAATGCAGGCCCCAACACAAACGGCAGCCAGTTTTTTATCACACTGGCACCCACTCCTTGGCTGGACGGAAAGCACACCATTTTCGGACGAGTCAAGAAGGGAATCAAAGTGGTGCAGCGGATGGGACTTGTGCCCGTCGATGGCGACGACCGGCCAAAGACAGAGGTAAAGATAAATAAAGCCTACGTAGTAGAGGCGGGCGAAGATGAGGGTGTTTAGAGCAGGGGTTGCAAATTCTGCAAAGATGTCATATTTTCCTCGGCCTACGCTCCGTGTATGAATGCAATTATGTCCCGCGCCATGACTATAATACACGAGGGCAGATGGCAGAGCGCCCAGGACAAATCAAGAAGCTGGCAACAAGCCATCAGATCTGTCGTCCCTGTACCCTGAGGGGGACACAACCAAAGAATCGGTCGGGCAAGAGAGTCTCTCCGGTCCTCGTAGAACGACCTTGGACCCGAAACAAGTCACTGCCATGTTCCAGACCCTGACCGTTGTGATTGCCGGCTTATTTTCTGTTTGACCTAGCCTCCGTAGACGATCCGGGGCCCATGAAAAGAAAAATAGCAGTGAACGCCGCCGTCCGAGCAGGCCCACCAGCAGCAAATGCAAAAGAAAACCGACTCAAACACTCTCATAAATGCAGCTTATAAAAGTGTAATGCAGTCGAGTGCGAAGCCGAGCTAAGCTCCGCCCTGGAGGAGAGACTGTTTCTCGATCATAGCCAGGATCAACGGGGAGGTGACGACAACGTCCCGGATGACTCGCTCTCCATGTCACGGTCTCTCTTAGATTTTTTCCCCGCCGGGGAAGGCAGAGGCGGCTTTGGTGGTCCAAGCTTAATCTTTTTGGCGGGCGACGGTCCTTTTGGGGTGGGTTTCTTCGGGGCTACCTGCACCGTGGACTCCTTCGCCTCGTTGCCATCCGCTTTTTGTTCTACATTGAGCATCGAAGAGCCCTTGGGCTTGTCCTTCTTGAGGGTGGGTGTTGAACTCTTGGCCTTGACAATGAGCTTCTTGTTAATACTGGTTGGTTTAAGCTTCTTCTTCTTGGGGTTGGTGGGATCAGACTCGTCCGCGTCCTCGTCGAACTCGTCACCGTCCCGTTTCCTGGGGCTTGCAGCACGGCTCCCAGGGAGCGGGGTACCTTTCTGGCTGCCGGGCGGTGTGTTGTCGTTATTTTGGCTTCCAGCATTGCTCCCATTGCTGATCTTCTGTGCTGCTGCTCTACTGGCATTGCGCCCACTGTTGCCAATGCAAGAGCCCATGTGGTTGTTCAAGCGAGTCACTAGGATGCACCGCTTGCACTTTGAGCAAGTCGCGCTGGGGAAGCTGAGCACGTTCGGAGGCCGATCTTTGGCACTTCCTTCTGTGCCTGGTACCGGTGAACTGGGGTCGTTGGGGTCGAGCTTCTTCTCCATGTCCTTCTTCTTCTTACCCCGTCCAGGGCCCGGGGCAACCCACGTCTGGCCATAGATGTCGTAGCCAGGCTTGTCAATGTAGGGATGCCTCTTGCAGTAGATGACGCCCGGGTCCGGCTTCCTGGCGCCTTTGCCGTCTGTCGGATGCAGCAGCCGCGGAAGATGACATCTCGGACATAGAATCTCCTTGGTCGTCTTCAGGGGATTTCCCTTGAGGGTAACTTTCCCGTCCTTGTATATCGCTGCGTCTGTCTCGATCTCCACGTCTGGTTTGAGGTCTGCAGTTGCGCCGTCTATGGTGTTCATGGCAAGTTTCTCCACCTTGATCGCGGCCGTGTTCGCGCGGGCTGTCTTCTCATCTCTGTGTACCTTAATCAAGAGATCGTGAACGATGTTGTACAATAGGTCATCGAGAACGCCATGTGCCTAGAAGGAGCGAAGAAACAATTGTCAGCAACATGGCCAGTGAAGGCGCACCACTGCGACGGGCAGAGTGCATCTCGCTCGGCTTACAAGTTTGTCCACAGGGTTTGCATCCTCGGAAGCGACAATGACACCCGCCTTGCCGGTCAAATCTGTTACCTCCGACATGGTCGGGTTTGCTGTTTTGCGGTATGGAGGTTGGAAGGTGAGGAGAAGAAGACGGCTGGTCTCGTGAGGTGGTGAACGGATTCTTGAAGCGACCGGCCAGCCTGAATTGAACTGACAGCTGCTTGATATTTTTGGGGGGTTTTTTTACCAGCTCCTCAACGCTCAGCTCCCCGGGGCGGTCCCTAGGTAGGTCCAGCCTCTCAAGTCAACGGAACCCCGGGCAGCAGTGGCAATCTGATCAACCTAGCTGATGCCGTAAATGATGTTTTATCAGCTACCGTTTTGCAGATTGCGATTGAAAATTGTGCTTTTCAGCCGAACGCTGGATGTAATTGCGGGTTTCGCCTCACCTTACTTAGATGGTTGAGAACAGAAGGGGGGGTTGTATCCCAGTCCACTAAACTGCGTTTTCTGTTAGTGGGTCTGATACACTGAACAGTGGGAACCCACTGCAGGCAACGGCATGCCAGCCCCTGATGACGTGCCACTAGCCAGCCCAGTATGATTACGTGTAATTACGGAGTAGCGTCTCCCAGGCCCGAAGAAAGCCTACCAAAACCTGCATCAGATTTAAATTCTGCCGGCCAAAAAAAAAGGCGGTGGGTGCATTCCATAGAGAGGAGGAAGGCTGCATGTGTACGGATACTGTACAGTACAGTACCTGACAGGTCAACCTGCCCGAGCCTACCTTACAGTAAGGGAATTAACATGGGCGCTCCATTTGGAGGCTGAAATCAAGATGGATGTTGCTGTAACTGCGAGTATCTCTGTCACCTTTCACTTCTAGTCTCCAGTCGGGTCACGTTCTTGAAGGTATGAAACTTTATATCACTGGATCCAACGACCAATTATGACACTGATCCTCCCGTCGCCGCTGCATTATTTCATACAATACCCTGATGGTGCGAACCGGAGCTACGATCTTCTATTCGCGAAGTGCAAAAGTTATGGTTTACTAGGTGATAATCAGGGCTTGCCTCAAGTCGGTTTGAAGGTCCGGAACCGGCAAGCAGGGATCATCACTGAGGCGGTCAATAAACGTTCGGAACACTGTTCCATGCCGTCGACCGCAATATCAGCATTGAACAAGGGCCGGTGGATGATAGCGTACCTTGTTACAACTTGCAAGCGGTGTTACCAGAGTTCCCAATCCTCGAAAGATGTCGCGTTCTCAGCAACCATCCATCCGTTCCTTCTTCCAGCCGAAATCTCAACCCGCCTACGCTTCCCCTCCATCAGACCACCCGCTAGATTCAACCACCACCGAAGCGACCAATAAGTCGGCATCACCACCGGCTCCTCCACCGGCGCCGCCACTCCCACAAATTACTGGGGCCGCGAACCCAACTCATTTCCTAGCCACGAACGTTGGTCCTGTTCTGCCGCCACCTCCGTCTCTCCCGTCGGGCGCGACCATCGTTCCGCTTGCAGAGCAACACATACCTGCGCTACGGCGAATCAACTCTCTTCTCCTCCCTGTAGCCTACCCCGACTCGTTTTATACAAAAGCGCTCGACCCGCTTACCTCTGGCCTCTTCTCCCGTGCTATTCTTTGGCAAGATTCGACTGCCGACACCCCCAAGGTCGTGGGTGGCCTGATATGCCGACTAGAGCCGAACCATTTCGTCGACGCCCACGGGCAACCGTTGCCATGGAGCCCGCTCCCCACACACGGCCAAAACACAACGCCGGCTTCACTTAATACGCCGTACCACGCCATCTATATCCAATCCCTCGCGCTGCTCTCCCCGTTCCGCTCGCTCGGTCTGGCCGCCGCCGCCCTCGAGCACATCATCGCCAGCGCCGCCCTCCTCCCAGCATCTGGGTCTGGCATTGACGCGCGAACAATCTACGCCCATGTCTGGACCGAAAATGAGGAGGGGCTCAAGTGGTACGAAGCGCGGGGCTTTGCGCGCCATGGCCAAGAGCCCGTGAAAGGATATTACTTCAAGCTGCGACCCGACACAGCATGGATTGTGCGGCGTGACATAGCGACAGCGGGCTCTTTACCTTCTGCAAACCAACCACAACCGTCTCTATCATCTATTCAGCCCCAGTCAAGCACAACAATACCGGGCAGCAGAGGTGCGGGCAGCGTTCTCGCAGCAGCTGTCAACCTACCGCCCATATCCTCCTCTATGGCGCCCTCGCCATCCTCGTCTCCGTCCCCAGCGGCAGTTAGCCTTCAGCCCACGCAAGGGGGAGCTGCAGCAACCGTTACCAATGGTACCGGGGCCCCTCGCCGACCACCCCCCACCGCAACAACCCCCTCTTCCTCGACCAGCTCCCTCTCCTTCCAGAACATGCGGCCTGAAACGGAGTGGAACGACCTGCCCGCCGATATGGTTGGTCGGAACCAGCACCTTTCCCCAAACAGTGTGCCACGATCCAACGCAAGCTCCAGGAGTAGCTCAACAGCGAGGAAGAAGAAGGAGAGGGCTTACCCTTCCGCAGCTTTTGGGAACTAAATCATACAGATTGGTCTGTATTGTGTCTACGCATACCCAGCAGGTTTGGTAACGTACCCTATGGATAATAGGAATTGGGTGGTCCGTATTCAGGGGCTATAGATGTTGACCTCTCGGATCAGGTTGAATTATGGGCTTGTGGATACACATGAATAGACGAGAACGTACTGCATCACACTACACTATACCACACGAGCAAGGCTTAGTTAACTTCTTAATCAATTCAAGCCGGTCTCTCAACAGCGACGCTAGCTACAGGGTAGCTTTGAACACAGGAACTTGCTCTCAAGTCACCCGAAGAGACTGAAAGATCCGTCCCTGGGTGAGTAAGATGCTAGAAATTCAGCATCGGCTAGGTGCCGAATGCCCAAAGCAGCTACCAGTTAAAGTCATACATTCGCCGCTGTCCGCTAGCAGCAGCATCCGCCGCTACATACCAGAGTGTATAGCAAAGGCCAGCAAAGTCACGCCCTCGCAAGGACTTTCCGATTCACTCTCACATGGTAGAACAACACTTCTCAATGCCTCTTTCGATGGTGACGGGCCAAGACCATGCCTAGTCAGCCGTGGCCATTTCGTCATCCTCGGGGACGGCGTTGAGCTTGTGCTCCTCAGCCTTTGAGCGTATCTCGCCAATGTAGTCGGCCGCGCTCGAGTTCTTTTCCATGCCCGCGGCAACGAGGGCGATGAGAGCGGCACCGACGCCAGATCCATCCTTGGCGATGCCGATGCGAATGCGCTTTGCACCCTCCTCGCCAATGCCGTCAACGATGCGCAGCCCTTCATAAATCATATCCCGGAAATAAGGGTAGTGCTCAACCAAGCTTCCATCAACGCCAATGTCAATCGGTTCATCCTGGAACGCCGGGTCGTCCAGTTTGCCCGACTGCAGGACAATTGCCGCGATGGCAACGGCCGAAAGCCGTGCGGCGCGCCGACCGATGGCATTGGCGATTGCCTTGAACGCCTGCGCATCGTCGTGGGCGGGGGCATAGACGTGCAGTGTGGACTCGAGCGCCTGGCGGAGAGTCGAGAGCTCGGGGGTATTGTCCGCCGCGGCAACCGACATGATGGAGGTGTCAAGACCCCACTGCTTGTAGAGATCCGATGTTTCTGCAATGGTGGTTGTTGACACCCAATCGTTCGATGACGAGTTCTCATCCTTGAAGAATGAGACATTGGGATTCTTCAGGAGGTCGATAACAACCAGTCGCAGGATCTCGCCAAGGAACATGCCCGAGACGCGCTTTTCGTACATCTGAATGCCAGGGTTTGGACTCGCCTTGTCCAGTGCATCGTCCCATGGAGTGTTGGGCAAGACATTGAGCTGGTTATCGAAAGAACCCCACTCGGTGTTGATGACCATCTCGCCTGTAGATTGGTCGTACTCGCCTTCGAGTGGCTTCTTGATCTTGGACAACTTCTCCACATACGCGCCGTTCGTGCCCGTGCCAAAAATGGCACCCAGCATGGTACCATGCTTGCCCGGGGAGGTATATGACCGGGCCATGAGAGTTCCCACCGTATCGTTGACGAGAGCAGCTACCTTGACAGGCAGGTGAAGCTTGTCGATCTCAGCCTGCAGAAGGGCACACACGTCCTTGCCAACCGCATCGGGAATATCGAAGCCTTTCGTCCACCTTATGAGAGTGCCTTTGTTGATTCCGATCTGTTTGACAGGGAAGCTGAAGGTGAACCCCATGCGGAATGCATTCTCATCCCTGTAGCCATCCGGGGAGCTCATGGTCAAGCGCCGCCTGACATGTTGTTCGAATTGGTCTCCGTGGTGTTTCTGGAGAAACTTCTGGATCTCGAGTGCTAGAAACGCAAAGAGCTCTTGCGCTGTCTTTGCGACCATAAGCTCTTTGGGGATCGCGACTTTGCTGTAGGCAAGATTGAAGGTGGTGTTGCCATTGAGCTTGATCGAGCAGACACGGAAGTTTGTTCCGCCAAGATCGACAGCCATGTACAGACCCTACAATTAAGAGAGGTTAGCACCCGTGACTTTTCGTTTACGAGAGGATATTGAGACAGACCTTTTCTGTGCCGTTTGGCACCGCAGTGACGTATGTGGGGATCTGGCTCAGACTAGTCCCATCCTTCTCCAGACCCTCAGCTGCGTACTTTGTTAGCAGAGCCTACGGGCCCGTAGCGTTCGGACTCCGGCGCCTACCCATCTGGCGGAGGAATTCCAAAACACCCTTGTTGACATCCTCGTCCGTATACTCGAATTGAGCAACAATGCTCTTTGTCTCAGCTTCGAGAGACATGGCGAGCGGCTTCGATATGGGAGGCGTTTTTGGAAACGGGAGCGGGTTTTCGCAGATGGCTAGGTCCTCAGCAGTCGCTGCCCTGGGCGAATGCGCGGCTGGAGAATAAGCAGCTCTGGGGTGAGAAGGAATATTCGATATGGGAGAAAACAGAATTCTGAGGTCCGGCAGGAAGAATTGGAGCACCTGAAGTTGTTAACTTATGAGCCTAGAATGGGTGGCTCAATGTGTGGTGTTGGTGCGAGAAATTGGGGGATGGAGGGGCACAAAGCGGCGCCGATGCGATCAATGCGGGGTGCTCAGTTTGCCTTGCTGCGTGCTCCCTCATGCAGTAACTGCAGCAATAGACGACTTTGCCCGCGGGTTGCATGATGAGGAGGGAAAAACCTAAACTTACGAAGGCGAGAATCAAAAAGGCCAAAGAGCACACATGAACCAAGCTGAGCGAGGAGCCGAAGTAGCGGCGCGGATTGCTTTTTCGGTTCGCAACAGCTGGTGGGCTGATAAAGGCGCGCCGAGCGGCGCCTGGAAGCTCTGATGATGACGTTTTGACGGCTGCTGGGGAAGACAAGCCGCGCGAGCGAAGTATGATAGGTCGGCGCGGTGAGCAGCGGGGTCTTCTGGGGTACCCCTCGGAACGAATGCAGCTTTTCGTGAAATTAAACGCGCATTCAAGCAAGATATCAGTGGTGTTGTGAGCTGTCGTGGGGATATGTTCGGCGAAATATGCCGTGATTCCTCGGCCGCCGGTTCGGTAGTGTTTGATCGGTCGATATGGGCCCAGACTTCGCTATCCCAGAAAGCGCAAATAGCAAAGCTGAGATAAAAGCCAACACGGAGTGAAGAGTTGAAGAATAGACGAGGATTGAGAATGGTGATGGGGTAGACGCCGCCAAATACCAGAATGGACGTGGGGGATTTTCCTGCAGGCATGGATCTCAGATCTGCGGTCAAGAAGATGGAGGCAGCGATTTACACCACCGGGACCACGTTCAGGATCTCGAGATCCAGTTGGTGAACCAGCCAACCAGAATGTATCCTGACTACAATTGGGCCACTATTTGAGTACCGGGTAGCGACCTCTTGAACCAGGGATTCAGTGCTTGATAACCGGCTGCCCGGTTCCTGGTGCACCTCAACAAATGAAGAGCCCATGACCAGCCCGGGCGGCAGAGAACCCCGCGGCTCTCAGAACCTTCCAGGGTGGGGGGAGGCCAGGATTACAAGAACCAATGAATTTCTTACCAGACTCTGCAAGCCCACCAGGCCCCACCTGGCAGCTTTGCGTTCGTGCGGTGGAGCTAAATCAGTTGTAATTACATACGGTAAATCCTGTACGAATATTACTCTGAACTTCAAGTTGCGTACTCGGTATGACTATGAACTGCAAACAGCGTTGTAAGGGAGTGGGCGAGATGTCCACGCAACGACAGAATCGAAATTAAGATTCTTATATTTTAACATCACCATCATGTACTCTCAACTCCAATATGTCAATACATGGTACACTATACAATACGTGGTATGTACTGTACAAGTGTGTACGTCCGATATCACCCCTCTGCTGGACATCTCAATGGCTAGCTCATAACGTTAGATGTGAGGAGATGGAAGCCATCGACGGACTTTGACTCGTACTACTGACCGAGAAACCACCTATAGCCGATGCACGCACTGATAAATAACCCGTCCAAACTGCAATGGCCACATACTCGAATATTCTTTCCTGTTGATCGCAAGGTTTACAGCGTGGATCATGGTTTCTCCAATGTCCCATAAAGCCCCAGAGTGATATCAAATCTTGATATGCGGGATATTGTTATTGTTAAGCGGCCGTAAAAAATCCAATGTAAGCCGCTTCGTGTCTTTCAGTGAGACTGCTACCGCTGCTTCCGAAGAGCAGGCGGGCAGTGGGTGCTCCGGACTAGGCCGCTGGCATTGGCGACCCCGATATGCCACCATCCACTGGCCAGCTGCCATGCATTTTCGATGATGACAGGCTCGATACGAATCAATGGGCGATTCAGGCCGACAACAAGCTCCGACACTTAAAAAGTCGGTGTGCCTAGATCTGAATATGTACTTGGTGCGTCCGTAGTCCCCGGCAGAGGTGATAAAAGAGTTCGAGTCCTAGGCTTAGGTAGTCGTCAGGAAACGGCATACATCTTGCATCCGTAGCATGCTGTCAGCACGTGGTTGACTTCTGACAGGCGGCCGGTCATTGGGGCCCCGCAACGCCAGTTCTGAGACATGCCATCGGACAGAGCCGCAACGGGACCTAAAGATGAGAAGCAGCGTAGTGTAACCTTCCATGTTAGCCATCTCTGTGGAATCATCATTCCGAATCTTCCATACTCGTGAAATGCTCGATCCGGTGCAAGCTGTCCAAGGTGGTTTGTCAGTGGACGGAAAGTTGCTGAACCGAAACAAATTCGCATCATCGCTGCGGCTGACACAGGGTGGAGCCACTTCCCACCGCCCCAACCGCCCAATCGGAAACTGGGTTCTTCGAGCTGCTATTGGCTCGTAATCGGCCAAGAAACGGCAGCGCCTCGAGCTGAGCCACATTCCGGCAGGCGGCACGACATTCATCAGTTGACAGTTCAAGTCCTACGAAGGTCCTACCGTCGTCACATGTCCCACTTGGTTTTAGGCCTCGCACGGCAGTCATTTACTAAAATCTATGTTCACCTCAACGCAGTTCAAAGTCCGGTTGTCTTGGAATGATCGTATAGGTATGAGTTGCCACGCTAATTACCAACCACAGTCAAACCTGCACATAACGATTGGCTCCGGAACGGCCAACTTAATCGTTAATCCCCGGTTATCGCTGTCCTGAGGTACCCACTTTCTACCCAAAATGGAAAGACTGAGGCTCTCGCCCGCTCTCACCAGCTCAGGAGGTTGGCATTGCGGAATGATAGAGAGTTAACAACTATAGTGCGACTGGGCCGCTTTCCGTGTACAATTCTAAGCCACTATATAATATTTAATATAAGGTCATCAGGGCCTAGAGGTCAACGAATATAACGATTTGTATGTATTACTAAGCAGAATATCTACGATTATCTTAATACTCCGACACTAACGATTTCCCATACAAATCCGTATGGGAAACAGATTCTGATCGTTAAACCCCGAAAATCGTTATGTGCCTAATCGCTATGTGCGGGTCTGACTGTACAGCAACGTCCATACCACAACACAGTCCATCTTACTCAAGGCCCTTAATCATAGCTTACAGGGCTTCCGTCCTGCACCTGTAGGTCGGTCTACTCTACAAGACTGTGAACGTGCCCCTAGGGCCCGCAAACAATGACAACCTAACTGAAAGGCAACTTACACCAGGTCAAAACCAAAGGCTTCGCGCAGACGGGCGGGAACCTCCAGATATTGCTTGATCATCCACCACTTGGGTGTGCTGAAACAGGTCGTCAGGCCCAAAGACTACCTGAGGCCCAACTACAAACCTGGCCGCTAACATGCATCACGCCACAGGGGCAACGGAGTTTCTGCCCAGGACTCAAGTTCCCCCGCCAGAAATGGGTCTGTACTAGTAGACTACACTAAACGCTTGGCCCACAGTATTAGCTGCGACCAATTGACGGACCTGGGTGCGAATTGAACCCAAGTTCCTGGGCCTCGTTGCGAATTCTTCCACTGATACATGCTAGATTTGCCTGATACCGCCGGGATGGATGAACAAATGGTGATTTAGGACTTGGACAGTTTGTGCCTTGGTGTCGTATAGTACGTAGGGTATACTATGCTTTACTGCTTGCTTACCTTCCCTCAGGAATTGGGCTGCCCTGCGGCCTGGGCCTGCATGCTGTGTGCTTTCGAGCCCAAAGAGCAAAGAGTGGGGCCGGTAATGTATTCGCACGATTCCTGTATTGTACGGAGTATAGTACAATACAGATATGAAACCTGCACGGAGCGGGAACTCTACGAACTACAACCATCAAGCTCATTACGCGGGTTGCCTACATTCAGTTCAGTTGTAGGGAAAGAAGATGTATGTAATATATGTAGGGAAAGAAGATGCACGATACTTACTGTCCATTTAGCTATCGACAGGTTTATGGCATAAGGTACTAGCTTACAAATATTGAGCCTCTTACACTGGCTGGGTTCTCTTCAAACACAGCTGGCAAAGCAGGGTGGAAACCCTCTCGCAGTTAACGGTTGTCATCCAGTACATAACAATATTGTACAAGGACTTCCATCAATTTCTGCCTTTACATAAAGTATTCTAGGCCCCCAGGTTTCAAGTTAATAAAAATCTGTAAGCTGGCTCAGCCCTACACCCCTCTTCTGCGTGGGATGGCTGTTGGAGCAGTCATGCAAGTGTTGGCATGTATTGTACTGTACATACAGTACAATAACGTTACCGTTTGTGTAACTTCACCAGCCACATCAGTGCCTGACCGTCCCGCTGCCCGCCCCCGTCCTTTTGATCAGAGTCCCCGCCATGCCACATTCTCCCAAGCAAGCAGTGCGAAGCACGCCCACACCTTAGGTTCAGTCCAGGACTCCAGGAAGCCCTGCGCCCCTCCCCACCACCCAGCCGCAGCGCGAATCCACCATTCCACCTGCAGCCCAGAAGTCCTACCCCCGTTAGGAAGCACTAATCAAATTCCCCCCTCCCCAGACTCAGCTCTCTCTCTTTCTTGGGTTGACCAGCTCGACGCCGCAGCCCGCCCACCTTGCCGACTTTCGCTCACCCCCCTCCCCTTCTTTCTTCCCTTTAATACTCCAACTTGTCCTGTCCTTCCCCTTATGAGTTCTTTGAACTCTCGCCTGAAAGGCTTTGGTTTTGGTAAACGCAAATCGAGCGCCGCCTTCCATCCCCAGAGTGGGAACGCTCCGAGTCCCAGTGTCGCCCAAAGCCAGACCCCGCCCTTGGTAGCCCCTCAAATACCGCCCTTGTTCCCTTCGCCGCCGGGTCCGGCCCCGTCGAGTGCATCCGACACGTCCCAATCGAGCCTCCCAATGAATCATCCAGGCGCTGGTCCTCGACCGCCCAGCTACTCAGCGACGAACTATCCTCCAGGTCCTCCCAACGCTATTGGCCGCACGAGCCCGCTCGCGAACCAAGGCCCGGCCCGAACTCCACCCTCGCAAATGGTTGGAGGCCCGCCGCCCATCAACACCGGCGCCCCTCCGGTCGCCGGGTATCCGCCACCCGTTATGGGAGGTGGCCCTCCTCCCGTTCCTGGCGGGCCGCCCGGGTATGCAGGCCCTACTGGCTACCCTCCCCCGCCGCCCCAAGCCGCGGGCCCTATGGCTCCGTTCACGCGGAATGCGGCTGCCGAGGTTGAGGGCAACAGCCGGAGTAAGGCGCAGCTAATTGTCGGCATCGACTTTGTACGTGGTCCTATCTTTGGTTTGTTGAAATCGGCCTTCTAACAAATCCAAACTGTGCAGGGCACCACCTTCTCCGGTGTGGCGTTTGCCTTTGCTACAAACAACGAGGCGAAGGAGGACATTATTACTGAATGGCCTGGTGCTGGCTCATACACAAAGCAGAAGGTTGGTGTGCACGCCCTTCAGATTGCGCGGTGTACGGCATGTTCTAACCCTCGACACTCGTTAGATTCCCACGGTCCTCTACTATGACCAGTATCAGAAAGTGGTTGGCTGGGGCCCAGATATCGCCGACGCCCTTGCGCCGACGGGATATCCCAAGCCTGGCGTGCAGAAGGTTGAGTGGTTTAAGCTTCAACTAATGCTGTCAGGCAACACGTACATTGACCCCATTAATCTCCCTCCCCTGCCGCCAGGCAAGTCCGAGATTGATGTGGCAGCCGATTATCTCTTCAAGCTCCGGCAGGCTATGCGGGCAGCCCTCCAGAAGACGCTGGGTGAGGTGTTTAACCGCGAGGAGAGGAACATTCGCTACTATTTGACTGTCCCTGCTATTTGGAACGATGCCGGCAAGGCCGCCACTAGAGCCGCGGCCATTCAGGCTGGTTTCCTCCGCGACGAGAACGACAACCGGCTGACGCTGGTCAGCGAGCCCGAGGCTGCCGCCTTGTTTTGCTCAAAGACCGGACTGCTGAACCTCAAGGTACACGATGCCGTGCTGATTGTCGATTGCGGTGGTGGTACCGTCGATCTTATCGCATACGAAGTCGAAGATGAGAACCCCTTCACCGTGGCCGAATGCACGGCCGGGTCCGGCGACTCATGCGGGTCGACCGCCCTGAACCGGAATTTCAGCAATATCCTGCGGACAAAGATTCGGAAGATGAAACTGCCTGATGGCTCTAAGACGGCCGGACGTGTCTATGCCAAGTGCATCATGGATTTCGAGAACCGGATCAAGGCAGACTTCCGGAACAATGGTCAAAAATGGGCCGTGGACGTTGGTATCGAGGCCGAGTTTCCCGAGGCGGGCATCGAGGAGGGCTACATGACCTTCACCAACGAGGAGATTCTGCAGTGCTTCGAGCCCGTGGTCAATCGCATTCTCGAGCTCGTCAGGAACCAGATCATTGCCATTCAGGCGCAAAATCGCACGCTCCAGAACATCCTGGTCGTGGGTGGTTTTGGTGCGTCGGAATATCTCTTTCAGCAAATCAAACTCCATGTACCACCGCAGTTCCAGTCCAAGGTCGTCCGGCCGATGGACTCGGTGGCTGCCATCGTCAAGGGTGCCGTCACGGCCGGCATCACGGAGCGAGTCATCACTCACCGTGTTGCCCGTCGCCACTACCTCATGGCTACGCTGCAACCGTTTAAGGAGGGCTATCACCCAGAGGCATACCGAGTACCGTCCCTTGACGGCAAGGACCGTTGCAAGTTCACACGCCAAATTTTTGTCCAGAAGGGCCAGAAAGTCAAGATTGGAGAGCCTGTCAAAGTGTCATTCTTCCGACAAGTCGCTCCTGGCGCCACGCTGATGTACGAGGACATCCTGTACGCCTGCGACGATGACGTTTGCCCGGAGTACACCAAGGATCCCAGTACGTCCTGTCACTTGATACTGCCCCCAGCTGTTACTGACATTGTGAGTAGGAATCAAGGAGGTGGTGACCCTTACGTCAGATCTTTCACGCAAGAACTTGGAGAAGGATTTTGAACGGATGGATACACCGCAGGGAACGTTCTACCGCGTCTATTTCGACATTTACCTTACTCTGGACGGCTCAGAATTCAGCGCCGAGCTTGTCTGCCAAGGTGAGGTCATGGGTCGCTGCCGCGCACGTTTTAGATAAGACGGAGTTGGTTGATGAGAGTTGTTGCTATTGATTTTGCACCGCACCGGATCTCCACAATGATACCTCTTTGAAAGTACAATGGGTAGCGTTTCGCATAGCGGGCAAATTGACGCTCCTACCTTGAAGAAACAAAAAACACAGATGGCTGGGTCTTCGACTGGCATGTGGTGGAGCCGGATCGTGAGACGAGGAAGATGCATCAGGCCGACAGCCCACGCAAGAACACGATTTGTATTGCCGTGAGCAGGATGATGTGGTGAACCGATTTTCACGGTTCAAGGCACGGTACCTTCAGCCTTGAGAACAAGGAAGGGAAGGGCACCTCCTAATTTGAATTCTAAGAGCACGTTATCTGTTTTTAGTCAGTAGATAGCCCGGGTGGTAATGCAAGTGCGATTCTTGTATCCATTCTGGAGTTGCTCGCTCTTCAGTAACTTACCGCTGCGCCCATCCTCTCTCACCTCACCGGCTGGTTGAAAGTGGCGGTTCTTGTAAATAAGACGAACTCGAAAATAGGATACGGGAAGTCCTGCGTCGTCTCGTTTCTGTCGTTAGAGCCACGACTTTGATCTGGGAAAAAATACACCCACTTAGGGAAACTTAGGGATCACACATGGAGGAGCACCCAAGGAGGAAGTCTAACTAGCAAAGAGATCCAATATATTCACATCGACAAAGATGTCAGGTAGTAGCGTACCCACCATCCAGCTAACGTGTAGGCGACCTCTCTCGCCGCTGGGTATCCCATCTAGAGTCTACATCACGCCAAAACAGTCCTGAGCCCCCTGAGCTCAACCCCTTTTCGCCTTCCTCCTTTCCCACTCGGCCCTCTCCTCCTCATCACTCCCGCTAAACTCAGCATCGTCATCTCCTTCGTCCTCCTGCTGCGCCCGGGACGTTGCTAAGAGGCCCTTGCCGCCCTTGACCTCGTCGACGGGGACAAAATCCCCCGCGTTCAGCGCTGCATACTCATGCTTCCTGATGAGCTCCTTCAGGCCCTCGTTTCGCGGGTCGACCAGCTGCAGCGGCGTCAGGCCGCCCTTGTTCTTGATCCTGGGGTTGGAGCCGGCCTCGAGCATCATCTCGACCAGGGCGTTGCCAAACTCGCGCTGCCCCTCGGGCTCCGAGTTGATCCAGCGTATCGCCGAGTGCAGCGGCGTGTCCCCCTCGACGCGGTTGACCGGGTCGCACTCGAACCCGGGCTGGTCCAGCAGCATGTCGATCACCTCGTAATTCCCCTGCAGCGCGGCCTCGTGGTAGAGATGGTTGCCTAGCACGGTGGTGGTCTTGTTGAGGACGGCCGCCGCGGCTTCTTCGTCGCCGTCAAACGAGGAGAGGATTTCCGAGAGGAGGTCGGTGTTGTTGCGCCGGCAGGCTTCGATCAGCAGTTCGGCGGTTGAGGCGCCCTGGGGCGGGGAGGGAGGTGTAAGTGGGGAAGCTTTGACAAGACGTGGACAGGAGGAGCGCTAACCTCGTGCTCCTCGTGGTTTCCTGCTTGACCAGCCATGGCTCTGCTGCGCGATCCGGATGTGTTGCGGTCAAGGCGCAGGGTTGAGTTGGGTTACGCCGTGCTGACTTCAGGCTGAAGGGGGGCTGTCCGGGATACGGTCGGAGGACGGGGTATCGGCGGGACCCCGGGACGATATGGCGACGGTTATGGAGGGAATGAAACCCTTCAACTTAATCTCCTGTTTGTGGTGAGAATATGTCAAGTCTGGTGTTCACAATCGCCTGTGTAGCGGCTCTTGAGTCCCAAGCGGTCTGAAGAATTGTAATTGGCAGCGGCTTCAGGAGGTGGCAGTGTGTCGCTGATGCAAGGCACGTCCGTCCAGCCTGACGCCGCGGTTTGTTGGAGAAAAGGGCCCACACGCCTGGGCTCCCACTGCGGTGGCGGGGCAGTGATCAGCGGAGATCATACTCGTAATTGTGTACGGAGTAAGTTACGATAACATGATATTTCGTGTATGTACGGTACTGTACAATTGAGTACACAGGTCCCAGTGCAAAATACCCCACCATTGTCGAAAGTGAGTATCACAACTTGAAGTGAAAGACAGATGAGAAATTATGAGAAAAATCATGGGTAATGAGAATAAAAGAGGAATAAGGAAATAGAATAATAGAAAAGATGAATCAATATAACTAGGAAGTCATAAGAAGTTGTGGAGCACGAGTCTCGAGATCTTCCAGTTACGCTCTTCGATTAAAGCGTTCTCGAGTCACTCAAAAATAATCTTCATCTTCAACCATCAAGACCGAGCATCAACAATCTTAAGCACGGTAGATTCAGCAATCTCGCCTTTTTTAACACCGAGCCAGTCAAAATGCCTACTCTATGTAAGTAGCTACTCCGTCCCTGTCTTGTCAGCCCTCAAATAACACTTCCCTCTCTGTCAAAAGTCTGTCCCAACTGTGCCACCCTCCTGATCCTCGCCCGCATGGAAACGGGCGGCAACCGACTCGAGTGCCGCACCTGCCCGTACGAGCACGCCATCTCGGTGCCGCTCTACTCGCGCAAGAACTTTATGCGCAAGGAGAAGGAGGACGTCTTTGGCGGGCCGGGCGCCTGGGATAATGCGCAAAAGGGCCGCGTGCAGTGCCCGGCCAGCAACTGTGACGGCGACGAGGCCGCTTTTTTCCAAGTGCAGATTCGGAGTGCTGACGAGCCCATGACTACTTTCTACAAGGTGAGCCCGAGGGTCTTTTAGCTGGAGGGAGAGTGATGGTTGACCTGGAGACAGTGCATGACCTGTGGGAATCGGTGGAGAGAAAACTGATCGGCTGGCGCGCTCAATCGGCTTGTGGCCAGGACGCGGGTAGGCTGGGCTGAGTTGGCTGAAGGGATATCAAAACAAGCATTGCAAGGAGTTCTTCGGAGTTGGGTCATGTCCATTGGTTACCAGCATATACAGAGGTCTATTCGAAACCTGTACGTCTTGCGTCTTTGCTCAGGGTGCCTTGCTGTTCGAACCCTGGCTTGCCCATGAGGGTCGCGTGCTCCAGGATCTCCTCTCCAGCTTTCTCCTGTTGGCTCTGCATGGACCGTTGGAGGCTGCGCTGTCCTGTAAAGCATGCTGCTTCCGCTTGTTGTAGCCTTGGTGGCGCGCCCAGCAGCGGAGGGAGATATGGCCTGACGTCGCGATTTCGCCGTCCCAATCGTGAGATGTTCTTGTCTCGCTGGACCGGAATGCCTTCACCCCTCGCGATGCCACTCCACGGCGGCTTTCATGCCCTCGACAATCAGACCCTGGGCAAGATCTGGACTAATGATCTCCTGTCGGAACTTCTCTTGCTGCAAGAGCTGGAGCATCTTGAGTGTTGCAGTGGGGTAGGTCAAGTATTTCAGATAAGGCGGCCGCGTCCAGTACTGCAGATAGTCGAGGTAGGCGACAAAGGCGGGGTTCGTAAGAAACTTGCGCGAGGCGAGATAGTTGAGGTACTGTGGGTTGGCGAGAGACTGGACGAACTGCCTGGCTGTTAGCCGCCTGACCGCAAGGCAGCCTCGGTTTGTCGAATACAAACCTCTAGCTCTAGCTCAAATCGCGAAAACCCGCCGTACTTGGGCTCGTCAGCTGTGCTTTCGGGGGGGTGCGGCGGATCTAACGCTGAGCTGTCTACAGACATGGGGTCAGATGTCATTGTGAAGGTAGCAGATTGGTGTAACTGGATGCTAAGTTGAAGAGCGAAATGCAGGTGATAAGCCGATCCAACGAGGAACGACTGCTTGGGTTGATGATGCAACAACCTTGGGTGACGGAGGTTGCTTAAAGAACCCTGTCCACTGTTACAGTACAGTACCCTGATCCTGAATGCAGGGCAATGTAGGGCGGAGCATGGGTGGGCACTGGGCAGCCGCCCCACTCCAGCCTTAACGTTAACAGCAGCCTGTCAGGAAGCACCACGCCGCCTAAACAGAATTTCAGCCACGACACCTGTAAAGTCCCTGACAGCTGGTATCAGCACCTTCATGCATTTGGGAATTCGCTCCCCTTATGCGATACAATTCCTGTTACATTTGGCAGGTTTGACATACGTTATCGATGCCGAATGAGAGACGCCGTGCTCGCTGTTCTTAATCCTACATTCTCGTGACTCGGCAGCGCATGTTCGCTGATTCGGGATCACATCTCCTTCTTCAAAGTTTATTAGCCAGTCATGTCTTCGGGAAACACATCGCCAGGCATGTCTGATGTACCATCAGCTCCGGGCCAGGAACCCATCCACACAGTCCCAACCCTCATATCCGTCTTCTTTAGACTCTTTGAGTCTCAGTTTCTTCTTGTAATCTTTAGCGCGCTAGCCATCATCTGGCTGGGAGCTCATGGCTCGCTTCGTAGGCCGCCCTCGGCTGCCCCCCCAAAACTCAAAAAGGGCGAGAAGCGATCAGAGAAGGAGAACTTTATGGAAGGGCTCACACTATCGGACGCCATCTGGTTTCCTCTAGCTCTAGGCGCCGTTCTGATCGGCCTTTACTACCTTATTCTGTGGCTCCAAGATCCTGCCGTACTGAATCAGCTCCTGCGGGCTTACATGTCTCTCATGGCCGTGACCGGCTTGGCTGCTCTAGCCGGAGACGCCCTAGACATTATGTCGAGTCTTGTCTTTCCTAGCATGTGGGCAGACCGAAACGGCCAGGTGCACTACATCGACCCGGACCGTCGCTGCCAGTACGTCATCAACCGCTTGACTGGCGAAGAGACTGTCGTTGAGGGCAAGCAGACTCCTTTCCCTGGCATCTTGTCCAACCTGGCCATCTCGCGAGACTGGAGTCGATTCTGGTGGGACGTGCGCCACCTGCTCAATGAGACTTGGACAGTTCGACTCGCGGTGCGCGGCAAGACCCTCACCAAGGTTGAGGTCCGTCTCAATGACCTGGTTCGCTTCACCATTGGCGTCAGCATTGCTGTCGCTTACCATTGGACTGGGTGGCCCGCTTTGTCCAACGCCGTCAGTGTTGCCATGTGCTACGCTTCGTTCATGTTGCTCACTCCCACCTCCTTCTCCATCGGGAGCTTGGTTCTGGGCGGCCTCTTCATCTACGACATTGTCATGGTCTTCTATACGTTTGTCTCTCCTGCTTTGGCATACTCTCTTTTGCAGCTAACTCTACCTCTAGTCCATACATGATCACGGTTGCCAAGAAGCTCGATGCCCCCATCAAGCTGGTATTCAACAGTACCTCGGGGGTTAGCATGCTCGGGCTCGGCGACATCGTCGTTCCTGGCCTGCTGATGGGCCTCGCTCTCCGCTTCGACCTGTTTCAGTACTATCATAAGCAAACCAAACTCGAGCCGATCACGTTAACCACCGAGATCGCTTCACCGGAGTCGGAAACGACGGAGACAACCGGAAAGACGCATTACCGCCGGGTCAAGGTTCCCTATGTCGATACCAGCGGCCAGTGGGGCAATCGCTTTTGGACCACACCACTGGGGAGATTGGTTCCTACCAACGAGGCAACGTCGCCCATTGCTGCCACGGCATTCCCCAAGCCCTATTTCTATGCCTCTCTAGCTGGCTACGCCGCCGGAATGTTCGCCACCTTGGCAGCGTTGGTTGTGTTTAACCACGGCCAGCCGGCGCTACTTTACTTGGTCCCTGGCGTAACCGGGTCTCTCTGGCTGACCGGGCTGATCCGGGGAGAAGTGAAGGACATGCTGGGATACACGGAAGATGGAAGTCTCGATACCGAGGATGTAGTCGTCGAGTTGGATGCGGATGGGCGAGTGATCAAGGAGACCGCCAAGAAGGCGCCAGAGAAGCCAGAGAAGGAGAAGCCTAATGACCAAGCAGAAGATGCGGAGGGCACGAGAGAGGAAGAGAAACCGCAGGGGAATAAGTCTCGCGAGTTGTTTGTGTTTTCAATCACAGCGCCTCGCTCTGTCGCCTAGGGTGGTCTGGGACCATGGTAGTGCGGGGTGTTCGTTGAAGTGTTCATCAAGTTTGGCTTAGCCTGAAAGTCCTTTGGCCAGCGAGCCTGGGTTTATAGAGTTCGGATAGATGGAATATACAGCCGCAATGCCTCAGTGTGTTCTCTTCCCATCTAGCCTGACCTACTGTTTCGGCCGAGTCTCATGTCACTCTGGGTTAGTGCTTATGCGCCGCCGTGGGAACCGAGTCGTCAAGGTTTGCATCTACGTCCATTGACCAACATTGAGAAGACCGAATCAATGCGACGGGTTTATTGCTATATGACTTCTCTCCACCATCATTGACGGAGTTGTAGGCCACCAGAATGCCACAGGCCAGGCATCTCCGTCTCGCCCGCGTATATACTTCGTTATACAAATCCGTTGCACCCGAGCTCAGCAAAGCCGAAGCAGGGTTCAGGACGGTCGGTGCCCTACTCTCGGCGTTATGAAGGGCTGACTTTGGTGTACCTCAACATCAACTCGGTCTTTTCTCACAGGCTTCAGGGTTGCCGTAGTGTTGCGTCTCCCCTGCAACACCAACCACCACCACCTTGGAGTTGTCTCAACACCCGCAACGGCTCGAAATAAACAAACGAAGCCCTTCCGGCGAATTCGCATCGCCTCAGGCCCTTACCGCAACACGGTCGCTCTTCCGGCGGAGAATCAACACCTCATCAGGCTCGTTTGTCTGAGACACAGTGGGGTTATTAGGAGGGGGTGCTGGTGAATGTATATTCTCCCCTGCAGCGGAGAAGGTGCATCAAGGACAGAGGAATCACGGGACAACGCGCCCCACGGGCTAGCTGCAACCGCCTCATTAAGACCGAACTTTAAGGAAGCTCAAGGTTCTCTTCCGGCGGGAGTCCGCAACGACATGGAACGGTTCTTCCTGCTTCGACGCCGGGTTCGACTTGGGAATGGCCTCAGGGCAAACACGGCGGAGCTGGGATAATGATTTACACGCTCAACGCGGTACATCGGGGTGGCATCCCGGATGGTCGACTTCGACGGTTGGCAGCAGACCAACACGGAATCGAACCGGGGAACACCCCTTCTCTGCGGAACGGTGCGCTCAACGCTTTTGGGTTGGATTGGCGAGGCTGCGAAGGAAAAAGCGGAGCGCGGATATGTCGCGGCTCTTTTCTGGCGCTCAACGTGTCAGGGACCAGATGGTTCTGGTTGTCTGATTCAAGGTTTGTCGGCCACCATTCGGTCCGGTCCGGCCCAGGCCCTAGCGTATGCAGTGGGTCACGGACATCGGGGATCGGAGGTCGATGTGGATGTGGGGCCGCCTGGTCCCGTCTGCGGAGCTGAGAAATTTGTCGAGGCTCTTGTTCTTGGCATCGTCAAGATCGGACGGTGGGGTTTGCAGATCCGATGCAGGAACGTCAATTGGGGATGGGAGACTTGACGATCGAGACTAACAAGAACCAAGAGCAGGTGCTCGCCTTCTTCAAGTAAGAGGTAGAGGCGATGAGGATAGGAAAGAGCTTAGGAAAATCACTACCTAGGGTCGTGGCTGCTTAAATAGATGGTGGGTAAGCCCTTGCATTGTACCTAGCCGAGTGAATTCCCCGCCAATGCGTTCCAGGCCCCCGGTTTCACCTCCCCCTCACAACACGCCTTGCATAAGCCCATGATAGCAGTGCCGAAACTCAGATCAATCCGAAATCGTTCGATTATCCTCCATCTTGAAAATATCGAAACTTAAGATACCAAGCATTTACACTTTTCCTGACAAACATTGAAAGACAAAAATCTCCAGGAGAAAAGCCGGCATGGCTTCGAAACCCAATCTCGTCCAATGGATGCTGGACACTCGCCCCTGGTTTCCCGAAGCAACTCAGACAAAACACCTCGAGACTCATGTAAGTTACTTATCTGCCCTAACCGTAACCCAAGAATACTAACCCGGATTGCCAGGCCCAAGCCTCCCGCGCATTGGCTCTGCTCCCGGAGCCCGAGCGCGCCGCCGTGCTCCGGTACTACCACGTCCGCGACGCCAAGATGGCGCTCGCCTCGGCTCTCCTCAAACGCTACTGCATAGCCCGCCTGAGTCCCAGCAAACCCCCCTGGTCCAGCATCACCCTCACGCGCGACAGCCACACCAAGCCCGTATGGGTCGACCCAGCCACAGGCGCCCGGCCCGTCTCGTTCAACCTGAGCCACCAGGCGGGCATCGTGGCCCTCGTCGCTGTTGCTGACTACCACCCTGTTCCCGTCTCCTCCTCTTCGGAGGGAAACGAAGAACGGAGAGGGCCAGGGAAGGAGGCGACGGTAGAAGTAGGAGTGGACATTGTCTGCACGTCGGAGCGGCGCCCGCGTGACCACGCCATGGTTCGCAGCGAAGGCTGGCCGGCCTTTGTCGACATGCACGCTGACGTGTTTGCACCCGGGGAGGTGAGCTATCTCAAACACCGAGTCTTGAGTGCCGTTCCGGGCTTGGTAACCTCGTCCCCTCCTTCGACGGAGCAGGTGACTGACGCTAAGCTCCGCGCCTTTTACGCGCTCTGGGCCCTGCGCGAGGCCTACATCAAGCTCACGGGCGAGGCACTTCTGGCAGAGTGGCTGCGCGACTTGGAGTTTCGGGATTTTCGTCCGCCGAGGCCCACGCCCGCGTGGGAGGTGCCCGCAAAAGAGGATGCTAGTGAGGTGGTGGGGACGCCCGAGATTAGGTTCCGCGGGGAAAAGGTGGAGGGTGTGAATATCTGCCTGCGGTCCATGGGACCGGACTTTATGATTGCCACGGCGGTGAGGACGCCGGGGAACAGGGACGACGGGCTCGGGTGGCGGCTGAGCGGGCCCTACGAGGTGTTGTCGTTGGAGGAAGTCCTAGACTTTGCCGAGTCTAGGTGACGCGAGGCTCCGCGAGCTCACTTCCATCGCGATGTGAAATTGTGCTCAGTTACTGCTTGAGTACCTACTATGTCGCTTCTCGCATGTGATACTCAAGAAGTGGTAATGGGAGTACTACCCGCCACGACCGCGGGCCCCTCTCCCACGCGAGCTACCCCGTGGCCTTCCGCGACCACGGCCACGCCTGTATGGCCTTTGCCCGTCGGCGCGCGGAGAGGGATTGGGCCCTTTCGGCAAGGCACTGCAGCCGGCACCACTGTTCGCCGACAAGTGTATATTTGGCGCCGTCGACGGGGGGCTAAACTTTGTACCCTCCTTCCCGGCTGAGGCGCTGATGACTATGTCGCCTGTTGCCACCGCACCGTTCTCAGGCCTGTCTCCTTTACCGCCTCTGCCGCCCCTTCGTCCCCTGCGGGCATGGCCACTGCGCTTGCGTGTCCGGGGTCTGTCCTCGATGGTAAAGGCGATGCGTTTGACAGGGTCGGTGACCATGATGTTACCGCCCAGCCCGGCAGCTTCAACGTCTTCGGCCGAGGCCGTCCAAGCCTGGAAGACGTTCTCCAGTTTTCCCAGCCCTCTCAGCTCTGGCACCCAGGACTTTATGTACTGGCCATCCTTGTCATACTCGAGGGCCTGCTTGACCGGATTGAAAATGCGAAGGCCGCTGCGAGGGTCGTTGCCGACGCCCGCCATGTACTGCCAGTTGGCCCAGTTGGACGACACGTCGTAGTCGACGAGCAACATCTCATACCACTCAGCACCATAGCGCCAGTCGATTCCCAAGTGCCTGGATAGAAAGCTGGCTACATTCTGCCGCGCGCGGTTGGATGTGTAGCCTGTGTGCAGCAACTCGCGCTGCGAGGCATCGATAAGGCCTATGCCCGTCGTTCCCGCGTTGAATCGCTCCAATATCTCGGCGGTAGTTCTGGTGCTTGGCTTGTGGTCTGGCAGTGCCATATCCTCAGCGGCAGATTTCCACTTCATCTTTTTTTGCTCCCCTGCCTCACCGTCTCCATCGCCGTGTCCGTCTCCCCTAAATCCTTCGACGCAAAAGAATTTGCTCTTGAACTTCTGATGGCACAGCCGCATATAGTCTCGCCATAAAAGCCCCGCTCGAAGGGCTTCGGTGCCTTCATGCTCGCCCCGGCCATATCCATCGACATCCTGAAGAGTGACCTCGGTGCCGTTCTCATACCCGACAAGGAATCGATGGACCTGCCTGGCAGTTATGCACCCCTGGGCTAGGTACGCCGACAACTTGGTGCTGGACTCGTCTTTGGCGAGTCCACGGCGCGCATTCTTGTAGTTTGCGAGGAAACCCGAACGAAGAAACTGTTTTATTCGCGCCTGCGCCGCCGCTTCGCCACCTCGAAAGGGATGAGCCGACTCAACATTCTCTGGGAAGCTGCAAGTGGGAATAGGCGGCAGGAACTGTTTAACCGGCTCAACCAACCTCGCTATCAGTTCTTCGCCGCTGGCGGGGATCGTGAACGGTGCGGTCTGAGCTGGAACGGCATCCGGCATCGGCGGCAAAGACCCCTTGACCGGCGTCGGTAAGACCGCCCTCGGATTTTCGCGGAGAGGAGCCTTAGACTTGTAGTATGTTGTGAAGATGTCGGGCAGTGCTTGTATGTCCTCCAGGCCGACATCCCGGCTTCAGCCCTACCGTTAACAAAAAGGGACATTGAACCACATACAGGGAGACATACTCGTCAATCAAGTACTTCTCGTCCTCCCACAGCCTGAACCCAGCGCCCAGATCACCGCACAGGTCGGCCACCGTCTTTTCATCATGTTTCTCCTCGGTGCCCTCGTGACTCGTCATCCAGATCGCCGCCACTTTGTACCCGTTCGTCGTCAAGCCTTCTGCTAAGCTCCGGACAACGTCGTCAATCATACCCACGCGTATGACCAGGCCGGAGCCAAGGGACTCGAGAGATTGCTGGAGCTCCACGACGGACTCGCCTAGAAACCTTGCCCGGTGCGGACCGCATCTTGGATAGTTCCCGAGCCGGCTTCTCGCGGGTGGGTACGGATTCATGCTCCCTTGGGAGACGAATCCTGATATGTCGATTTGCTTAGCGTGGAAAACGTATACGGGAAGGAGATGGGAGAATCCGTGGCTGCTCGTGCTCGCAAGGTGATGGAAGATGGGCTGGTCCGAGGCTCGGAGTTCTCGACGCATGACATAGATCAGAACACTGCTTGGGGTCGTCATGGTTGGTGTCTGACGGTTCGTTTAGGGGTCTCTTTTTTTCAATAGCTTTGTCAATTCAGATAGGGAGGCGGGAGTCGGCCAGGCAAGTTTAGAGGAAATGGCCTGTTCCATGAAGCTTGGGCCGGTCCGTTTCGAGGTTGATAGGGGCAATAGCGATCAAGAAGTAGGAGGACAAAACTAGGGACGGATAACGAAGGTAGTAGCAAGGGAAGTCTGCCGTTCTGGAGGCGGAGTATGGGAAGCTGAATAGGTCCGAAGGCGTCTGGGGAGGTCTGCTATGAAGAGACAAGCCAGCTTGGGAGTGGTAGCACTCGTCAGGGGTGTGCTGGTGAAAGGAACATTGACAACCCTGCTGAACCGAGCGTCCGGGTGAGGGACGCTGGGTGCCCAGGAGGATATGCATGCACGTATCACTTACATATTCGTACATGTACTAGTAGTTACTTGCATATCTACCGAGGTGCATTGCAGACGATAGCCAACCTGAACTACTCCTCGTCTGGCCAGAATACACCCAGCATCCTGTCACAACCTTTGACAACGGCAGGGACAAGAAGGCAGAGTCATACCGGATCTTGTGGAAGTAAATACTTTTCTCGAATAGTATACAGTGTCCCGTCTGTACACTACGGTCCTATTATCTCTCGGAGCTTCCATTTGTGCACCATCTGCCCAAGGTCGCCGATCTCCGCAAGAAGAAGCATGGGGGCCGTCAGCGGGTTCGAGCCAACGAGAAGCTCCGATTCCTGCCGGCAAACCTTCCCCGGTTCGAGTAGCCGCAGATGCCACTGGAACTTTGGGCCTGCAATATTTTGACTGGTTTCCAGAAAACAAGGGAGGCCTTCAGCCCCTCGTGGGAGTCAAATTAATGTTGAACATTGGTTAGACAGGAGGGCCGGAAGCCGTCGTTGAAGACCCCGTCTCCGGTTTGACATCCTTGTCTTCGGTTGCCATCTTGGCCTGCTTCTCGAACAGCGGCTGACATTTCTAGCGACAACCTCATGCCCTGGCTAGTGAGCCCTCCTGTTTCGAATTTATTGTGGTTGTTTTCGAGTCCTTGTTTGCTTCCCATGGCTCAAAGAGATTCCAGCGTACAATACTGTGCCGCTACCTAAGTAGCTATCGGAATTGCCAGCCCACGGCGTAGGGCAACGGCCCGGTTGCTACCGAGCTTGGAGGCCTGGAAGGCAGATTGGGTTCTACTGCTCGCCCCTTTTTCAAGTAAACAAACCTACTTCAAGGTCAGGTCGGCGTATTGTACAATATATTACGCCCACCAAAGAAGAGGTTGAAATCGCAAGCATCGCCGGGAAATGATGTTTCCGAAATATGGTAAGGCCCTTCCATGCGTATCAGGCTTAGTGTACAAAACAAAAAAGCAAATGGCATCTCTTGATGCCCCACACGAGAGACAAAATTCCACAGACAGTCTCCTCCGGGAAGGCTCGAACTTCCAACCTCCTGATTAACAGTCAGACGCGCTAGCCAATTGCGCCACAGAGGATCGATGATGGGCTGTCAGCGAACTGTTTGATCCAAGAAAGCGAGGTTGACAATGTTTGACGACGGCAGAGCTCCTCGCCGTCGTTCCAGGTAGGTGGGTGATGGGGATGGGGAATAGCGACTGGAGGAGAAAGGCCGTGGAGTTTGAATAAAGTTGGGAAATCATTGCCGATTTGATTGGCAGATTTATTGAGAAACGTGTATGGAAAAGTGAAACTCACCACCTTTTCTCCTTCCCTCTTTTGTCTTTTTTGATCCTTCGTCTAATGGAAATGTCAGATCGAGGTGATCGTGATCTGAGCCGTTGAGATCTTTGAAGTGTTAGGTAAGCATTCACCAACTGCACTGTATTGTGGTGTACGGTACTTTGTATTTGTAATGCTACCGGTAGAGTGACTTGGGATAGTGCGGTAACTTATGGGTGTAACATTACGCAACCCTGTAAATTTGAACGGTCTATCTGACACACATGATGGAAATTCGAGTGGACGGCCCGCGCGCACCGTGCCACACAACTGCCGCCCCACAATGAATTGCCCAACTCAAAGCGTCTGTGGTGATTGGTCCTTGGCAATGTCAAGTACCTAGGTACGGATATCAAAGCAAGTCTCTTGCGACGACGTCATGCAGGCCAGTGGACGACCTGACGTCGACGGGCTCCTGCACCTTTCACCTTTTGACGTATGTACAATACGTGTAGATTGGACGACCGAACCACACCACTTGACGCTAGTTTGCCTCAAGCCTGCCAATGGAATCCAGCACTCGCAAAATGCAGCGTGGCATGCCACTTGGATCCTCTCATCTACGGGTAACCCGCGAGGAATGTGAAGACAACCTCGAATCACGTTGCATTATGGCAACCGATGTCCTGCTTTGGCAAAGCTTATAAGTGGACGAACCCTTCATCCTAATGTTTATCTCTCTGCCATCCCGGTGTACAGTACCTTCGACCACAACCTGCTGTGCTACTAGGGAATTTTTAAGCCTGGACTAAGGTAGCAACGGTGATCTAGAGTCGTGTAACAAAGAGTGACTCGGGTGATTGCGTCACTGAGTTATCTCCGTGCTTGTGGGCGACCGGGCTTTGAAGCGTCCTACCATAACTGTTACTTTACTCGCAGCATAGCCCAATCTTGCTTTCACCGTCTTGCGAGCACCATCATCAGACAACAAGATCGCACAGGGACCAATCGTCCTGGAACTTCTGTCCTATAGTAAAGCGATCTCTCACAAGAAACCTCATGCACTAAGATGGCACGCTGTAAGTGATGAAATCCACCCTCAGAAACGACCTACCAGATCACTCAGCATCAGCACCGCCTTACTGACCTTGACCTTCACCTCTCCGATGCAGCACTCAACCTCGCCCCGTTCGCCCTGCTCCTCCTCGCGGGTTCGCTAGTGATGCTATGGTTCATCATCCTCTCGGGACTGACCCAGACATCCCCTCTACGGCAGACCTACTTCCTCCGCGCCGACACGTCGGGCATCCAGGACGCGAAACCCATCACGCAATGGACCTACTTTAAGACCTGCGGCCTCGGCAACACCAACTGCGGGCCCGCCCGCCCGGCCCTGCCCCTGGGCGACGCCTGGCCGAGCAACGCGCGCGGCGTCCCCTCGGAGCTGATCGGCGGCTACGGCGACGGCACCACGAGCTTCCACTTCTGGTACATGTGGCGCTTCGGCTGGGTGTTTTTCCTGCTCGCCCTGCTCTTCTCCGTCATCGCCTTCTTCGCCGGCTTCCTGGCGCTCATCTCGCGCATTGGTTCGGTCCTCGCCGGGCTGGTCTCGCTCTCTGCGCTCTTCTTTTTGACTCTTGCCGTCTCTTTGATGACGTATGTTTACTCTTTCCGCTCCCCGACCCCTTATACCTCTGTAAACAATTCAGGACTAACACGAAATCCAGCGCCACCTTCGTCCAGATGCGCAACGTCTTCCTGGCCAACAACCGGTCCGCCTCGCTCGGACGGTACGCCTTCGGCTTCGCCTGGGGCTCGTGGGCCGCGCTGCTGCTCAGCACCATCCTCTTTTTCATGTCCAGGCACAAGCGGCGCGACACGACGACGGACGGCGTCGTACCCGCGGAGCGAAGAAGGCGGGGCTGGAAATTCTGGGGCCGCAGGAGGGGCACCGGCGGCGTTGGCGGGAGCCGTAGGTCGTATAACGGTCGCCACGTGAAGGAGGAGTACGTGTGATCTGCGTATCTACGGTTTCTTCGTACCTACCTTCCTTTTTGTGAAGGCTTTTGGAATTATGTGAGGGTTTAATAGTCCATGATAATGCTGAGGAAGGCGGATGATGGCATCGTCTTAAAGTGAAAAAGGGAAGCGCAACGGCCAGGGCGAGTGAGATTGAGAGTAACCTGGCGTAGGCCGTGTTTTGTGTCTGGAAAACATCATCAACTCATTATTTTTTTGTCATCTCAGTGTCATTACTTACTTCGAGGGAGTTGTGGCTAGGGCCGGTTGTCCGTTATCACTTGCTGGGTGTATATCCTGTACCTGAGATGCAGATATGATGCACATGAATAATCCTCTACAGAACCGTCACGAATGAGACTCGTCTTCCTGTGCTTTTAGATGTGTGTTCAAGCCTGCTTTCCCATTCCATTCTGGCCCCCCCAAACCCCCAGTGCTTTCCATGCTGAGAGCAAGACGCTAATGCAGAGAGATACATTAGAGCACCTAAAACTCGCACAGATAGGCATGACCACCATGAAATATGAGATAGATACAGTAATGAGACAATGCAAAATCCCCGACTAGCCACGTGCGCCAAGTACGTCTCAAGCCAAATCCGAGCTGTGGCACTTTTACTCAAAGGCGACGCATAATGCGGTAGGAAAGACAGGGCGGCAAGAGATGGGCACAACGCAGGAAATACGAGAAAGGCCAGATCCCAATCTCCCTATAATTTCCGTTCCCCTCAAACATGGTAGGTCAAAAATGTATCTGGCCTCAGGCCCGTACAAAGGGACTCGACACCGGGCTCACCGAGTCCAGCGGCGCTGCGTGCAAAGCCGGCTTCTTTGCCTCGTCCTTGAGCAGCCCTTTCCTCTTGCGCTCCAACACCGTCCTGACCCACTCGGCAACCTCGTAGTCTCCTTCACCGACAAGACCAGAGGGATTATTCAAGCTCATTGAGCCCGTGGCATCGGCGAGCTCGTTCTCGGCAGCTGCATCCTCGGCCTCAGCGTCTTCGGCAATCGTCTCGGGCTTGCCGAGTGCCTTGATCCAGGGGTGCGTGAGCAGCATCGGATACGTGTGCCGCTTGGTCGGGATCTTGTTCAGGCACGAGCGGACAAAGTCTTGTGCCGCAGCAGAGTAACCTTCGCTAGGGAGGTCCGGAGGATCGCCTTCGACGATGGCCTGGTTCAAGGATACGGGTCAGCTGGGGCTGAAGATGACCTTCTAGCGGTGAGCAGGGTAACTTACACTTAGCTGGCTAAATATCGTGCTGGACACCTCGGGTGGGTACGGGTACTTCCCCATTGCGCACTCGATGATGGTCAAGCCTAAACTCCAGATGTCGCTCTGGACGTTGTATGTTCCGTTCGCGACGCCACCGGGCCCAGCCGCCATGGCGCCACCGCTGATGCGCTCGGGCGCCATATAGCTTTGGCAACCAATGTTGGTTTTGGCGATGCTTGCAACCAGATTGCCAGACACGCCGAAATCGCAAATCTTGACCTGCCCATTCGTGTTGACCAAGATATTGGTGGGCTTGACGTCGCGGTGGATGATGTTGTGGTCGTCTTTGAGGGTTTTGAGGCCCACAATCGTCGCAAACGTGATCTTCCGCAGCACGTTCTCAGGGATCCCTCCAGCGTAGAGCTTGTCAATGCTGCCGCCGTCCATGTATTCAATGCACATGTAGACGGCCCCTTCTTGGAAAAAGGCGCCATAGAAGTCGATGATATAAGGGGAAACGCACTCGTGTAAGATGACGAGTTCTTTGAGAATGGTTGTGAACTTGGCTTCATCTAGCTCAAGTCGGATTTCCTTCATTGCCATGATCACGCCTGTAGTTGTGCGTCCGCCGTTTGAGGTGCTTGCCGATGTGCCCTCGTCCGCTTCCGTCTCGGTCGACGAATGCTGCCTGAAGCCGCTCAAACCCTGACCAAACCGAGGAGCCTTTGGCCGCGCGTGGCGGACCTTGTATACTGTGCCATAATTCCCTTTGCCCAACTCATCGAGCACGTCTATCTCGTCCAGCGAGATTGAAAACGCTTGTCCATTTGCGAAATTGACTCCTGTCCGCGTGATTGTCGCCGCGCCATCAAACGTAATCCAACCCTTTTCTGCATCGATGTAGTTCTTAAAGTCGGTAAGTCTGGAACCGCGCCCTTCTCCATTCAAGGACGGCCGCTGCCTCGAGTCTTGACCGCCCATGTCTGGCAGCTTCGGGGTGCCAGAAGGTGACGGGGTTCCGGAACCGGGCAGAGCACCCAGTTTCATGGCTCTCCTCTCGCTCAGGCTCGGGGGTTTCTTTGCCGCCGCTGGAACGGCGGGTGCAGATTTCGGAAACGAAGACGGTACGGGCCGAGCCAAGCCACCCGGTAATTTCATGTTGGGCGGCATGCCGCCAGCCATGCCCCCGCCGACCGGGCCGCCCATGTTCATGCTCATACTTGTGGTGGCCGAGCTGGCAGCGCGGGCAGTCATATTCATACGTTGCGCCTGCAACGCCCTTGCTTTTTGCATGACGTCCGAAGGGAGACTGTTTGCGCTCGGCGGCGGCCTCCTCATAGTATTCAGAATGCCCGTGACACTCGAGCTGGGGCTCATTTGACTAGTACTCTGCGGGTCAGAGCGGCTTCGCAATGACGGAACTCGGCGTGGGGGCCCCTCGCTCTCTGGAGCGAAGGCGGGTGCTGTGTCGGAGCTCGAACTGGGCGGATCAAGGGGCGTGCTCGCCTCTGACGATGCATCAACCGAGCCCGGCGAGGTTGGATTACTTGGGCGGAATTCATCCGGTGTGCCCGGGTCGGAGCTGTGTTCATCGTCCATGGCGACTATATTGTTCGGGGAGGAGTTTGAATCGCTTGAGCGTCAGAGGATTCAGTACTGTACATGTGATGGGAAGAAATGCATGTCGTGTGTGCCCCAGGGATGTTTTTATTCGCGCGGGAAGCCGACTCCGGGTCTCAATGGAGACGAGCTTAGATTTTCCAGGTGGACCACTGGGCACGATGCCGACGGGTACGGTACGGCGCGGTGCTACTGCTTCTTCCAAGGCACAGCAGCACTTCGCTGGCACTCTCGCTGGTCACTGGTGCTCTTGGCGGACGTCGTGGGAGACTGCTCGGCCGACCGTTTCACTGCAATGGAATGGCTGGCGCAGAGAAGAATCTATGCATTTGTGAAGAAAAGCGGTCGGCTGGATGGGTATTAGGCGGGAAGCGGGATCGAGATCTCGAGAACGCCCCCCTAGGACGCCGCCTGTGCGGGTGACCCGGCGTGGAGTGGTTGTCTGCAGGTTATGTATCCGCGCTGTATCGTATTGCAGCAGGGTACTTTGTATTTCCGCAAAAGAACCGTTTGATTGGTCGCTGGTAGGCGGAATGGGTTCCGGATGGAAATAGGTTATTGTGCCTCGCTTCTGAATTTTGCAGCAAAAAGCTTTTATCAAAGTCGAAACAGACCAGGCTTGTATCCGAGTCTGAACTGTTGAGGCAAATCTGAAGTGGCGGCCACTCATAGGTAACGTTATGCTGGTTCGGAAGGGGCGTTGGAGACCTCGGGTGTACTTCGTACTGTATGTACAATACCATGTGGTATTGTAACAACGGGGCTTTTGCTCCGGAGCTTCGAGCCCCTCACTGTTGGTTGTCCATTTGCCAAGGATCGCCTGTGAATGTGTTACACACTAGGAACTTGTTCAAAATTACCCCGCCATTCGACAGAGGTACGCCATTTGGGCGGAGCATCACGAGGGGAACGAAGTACACAACCTACCCAGGTAGCTGCACGAACCGTTGAATACACTTGTACTTACAGGTGTATCTGCTCGCTTGCGATATCTACAATCTAACCGGTTTGCTGGATCCGGGAACTATACTACAGTAGTGTAGTGTAGAGACTGGAGGTGTAGGACCAGCGTGAAGCTCAGGATGCGCTGCAGATACTATGACGTCTGCGACAGGGGTTGCGTCCTGAGCTGGCTTGTGCGATTAACACACGGGCCACTGATATTGGAGGTTGCTACCGTCTTCGCTCAGCGCGACGATCATGTGCCTTTCCTATTGTCAGTTTGCAGAGAAGCCAGCCAAGGTATCGGTGATTTCCATGTTTTGGAAAGATGTGAAACGAACACCAACACGCGACTCAAGAGTCAATTGGGCAGGCCGAACGGTGATCTGCCCAATGATTTACTACCCTGCCCAAACATGTTCTGGAGATCCTCGGCTAGAGGCAACACAAGCATTCAACAGTGAACTGAACACTGGAAAGACAAGGCTCGCTTGCCGTCATATCTACGAAAAGACGCGTAAACTGAGGCATTGTCAGGCTGCAAACCCGCTTTTCTGATAAGAAAGCTGTGGCACTGGCCCGCATTCCTTTGCTTCTCACCAAATCAAAGCGATGTGGCAAGAGAGCTGACATGGACAAGGCCCTGATTGAACTCGGCGGTGCACGATTGAGAGGTGGCTTGAAAGCAGCTCTGATCATTCTCAACCGAGCGCCACTTGTTCTCCGCGGACTCAAGTTACAGACAAGTTACAGATATTGAACAGCTCGTTTTGCCCAACTATTGATGACCGTCCCTTGCGCTACGATCATGCACAGGATCGAGAAGTTCACAACAAGATGCTGCTGTAAAGGAAGTTCCCTGCAATTCTTAGTAGCTGCCGATGCCGTAGTTAGATATATTCAACCATGTGCGTTGTGACATTTAACAAACAGCTCCTAGGACTCGGGCACCTGGTGCTATTCTCTGCGGTGTCTGATCGACTATGGTATTTTCCAGTTCCTATCTTACCTACAATGCTTCTGACATCCGCTTCTTATAGTCTCTGGTTGGATCGGATTGTAAGCGCTGGAGCCTTAGGTCCAAAAAACCTATCTAGGCGAGGCAAAAGGAGGACTCATTCGTTGCTTCGTTGGGAGAGTTGTGGTTGTGACTTGTAAGCCTGAAACTTCCACGTACTGGTATCCAATTCGCCTGGCACTACTACTGTATTGTACTGTACAGTACTCAAACTTCATGGGCCCTCAAGAGGACTTTGAATGCCGAGTTGCGCTGCAATGACGCTTTGAGACTCGAGATGTGGTCTCTCTTCATCAATCAGCAGAAACACCCTGTCTGGAGTCTCTGGACTCTGGAAAGTTACGGAGGTACCAATTACCTCGAATACTCGAGCTCCTCGTTTGGCGCGTCGCCAAAGACTCCACGATAGCGCGGGCTGACTGCAGCCAACGGCACGTCGAGGCAAAGTCACGTTTTCAAGCCTGTTGCGCCTCGTCTGCGCCACAACCCATGGACGTGTCTGCCTGTAGCACCGGTAATCCGACAGTGCGGCCTCCAAGTTTACAGAATGTAGATGACGTTGAGGTTCAAAGATGCTTGGTAACCATACTGGATAAACAATACACATACCGTTCCACAGTATAATATCAAATCTTCAATGCAATGGCATATTCACTGTAAGACCACCTCGTTGTCAGATGCACTCTAGGTGCCCCTGCTGTGAATTCAGAGACAATGAGTGTAGCGTCATCATTCCGGTCCCTTGCGTTATGAAGTGGCATTTGTGGCCTGGCATCTGCAGCGGTCTTGGCTCTCTTTTCGGCGGCCTTGGCGCAAGCCCAAAGTTGCGCCGGCCAAGAATGACAACCAGGAGGCTTGTTACAGCAGCAACCACCTGGTGTGCATTATCTGCCAATCCAAGACAGAAACGGTTGAGAGCTACGCTTCTCATTGGCTTCGAGGCGTTTTTACCCGCGTACCGCACTAACACTCCTGTTATGTGCCCCCAACTGGCAGTTTGTTTCTTGTCTGGCTTGCATCACCCGGTCCCGAACGAGGACAATTGAGATGTTTCTTCGTGGAGGCCCTTTGACCGCCCCGGTCTGCATGGCTTTCTTATCATGACCCAATGTAAGCCCTTCAGCAATCGGGCCAACACTTGTCGCATCTATCACCAACGCCTCTCCTTTGTCCCCTTCGCCTGCCCTCTTGCGTGAAGAGTGGGCCATTATCTCATCCTTCGAGACACACGGACTCTGAGACTCGCCATCTCCGCAGGCATTACACCATTGCAGCGCATCGCATCGCACTAAGAATAACCATCCGGGAGCCAATTTCGGCTTCCTTGCGTTCTTCTACTCCTCCCCCCTAGCCTCACTAGAAAAACGACGACATCCAGCTAGACAACGGACACTTGATGGGTTTCTTCGGTATCCGGGCGCCGACGTCATTGCGGTTGACCATGTCCTCCGCCGGCGAGCCCTGGGACCACTCGGCGATGGCGCCTTCGCCCTTTGTAATATTCAAGAACACGCAACCACACGATTCGCATCCTCCGCTCGGCCACCTGATTCTGCTCGTTTTCGGCGCCGTATTGGAGGTTGTCTGTGTCAGCTTGCCCGGGTACATCATTGCGCGGCTGGGCCACTTTGATGCCGACAAGCAGAAATTCCTCGCCAACCTCAATGTTATGCTATTCACGCCATGCCTGAGTACGTGAAGCAGGAAACCTCGGGTTTGTGGGAAGGGTGCGATGCTGACAATAGGCCAGTTTTTACCAAACTCGCATCTCAGTTAAACGCCGACAAGCTCGTCGAGCTCGGCGTCATTCCGGTCATCTTCGTCATACAAACGTTGGTCTCATATCTTGTCGCTCGAATCGTCGCTCGATGTTTCCGATTCAACCGACGTGCCTCAAACTTTGTGACGGCCATGGGCGTATTTGGCAACTCCAACTCGCTGCCGATCTCTTTAGTTATCTCGCTGTCGCAAACGCTAAAGGGCCTGCACTGGGACAGGATACCGGGGGATACAGACGATGAGGTGGCTGCGCGCGGTATCTTGTACTTGATGGTTTTTCAGCAACTCGGTCAGGTGGTCAGATGGAGCTGGGGATACCATGTGCTCCTCGCACCCAAGTCGAAGTACGAAGAATACGCGAACGCGTCGGCTGAGGAGGGCCGCCATCACGGAGAATCGCGGGGAGAAGGGGAAACTCAGGGTCTGCTCCAGAGCGATGACATCGACCAGGGAGACGAGCAGCCTTACGTCTGCCCGCCCAGTCCGACACATACTGACGACACGCAACTTTACGAGCCTGCTGGTCGGACTCCCGTGGGTGGAACGTCGAGGGCATCACCGCACGACTCTGAAGATGAGCATGATGGTGCGTGGAAGGTAGACGGGAAGACATACCCCAACAACTTGGGTGGTGCAAACGGTAGCCTAGACGACCATTATCGTGACGATCCCGACGCGCCTATCGACGGCATCCTATCTTTTCCACGCATTCGCGCCAGTGAGGAGTTGGAAATTCCCGATGGAATCAAAGGCATTCCCGTCCGACTCCGACGTGCCGCACGGAAGGCTCAGCTCAAGACCAGCAACTGGCTTAGCTCCACCGGCCGCCGTGCGTACGACGGTCTTCCAAGGCCGATGCAGCTCGCACTCACGGGCATCTATCGCGTCTGGTGCAAGGTGTACAAGTTCCTGTGGGACTTCATGAACCCGCCGCTGTGGGCCATGCTGTTCGCCGTGGTCGTGGCCTCGGTGCCTGACCTGCAGCAGCTCTTTTTTCGCGAAGAGTCGTTCATCAGAACGAGCGTGACCAGCGCCATCAGCCAGACGGCCGGGGTCGCGGTGCCCCTCATTCTGGTGGTGCTGGGCGCCAACCTTGCGCGCAACACGCAGCAGCACGACGGAGGGGTGGACCCGGAGGAAAAGGAGATCGGCAAGAAGCTGCTCGTGGCATCGCTCATCAGCCGCATGCTTCTGCCCACCCTCATTATGGCGCCTATCCTGGCGCTGTTCGCAAAATATGTCCCCGTCAGCATCCTGGACGACCCCATCTTCGTCATCGTCTGCTTCCTCCTCACGGGCGCGCCCAGCGCCCTGCAGCTGGCCCAGATATGCCAGATCAACAATGTGTACGAGACGGTCATGAGCAAGATCCTGTTTCAGAGCTATGTCATCTGGTGAGTGCTCTATACATACGGGTATGGATAACAAAGTAATGCTAATCGTCGTTGATAGGATCCTCCCCTCGACTCTGGTGTTGGTCCTGTGTGCGATGGAAGTGGTGGAATGGGCGAAGTAGAGCCTTCTTTTATGGCGCATTCTTGGTTTCGCAGACTGAGACCTGCTTTTCATTACGTTTCGTTTAGCACAAATCGCGACAACAACACTTGCACTGGCGGCGTTTATGCTTTTGGGTTTCGAATTATAGCATCGGTTGGCTTCAAGTTCATTTGGTGGACGTTAGCCTGGGTTTCTGCAATCTGCAGTGCCCCGCAGGAAGGGGAAACCAGCTGACCTTTTCAGTCACATGAGCTGTCTGAACACGCTTGATGGGAATTTTAGGGGACCATTAGACAAAAGTCCCCAGGGTAAAAACGAGAATGGGCAGCCTGGGCGGCAGTATTGTTACTTGTATGTGTATGGATAGGCCTGTATCATTAGGTAGTCGGGGATGGCGGGGCAGAAGGTGCACGATATTGACATTGGTGTCTACAAGACTGGCAAGCAGCCAGAGTGAGCATGATTCCGTATCGGGCGCAGTGGGCCGGTGTTGATACTCTACAATATGGCTTTCCATCTATCATCCATCATTCAGCCTATTCCTGCTGGTATCATTGCGGACCCAAGGGGCCAAAAACAACACACCTGCAAACCCCCCGCCTCACCGCGCACCGTTCACCATCACCTCACCAGCCTCCTGCCCGTCACCTTGCCCAGGTGCCGCGATGACCCAATCTCTCACCGCCCCTTTCCAGTCGGCGATCCTCACGTCTTTGATGCCCACCACAATAACCCGCACCTCCTCATCCCCGGCCGCAAAACGGCTTGTCCCTTGGTCAGCAGCAGCATCCCCGCTCGGCGGACCAAAGCCCAGCAGGTCCACGGCGCTATCGAACGTGTTGTTCTCGAGGTGCACGTCGCGGTAGTATTTCTCCTCGTCCGACCCGGCGGGGACCAGCCGCGCGCAGCCGTTGATGGTGGCGCTGATGGACGAGACGGCGCTGGTGTTGAGGTTGAAGAGGAGCGCGGCGAGGGACGAGGGCTGGTGATGTTGTTGTATTTGGTGGTGTTGGTGCTGCTGCGCAGGACGCTCGGGCGAGGTGCTACCCCCTGACGAACCGCCCGACAGGCGTCTTGCTTGGGAGGTCGGTGTGGGCCGGTGGGATACCCCTTTTCAGGGAAAAGTATATGTTAGCGGGGCTGAATCGCTAGGATGGAGAACAAGGGAGGATTGGGGAAAGGAAGGGTAGGGGAACTGGCGTACAATCGTGGACCAAGAGTGACACGTTTGGGTTTGTGATTAGGTTGGTCATTTTCTTGCTGGCTGGGTTTGTTGTCATGACGATGACGGGGGAGGAGGAAAACGGCGAGGAGGGGAGGTAGGTGTAGTTCATGAGTGATACGTGCGGGATGTTGTCGGAGCAGGTGGCCAAGTGGAGGAAGCGGGCGTTCTCGAGGCACTGGACGACCTCGTGCGGCAATGAGGTCGTCACACGCATGTTTGTGTCGCCGGCCGAGGCCTCATGGCTCAGGGGTATTCGCTGCTCCATAGTATTTATCGTTTTTGGAGGCGTTGATGGAGATGTGAAAGGTCCGAGTTTACAAGGGGATATGGGCGTTGGTTCTTTCGATCCTCGAAACGGGTTGTGTCTCTTTGCGAGCAAATGTCAGTTATGTCCCCGGGTGACCTGATGTCCTTGAAGTGTTGAAAGTATTCCAAGATGCCAATTCTTCGCGGGTATCGACAGCGTCTTGTCGGCATGTGGGGTGATGGGAAGATCGAGCAAGGGGTACGGAGGTACCCGTTGGTGGGGATCTTGGCTGATGCGGGGGCAGTCACCGACCCCTTGTAGGCTTGTTCTTGCTCCAGCAATGACGTTGTGCGCCGTGGGCGGCGTGCGGACCCTTCCCCCCATCTCAAAATCAAATAAAGATAACAACGGTACAGAGAATTGACGTTTTATATTGTAAGGTACACGATGAATTGGATATTCTATCTCTCCTGAACGAGGACGTCAGGATTCACTGTCAAAAGAGTGTTTGGAAAGGTCACGGGGCCAGTAACAGCTGAGGTTGGATCGCCTTGTCGGCTTAAAGTTACAGGGGCCGACGGCTACTATCGGTCTCGGCCATCATACTCGGGACAACCTGCAAGTTCTCATATTGAATCAACACTCCCAGGTCAAGCTGGAATGTCTCCGTTTCCTTCGCTTTCTCTACTGATCTTCCAGCCCAGCAGCACGTCAATGGGACGGTTAAACCTGTATTTTCTGGTTTAGCATCCCACAGAACAATAGCAGGTGCCAAATATCACAGTTCATAGGCAATTCCACAATGCGGTCCCTCAAACGAACCTCGCAGCGTCTTCGGGCGCCTCTCGGCTCCGCGTCGCCCGCCCGCCGACTCCAGCCACCGCACTCGACCACCGCAGAGCATGTCGCCTACTCAAGCACCGCGAACCAGACCCAAATCAACCCAATTAGGTCCCTCCTGATTGCCAACCGCGGCGAGATCGCTCTGCGCATCGCCCGGACCGCCGCGGCGATGGGCATCCGCACCACCACGCTCTACACTGGCGTCGACGCCGCCTCGCAACACGCAAAGTGCTCTCCCCACTCTCTCGCCTTGGGCGCTGCCGCGTCAGGGTATCTCGACGGGCCACGGATCGTGGCGCTCGCCAAGCAGCACGGCATCCAGGCGCTGCATCCGGGCTACGGCTTTCTGAGCGAAAACCCGGCCTTTGCGCAGGCGTGCGAGGATGCGGGGATTGTATTCATCGGCCCCCCTTCTTGCGCAATGGCTGACATGGGCGACAAGGCCCGCAGCAAGGAGATCATGACGGCCGCGGGTGTGCCGTGCGTCCCCGGGTACCACGGGCCGGAGCAGACGCCCGACCAGCTGCGCGCGCACGCGAGGGAGATCCGCTACCCCGTGCTGCTCAAGAGCGTCAAAGGTGGCGGTGGGAAGGGTATGCGCATCGTGCGGTCCGACGAAGAGTTTGAGGCGCAGTTGCAGAGCGCTCGCGCCGAGGCAAGGGCGAGTTTCGGCGATGGCGGCGAGGTGATGCTGGTCGAGAAATACATTGTGCGCCCCCGCCACGTTGAGGTTCAGGTGTTTGCGGACAAGTACGGGAACTGCGTTGCTCTGGGCGAGCGGGACTGCAGTGTTCAGCGCCGCCACCAGAAGATTCTCGAGGAGAGTCCGGCCCCGTTGCTCGACGATGCTATACGCCATGATCTCTGGGACAAGGCGCGTACGGCCGCGCTTGCGGTGGGTTATGTTGGCGCTGGCACGGTCGAGTTTATCTTTGACAAGGACACGGGCGAGTTTTATTTCATGGAAATGAACACACGCCTGCAGGTCGAGCACCCAGTCAGCGAAATGGTAACGGGCACCGATCTCGTCGAGTGGCAGTTCCGTATCGCCGCGGGTGAACGGCTGCCACTGACGCAGGACGAGATTGAGGCTCGCATCCACGAGCGAGGTGCCGCCATCGAGGCCCGTATCTATGCTGAGAACCCAGACAAGGGCTTCTTCCCGGATTCGGGCAAGCTGGTGCACCTCGTCACGCCTCGGACAAATGACGACGTCCGGATTGATGCTGGGTTCGTTGAGGGCGATACTGTTTCCGAGGCGTACGATGGCATGATTGCCAAGCTGATTGTCCGCGGTCGGGACCGGGAGACGGCCATTCGCAAGCTGGAGCTCGCGCTTCGCGAGTATGAGGTTGTTGGGCTTAGCACAAATATCGAGTTTCTCAAGCGGGTGTGCCGCAACAAGGCCTTCATCGATGGAGATGTCGAGACAGGATTTATTGAGCAGTGGAAGGACGAGCTCTTCCAGCCGAGGCATACACCCGACGAGGTGTTTGCGCAGGCCGCTCTGGGACTGCTTAGCTCACAGATCAAATCCGGTCCACCGCATGGCTGGCCTTTGGGTTTTGGCGAGGTTGGTGAGCTTAGCAAGAGGAAGTTCGCCTTTCGCGTCCAGCGGAGCGATGATGCCGTCGCTGAGGAAGGCGAGGGTGAGGTTGTGCAAGCCGAGGTATCCCAACATGGGAACGCACTCTACACTGTGTCGATCTCGCGGAGTAGTGGGAGCGCTGCTGCCGGCTCCGAGACGCCGACGGTGTATGAGAACCTCGTGTCCGAGCCTGCGCTCACGACTGCCACCAAAACAAAATTAACAACCTTTTTCCCTCTCGCCCGTGTCGAGTCCACCCTTGTGCAGGACCCGGCCGCTCCCGAAAGGCTGACCATCTTCCAGCTGGGCGAGAAGGCTGAGCTGAGGCTGGTATCGCCCACTTGGTTTGACAAAGCGCTCGGGTTGAGGGAAGCGGCGGGTAGTGTGGTGGCGCCGATGCCATGCAAGATATTGAGAAATATGGTGGCAGAGGGACAGGAGGTGGAGAAAGGCGCACCGCTTGTTGTGTAAGTCGCCCCGCGCTGCTTCCCGTATAAAGTCTCTAACCTTGTGTTCCGCGGGTAGCATCGAGTCCATGAAGATGGAGACGGTTATTCGATCACCGCAAAAGGGGGTTGTCAAGAAACTGGCACACAAAGAAGGGGTAAGTACTCTGCTAAATTTAAATCTCGAGTAATCGCCCATTGTGCTGACTTGGATTATAGGATATTTGCAAGGCCGGGACTGTGTTGGTTCAGTTCGAAGAGGCAGAACAGGGGGCTCAAGCGAACGATTCATGATTGCTGTACCTATACTATGTCCTTTGGGTTGAGGGGAGCGGATGCGATGTTTGGGTGCACGGTTTGATTCCTAGCAATGGCGTTTGGGCTAAGGCATTGAATGTACACGATGAGCAGGGTCTAAGTACAATACACATAGCATCCAAGAAGATCGCTCAGCATTGCATTCAGCGATATCAGCGAGACTGGGGACCGACCTTTATCAGATCGGGCGGATCAGGTGAGCGTGCTTCGTGAGTCCACATCAGATCATGATGATGCGGTAGACCAAACCGACACAGCAATCGAGGATCGGTGCTATTTATGTAAATGAAGAATCGCCAATTTCCAACGGACTTGTCGCCAACGCTTTCTCCGCAAATAACATATGGCTGCGAATTCCTTACTCAGACAAGCTCTGCTCCCATCTGGTCCCATGTTGCCTCTGGTGACAGACGGGAGTTGGGTTTGTGTGTTTAGTTGATGCTTGGGAGGTGGGGTGAATCCGTACAGGCCGTCCTTCCCCTGACCATGGTAGAGCGTCGTCAAGGCTCTGCCAAGGCCCCGCGCAGGGGTTACGATCGAGATCGACCAATCAGAGCGGCCGCGCACCTCGCCCATCCACCCGCCCGGAATCAGCGATCGGTGCCGTTGTTTCCGTCCCTGCCCCAGTTTTCACACCTCCGTTTTCAACCGGCAACACAAGAGCAGTCATGAACCCTAGGATACAACACGGCCGCCACATTCTCAGGGTAGCTCGTGGCACCGCTCCCGGATGGAGCATTTCTGCCCGGCGGCCTCCGACAAACCCATCGCTTGTGGCTGCTCAATTCCACCGATTCCAGATCCAGTCCTTCGCAACATCTCCCTCCCGTCGGCAAGAGCGGAGACAGGCACCACCTCCTCCCGAGCCGCCGGCTCCCGTACCAGAGACCACTGAACCCGTCCAAGCAACACCCGCGCCCCCGTCTGGCAGCACCCAGGCAGCCGAGTCCTCCAAGCCCCCAAAGAAGCGCCTCGCGCCCCGCATCATCTTCGCAGCCGTCTTCATCTTCATCGGTTCAGCCGCCGGCTCATCTCTGCGGCTCCTCCTCTCCCCGCCCAACCCCCCAGAACCCGGCACCGCCGAAGATGAATACACCAAACAAGTCCTGCGCGAGCAGGCCGCCAAGCTGCCGCTCGTGCAGCAGCTGAGCGCCGACCCCGCCTGGCAATCCTGGGACGCGTACGAGTCCTTCTCGCCCGAGCAGCGCGCGCAGCACATCACGGCGGGGGCGCTGGCCGGGTCCCGCGGCGTGGGCGGGTACCAGCGCATCTTTTACCACCCGGCCAGCGGCGAGTTCGTCAGCGTCGTCTACTTTGGGGGGGCCACCACGGGCTGGCCCGGTGTGGTGCACGGGGGTTGCCTGGCCACTATCTTGGACGAGAGCTGTGGGCGGGCTGCTTTCAAGCAGTGGGGCGGTAAACCAGGCGTGACGGCGAGTTTGACGCTTGAGTACAAGCGCGTGACGCTGGCGAATGGCTTCTACGTGGTGCGTGTGCGGCCGCGCGCAGAGGAGGACCTGCTTGAGAGCGAGAGGGGTAAGAGGCATTACAAGTGCTTTGTTGATGCGACGGTTGAAGACGCGGCTACGGGCACCGTGACGGCGACGGCCGAGGCGCTGTTTGTTGGCGGTCAGGGGAAGAAGAAGAAGAGCCTGGTTAGCTGGGGCGGTGAAGCGCAGGAGAGTCATATCAAGTTTTGAGCAAGTAAGTAAGTGCTTTGGGTTTGATTCGAGGTTTTAGATGAGAGAGCGTTTGTAGCATAGGTGTAACCGTGAGGCATCCATAGCGTTTGTTTTGTTCATAATCTAGATTCGAGGGATAGAAAGAAAGGACTGATAAGTATTGCAACAGCGCCTTTCGATGAAGATATCAAGCATAGGCCTTTCAAACTCTTTGCGGAAGATGTATGATAGTTATTCTGTCAAACCCACCCTATGCGCCGTACAAAATGCTTCATATGCTATGCAATCCCGGGGCCAGACCGCCCCCTATGCCATACCCGCAACCCCAACAGCACCACCTGTCCAGAAATCGCCCTCTATGTCTAGATCTAACCCCTTGAATCCATCCTCAACGACCCAAGAGCGGCCCTTTTCCGGCGTGTACAGCGCCTCACACGAACGGCCGACGACGAGCAATCCCGGGGGCCTGCTACCCTCCTGCTCAATCGCCTCCGCGACAAACCTCAGCGTCGTCCTGATGACGCGCTGATCTGGGCAGCTTGCTCGCTCAATGACAGCACAGGGGGTGTTGAGCGGCCAGAGGGTCCTCCTTTTTGACTGCTCTTGCTGTGTTACGATCTGACCCTCCTGCCCTTCTCCTGCTGTCTGGCTCCGCTCCTCTTCGGCTCGTTGTTCCTCCTCGTCGGTATACTTGGTCAGCTCAGCCACTAGCCCCTCAATCCGATGTAGGGCCATCAGAAACACCACTGTCCTCGACTCGACGTACTCAGGAGGCTGCGGCGCCTTCCCTTTCTTGCCCGTACCCGTGCAGACTAACACTTGGTCGGCCACGTCCCGCTGCGTGGGCGGGATGCCCGCAAACAGCGGTGCGCTCAGGCTGCTCGTGATGCCGGGGAGGACCACCACGCGGTCGCCCAGACCTCGCTCCCTGAAGAATGCGACCTCCTCGCCGCCTCGCCCGTAAATGAAAGGATCGCCCTGTTTGAGTCGGAGAACCGTCTTGCCTGTGCGTACCCCGTCCAGCGCCTGCTCGAGGAGCTCCTCCTGCGCGCGGTCCGCGTTACCTGGGAATTTGCGCGCGATGGAGACCGGCGTGCGCCGCGGGATGAGGTCGAGCACGCCCGCGGGGACGAGCTTGTCGGCTAGGATAATATCGGCTGACTGAATCGCCTTGTAGGTAGCTCGCGTGAGCAGGTCGGGATGGCCGGGGCCGCTTCCGGCAAGAATAACACGGCCGACTTGCCCATGACTCGCTGGGTTACCCCCGTTCCTCAGCGCCGCAGGCACCCCGGACCCCAGAATTGCTTCCACATCCGCATCCGTAATCGCCGCCAACCTCTTCAGAGGCCAGTACTCGCATACCTGCGCAAGCCACCTCATTCGCCTGGTCTTGGCCGCCTCGGCATCGCCCTCCAGAACAAGCCTATTCAACCCTGCCGTCTGCTCCACCGAGTCATCCACCCCCTCCTCCTCACCCTCCGCCGCCGCCGCCGCCCACTTCCCATGCTCACCCTCACCCTCACCCTCCACACCACCGGACACCCCAACCACCCCTTTCCTCCCTTCCTCAATGACCCTCTTCCGCAGGTTCCCAAGCCTGTCACACGCAGCGCCCAAACCAGCCGGCAAGCCCGCCGCAACCTCCCTCCGGATACGCCCAGCCAGCTTACAGCCCCTGCCATTAGTAGTAACACCAATTTGCAGCGGGCCGTCGATGTGCACACTCAGGAGACTAAAGGAGCACAGCGCGGGGCTGTCGACGACGTTGACGGGGATGCGGTGGCGCCTGCACAGGGCCGAGATGGCCTCAACACCACCACCGTCGGCGAAACCGGCGGCGGCGGCAGGGGACGTGACAAAGACGGCGTCAACAACGCCATCTACCTCTTCCCGGCCAAGAGTGAACAGATCCTCCCTGCGCAGGGCGCGGGCCAGGTGGGTGAGCTGGTTGGAGGCGATGAGCGCCGTGAGGGAGTAGTGGAGCTCATCTGGGGACGACCAAGTAGGGGCGATGAGGATGGGCTTTGCGCCCGCCGCGAGAGACGAGGCGGCGCGGCTTGCGGCGAGCGGGTTGGCGCCTACGATGAGGTGGACGTGGCCTGCGCAGTGCTGGGCTGTGAGGAGGGAGGTTTGGTGTTTCGGTGTGGGGGTTGGTGGAGATGTTGTTGCCATGGCGGTTTGGCAATTCGAGGAAGGGAAATGTTTCCTCCTCTGGAATCCGGTGTGTTAACTTGCCTGAGGGTGGCCACTGATTAGTAGTATGACTGATGTGAGGCCACGATGAGCGATATGACAGAAGAAAAGAGAAGATGTGACACGGATAGGGGTGGCAGACTCATAAGATTTATCATCTCCAATTACATACGGGAAGATGCCCTCGATCCGAAACTTCCCTTTAATAAGAGCGGCAGCGGTATTCCTTGATATCCACATCTCCGCTGCTAGCACAACTCTTCGTCAGGTACCGTCCATGGGATGCCGTGGGGATGTTTCAATCCTTTTATCTAAGTGTTTAGTACAAAGAAGATCTCCAGCCAGTCAGAGGCCCCGAATTGCGACTTACACCAGCTTGAGATCCCCTTGGTGGGCGCAGAATCTTTCTGGGCGCCGTTAGCGGCCGCTGACGCCATTTCATGTGCCCGGAAAAGCCTTTATCAGGCTTATCGCAGCGCCAGTCGCCACCCTTCCCTGATCCCCTAGGGGCTGGAACCTCCCTCACCTCCTAAACCAGTCGACTCCGCGGGGAACGCTAGCTGCACCGGAGATGCCTGGCCTTGCTGATCCCGGATTGTCTTATCAGAAGATCTGCCGAAGACCCGGGGGAAACACAACATGATGGATCTTGATCAGCTGGTGCTACTGTCACATAACATAACTGGCATGGGAGTCTTGTGAGACGGCTCTCATCTCGCTCGCAATTCCTAATTCCTCGCAGCTTCATTGCAAACCGATGACAGAAAAATAATAAAGCTTGAGCTGGCGGCAACAACTCGCATCCCCGGCAGCCGTTGGACCAAAACATTGTTACAACGGAACACGCAAGCCTCCATGACCATGTCGCCTCGACTATTACCTTCGCGCGCCTCTCCTAAGTCGTTGCGCCAACGCCTTTCCTAGGGTCTAAAACCCCTTCGGCGGTATCCATGGTGGACATCGATGTGCAGTTTCTCGATCGCGCGTCTTGTGGCAGTGTTTGCCTGGCATGTCGTGTATATAACCCGTTTAAGGAATTCGGCGCCGCGACTCGTGCAAGAAGCTGAATCCGAAAATATCTACATAGAATAGTAACCGGCAACCGTCGAACCCCTCACGTGTAAATCCGAATGCAGACCCAGCAATCGCCTCGGTCGAATAATATCGAAATGGGGAAAGTGAATTAAACTCAGTTGTATAACAATCGCAAGACGCCGACGCCTAGTAATTTGATAGGGCTGAAAGGGCTCGTCAAGGTTCAGGTGATCCAGTCGTCCTCGATAGAAAAGTCGTGGTCCGTCATGGTCCCGTCCGTTAGAGCTCGTGTTGTTGAAAGCCGTCAGTGCACGCTGCACAATGGCCGTCTACATGACGGTGCACTTGGAATCCTCTCGCTCTTTCTTAACTGATAAGGCGACACGAGCGGCCTCGGTGAAGGCCTCGTTGACTCCCCTGTTGCGCATGGCGGAACACTCCAGATATCGCAGGGCGTGGATGCGGCGGGCAACTTCCAAACCCTGATCGTAGTTGATCATCGGCTTCTTTTCCCGCGGGCTGCCGTCCTCGTTTGTCCCTTCTTCGTCCTCGGACGCCTCTCGCAAATCGCACTTCAGCGCCACCAGGACGAGTTTGACGCCGGGGCAGTTATCGGCGATCTCGCCCACCCATTTACTCTCAACGTTCTCAAGGGAATCCTTGCTATCCACAGAGTAGCAGAGCATGATCAGGTCCGTGTCGTCTGCCTCGAGGGTGAGCTTGCTGCCTGGGCGAGTTAATTGATGGAACAAAACTTACCATATGAGAGACTCCGTAACCTGTCGAATTCCTCCTGCCCAGCGGTATCCCACAGCGAAAGCTCGATGTGGACATTGTCGACAAATATGTCTACACAATGCGCAAGTTAGCCCAGGCCTGTCCCCATCCTGCCAACTATGATCTAGGTGCACACGAGACCGGACGCACCGTGGACGTAGTTCTCGAATACGGTCGGCTCGTATACGGTGGGGAAATAGCTATAGCGGTTGAGCAAGGAACGCATATCTCAGCTTTATGCGGCCGTGTGGGGCTCACCCTCGAGTGAAGACGTTCAGCAACGACGTCTTCCCACAAGCACCATCACCCCTGTTTCGGGACGCATCATGTTAGCGAAATGGCATCACATGATGGCCGCCTGAACTTTAAAGCCAATTCCCTCCCCATGCCAGAACTATCGACAATCGGAAACTCACAGCAAGACGAGCTTGCGCTGCACCGTCTTCGATCCTCCGAGTCCGCAAGGCATTGTTTGCGAGCCGAAAACGAAAATGCAGTTACTCGGCTGGTGCGGCCCAAGAGCAATGGACAAGTGAAACGGCGGAAGGTTTGGAGTAGGCGAACTGTTCTCGGAGTTCCGGCCGTCTGTCGGGGCAAATGCCGGGGAGGTAGGTGATGCGGTTGACCAGGCCGCGGAAAGAGAGAAAGAGGAAACGAGAGGTATGGCAAACGCCAACTGAAGTTATATACCACTAGAAGGTACGAGCGACCAGTGAGGGCGGACAGATTCACGTCAGGGACACAGACGAACAGGGCCCAGGACTAGGCACTCGCGAAGCCCCAGCGCTTCTGACAGCACGAGCGCAGAATGTGAAGATTGGGGAAGAAAAAGTGAACGTAAATCGCGGATGTCCTCTCAGAAAATATGCGGAGCGCTGGCAAAGGAGAGGAATGAGAGAAACGACGCAGAAGACGCACGAGTCTGGGGACAGATTGGAAGTCGGAGATGAAGTCAGCATCCTGGCGCTGGGCTACGAAGTAGTTATTCACTGCGAACGCACTGCTAGCCGGGGCCCACAAGCCCAGACTCTCGACCAAACAATCGCTGCAAGTTAGGCTTGGCGCCTTCCAGGGCCGGATTCGGCTATTGGTTGATAGTGAAAGGACGACCGTACCTACGACTACGACCGCATAGGGAAGTACGAGATATGCTGTCGTATTTGTTCGACTGCATCTGGAGTTGAGATACGAAGGTATTTACAAGCAAATAGGTAGAATACGCAACGAGTGTGGTTCTACCTACACCTAATGAGCAGTCATGGAACCATCCAACACCTAAGATCCCTTCACGGGTTGAAGCTGGCCAAGGAGGACGCACACGAAAGTATGTACAGATACCTTGGGCACCCTCGAAGTGTACATACATAACGGATCGTACCCTGCAAATGACCGCCGCGCCAAACTTCGCGTTCCACGGGGTCTCCTTGATTTGCTAGCCCTCAACGATCCTGCAGATCCGTTCGTCCCAGAACACTGGGGGTCTACCGTCCACTAGCTCGGCATTGAGTGCCAGAAATGCCTGCACGAACTAGGTGTATTGAACCAACCAGCTACTGTGTCCTCCTGTCCTCCATGCATGCAGGACTATTACAGAGTTGCTCCAGGGTATTAAGACGCTTCCTCTGATTCCAAGACAAATTTCTCGTCACGACGTGCATTCGTGGCATCAGAATTCTCACCTCCTCCCCACACGATCCGCAACCTTCAACTCGGCGGCCCTGCTATGCAGTTGATTCATGAAGCCCGCATCACCACCAAAGCGCTTGTTGCGCTCGCGCACTCGGGCGTCCGATTCCTGCGCTGCCCGCTCTCGCTCTTCTATGGCAGCAAGCCGGCGCTGACGGTCCTGGTCAAGATCCGTAGCAGCCTCTTGCATTGCAGCAAGCTTGCGAGCGCGCTCTTGCTCGGCCTTGTCCATATCTGACTCCCCATTGCTGGGCCGCCTCTCATCACGTCTGCTAGGACCAGCATGGTCCTGATTGCGATCTAGGTCCCGTCCGCGGGCTCCTTTGGGATGATAAGAGCGATCACCGCCAACTCGGTGCCCATTTGGCCTTTCAGTGGATCCCCGTGGCGGGCCATCACGTTCGGTTGACTGGTCTCTTGCACGTTTGCCATCACGGTTTGGAGAGCGATCCTTCTTGCGTAAGGGCGGGGATGAGGATCGTGAATCCCGTCTAGATCGTCCATCCCTTTCTCGGGGCCGGTCTGCCCGACCGTCGTCTGGCCTAGCCCATCTGTCACGGCTGTTCCTTCTTTCTCGGCTGTCCCGTCTGCGGCGACTGCTCCGCCGACCATGGCCGTTCCGCCTATCTCGCCTATCCAACGAATCCGACGACTCCGACCTATCCCGTCTCCGGTCCCTTGAACCTCTCCTCCACTTCCGCCGATCTTGCTCATCTTCCGAGTCGTATCTCCTTGGGCTTTTTGATCTATCTCTGGAGTATGACCTGCGCCGGCGGCCTCGCCTCTCGTCGTCGCGGTCGTCACCATGATGCCGATGTGATCGATGGTGGGAATGCCTATGTTTATGACGTCTCTCCTCCTTGTGCTTTGCCTTGTCTTGATTGTCATCGATACCCATTGATGCGAGGAGCTGCCGCCTCTTGATGGGGTCGTTCATCATAGCCTCGTATGCTTGCTGCTCCTGCCTCTTGATGGCCAGTAACGGGTCCTCCCTAATTTTTGAAGCTATATCCCGAGAATTTGTGACGGCCGCGGTCGGCGCCGCGGCAAGGAGGTCTTGGCTCGGCTGCTTCTGTAGTTTCTTAACTTCGTTGTCCTGAAGTAGCTTGTCGATGCGCCTCTTGCCGAGGAGGTAAGCTTCGTTCTCGGCCGCATCGCCAGCTTGACCGTCGGTTGGGCCAGAATACATCCATTCCACCCGCTCCACCCTGCGCTTGCCGCCTGCGGCCTCGAGCGCTTTTTGGATTTCCTCTTTGCGTCTTTCTTCCTCGATTTCCTGGAGGCGCTGCTGCAGCTTTTTTCGTTCCGCAATCGCTTCGGCCTCGGCCTTCTGTGTTGCGGCGACATTCCCCGAACGTTGGGGGTGCCAACTCTTTTTCATATTCAAGTCTCCGGAACCCATTTTGGCGGTATTGGTGCTGCCAAAGCAGCGCGACGATTAGAACAAAACTGGTCGCGAGGGCGAAATAGGGGATGGTTGACGCCACAGACGAAAACCGCGATTTGCTCTCGGGACTTTGCGACACTCAGTTATTTATCTTCGGCCTTCGTCCGCGATCTGATCCTCTTGATGCTTATTTGCAGTGGTGAGGCAGTCGCATTCAGAGTAGATGTAGAAGAGAAGAAGTGACGACGGGGTTCTCGATGGGGTTCTCGATGAGGTTCTCGATGAGGTTCTCGATGAGGTTCTCGATGAGGTTCTCGATGAGGTTCTCGATGAGGTTCTCGATGGGGTTCTCGATGGGGTTCTCGATGGGGTTCTCGATGACCGGTGCTTAGGTCGCTGGCTAAGCCGTTACATTACGTACTATACAAATTACAATACCGGTGCGCCGTGGCCCGTAACGAAATCAGTACGCCAGCTACGCTACGGAGTACCGTACCGTTACGAATAATTACCCCACAATCTCACCCCAGAATCCCCCAATCGTTAGCATCCCACCAACAATCGTTCAATCCACATCACTGCGCATCGCTCAGCCTTATCACCGCGGGTCTGCTTGCCGCTCACTCTGTTGAACAACCGATTCTTGGCTTCTTAAGTGAAGACTGGAATATCGATACATCCTTGGCACAACTTGACAGAGGCAGGCTTGACTGGCGAAATTTAATCATAATGTCGGACGACGATTTCATGCAAGCCTCTGATGAGGAGTATGACTTCGAGTACGAGGAAGATGAGGATGAGGATACCGGCGACGTCGACATCGAGAACAAGTATTACAATGCGAAGCAGACCAAAACATCCGACCCTGAGGGCGCGGTGGAAGAGTTTCTGGGCATACCGTCCTTAGAGCCCGAAAAGGGAGACTGGGGTTTCAAGGCCCTCAAGCAAGCTATAAAGCTGGAATTCAAGCTGCAGTGGTATCAGAAGGTTGGTCGACCGGCCCAAACTTGCGGCGGCGGTGATGGCCTGGATGCTGATGAAGTGACAGGCCACTGAGCACTACCGAGAACTTCTCACATATGTCAAGTCGGCTGTCACGAGGAATTACTCGGAAAAGTCGATCGACAACATGCTCAACTTTATCGAGAAGGGTGCAGACAACCCATCAGCAGTGCAGTGCATTGAGCAGTTCTACTCCCTCACCCTACAATGCTTTCAGAGCACGAATAACGAGCGCCTTTGGCTCAAGACCAACATCAAACTCGCCAAACTCCTCCTGGACCGTAAGGATTACCATGCTGTGGGGCGGAAGCTTCGGGAGCTGCACAGGGTGTGCAAGAAGGAAGACGGCACCGATGACCCGAGCAAGGGCACCTACTCACTCGAGATCTATGCCTTGGAGATCCAGATGTATTCTGAGATGCGGAATAACAACCAGCTCAAAGCTCTGTACCAAAAGGCGCTTAAGGTGCGCTCAGCGGTGCCGCACCCAAAGATCCAGGGTATCATCCGCGAGTGTGGCGGCAAGATGCACATGAGTGAGGAGAACTGGAAAGACGCTCAGAGCGACTTCTTTGAGGCCTTCCGCAATTACGACGAGGCAGGCGATTTGCGGCGGATCCAGGTACTCAAATACCTGCTTCTCACCACCATGTTGATGAAGTCGGACATCAACCCCTTCGACAGCCAGGAGACCAAGCCGTACAAGAACGATCCCCGCATTGCCGCCATGACGGACCTGGTCGATGCCTACCAACGCGACGACATCACCAAGTACGAGGATGTCCTCCAAAAGAACACGGACTTGCTTGCCGATCCCTTCATCGCCGAAAACATCGACGAGGTGACGCGCAACATGCGCACCAAGGGCGTCCTCAAGCTGATTGCACCCTACACGCGCATGCGGCTGAGCAAGATTGCCGAGAGCCTGCGCATCAGCGAGCCCGAGGTCCAGGACATTGTGAGCTATCTCATTGTCGACGGCCGCGTGCAAGGCCGCATCGACGAGCACAGCGGGACCGTCGAAATTGAGTCGCCCGGGGACGCCGAGCGCGCCAAGGCCATTGAGCGCCTGTCGTCCGCCGTCGCGGATTTGTACACGGCCATCTTCAAGGACGGCGACGGGTTCCGCAACACCCTGCCTGACCTCGCCAATACAGGGTTCGGTGATCCTGTGGCCGACTTTGGTGGAGGGTTCCCCGACGTGGGCCGGAGACGAGGTGGCCGCCGCGGCAACATGAAGAATATGATGAACATGGCCCTGCACTAAGCTTGGGGGGTGCCTGGCCAGATCTGGCCTGGGTATGTTTTGGCTTCGGCTCCGTTATCTTGTTCATGCCACTGAGCCAGATGACCATGATTATGTGCATTGTGCGAGGTGATGGGAATTGGGGAATGGACTACAGGACTATGAGACAAATGGCTTTGGGACTGGCAGAACCAGGCGGCTCATATGCCTAGATAGAGCAGGTCACTCTCAAAGACCAACGACAGAGGTGAAATCCACAAGGCATCGGGCAGCACTTGGGTTGGATGCATGGGACGAGATGGCATCCAAGGGGGTTCCCTGGATTGCTTTCCCTGCCGTCTTGCGCAGCTTGCTCAAATACCGAATGCCTTCACTTACGACCTTATCTACGTGCCCTGCTTCCTTCGCCCGTACCGTGACTACATGGTTGAATCGTACCAGGTAAACTTAGGAAGCCCTACCTTGCCGGATTGACTGGTACATAGGACGCTCTCCGTGATCTCATCGGACGACGTGGACGTCAATGGCCAGGTACAGTTCATCTAAGCATACTCCAAGCCACTCCATGTAGGCAAGCAAGCAGGCTTTGAGCCAAAATAGGCTTGGAAGGTTACTACTGCACCCCAGCTGTATACAACGGTTAGTCCGATTCGTGTTGTCACTTCCAGTTAGACATGAGTCTATGGCGTCTGTGGGCTTGTGCACTTGCACCTATGCTCTGAGGACCAGCTTCAAAGTTGGACTTCCATGTCTATGAAGGCTGAACGGGCAAACTGATATTAGGATCAATATACGGAGTAGCTACTAACACGTCATTCCCATCGGACCTGGGACCTGACGGCTTAGCCTGGATTCAAGGCCGAGCAGACAGACAACCCTCTCCGTCTGATGTCATTTGTTTCATATCGGTACGACTCCCTGGGAAGGGGTGATCGCGGGAATTACCCGCGATGAGACCAAGCAGAACGACACTGGCTGCCCATCCACGTCTGGCCTGCTGTGTAGGCTGTTCTGCTTCTGCCGTGATCTCACAGCTCCAAATGTCCCGTTCGAGGGATCGACAGAGATGGGTATATGAAGCACCGGGCCGTCCGTGTGCGCGGTATGATCTTGAGTGTTCCATCCGGGTAACCACCAGGTGGAGATCAAACTGGTTTGGAAGGTTTACCGTAACTGAAAACTGCATGTGTCATGTCAACCTGGATGATTCTGAATGTGTGTAGATCCTTGCTGAGGTTCTGTATAAACAGATAGGCGAGTAAGGGACAAACCGTTCTTTGCTTTATTTCGTACTTGGATGGCAAGTACAAGTAAGTACTGATTTAGTTAGTTTCAACCAGGCGTCGAAGGCGTACCGTGTTTGTCTTTTGGGTTAGTCGATCTCCTGACGAACGTACACCGGTAACTACATGTATAAGCCGACCTTGACGTGTCAAAACAAGCTAGTGGTGCTTGACATGTGGTTCATACTGTTCAGGCTACATAGACCGGGAACGTTTATGCGGGATGACTCCGAGTACAGAATCTCGACGCCACTGGCACTGCTGCTGCATAGGTGGCGGCTCGGGCTCGCAGCCGCGGTGACGAAATAGGTGGGTGCTGCAGCTGTGTCTCCGGCCTCATCGGCAGCAGACATAATTGCTTGGATGGATGACGGCTACTCCTACACTACTTGCCGGGAGATTTGATAAACCCAGTCGATCGATTAACTGGTAGAACAAGCGCCGGCAGATGCGGTTGTCTCCCGGACCATCTGATCGATCCACAGGTACTGGCGATCAGTGTATATGCTTCCCGGGCTGGAGCAGTGGGCATAGTCGGCTTGTAGTCCTTGGGTGGCTCGGATCTGCACATATCGCTCCTCGGTCCAATGGCTGACTTGGGAGGGGTTTTTTGTCGTTCCGGCCCGCTGCGAGAACGGCCTCGCGTCCTGCCGGGAGGAAGCATTGCAGATGCTTTGCAGCAGAAGCCGGCAGGCAGTGCCTCATTACTGTCGGCCGCCTCTAGATTACACCGCCAGGGCGGAGGCCGGGAGGTGGGCGGAGGTCGGGAGGAACAGCGAGAATATGGCAACTACCTCACCCACTAAACACACAATCTGGCCCTATATTTGTCAGGACTGCATGGTCAATTGGTGGAAAGGTCACGTACACAAGCTCCATCCCTTGATGAGAGCCGCCAAACAGCCCCAACGGCTGGCGGTTTGCGTATCCCGGTTTGTGGGACCATGATTCACCGCGGGACTTGGATGTGTTTTAGCTTGTCAGATCTTAAGCTCCAGGAATATGGATAGCATATTAGTGTGGGCAGGGGCCGGCACAGAAGATACGGGAGGCAGTTTGATCAGCAAGTGGGCCGCGGTTCGGCCCCGGGCCCGGCATCATGCCCAATCTCTGCCATCAGCTGCCGCCTGGCAGCATTGCACACCTGAGGGGGGAGCCAAGAGCGCCCAGTGAGGTTGAAGGACCTATTTCATGAGATATTGGACACGTTAAGCGATGGCATCAATCCGCCGGGATGCACGGTAGTTGTCGCAAGAGGGCCAGGGTTTGAATGCGCGGAGGCGGGAAGCCACAGCGCCAACTCGGGAGCGAAAAGAGTCCTGCATGATGTTTTGCACCGCAGCACGGACAGCTTGACGGGCAGGCGGGCGGGGAAGCGGGTAAATCAGCTCGGACAGGAAGGTTTGTGGCTCCCCCCCACCACCCACAATCGGACGGTAGGTAACTTGAACTGAGGCATGCCTGCCAGTGTCTGTTGTCAAGGTTTGTGTGTGAATTGTGCGTCGGCAATCGGGAGCTGTGCGACGGTCCCCGCTGTAGTAACATATCAATCTGTACGGTTGCAGGCTCGCAGGCCATGCAAATGACGATCTGTAAAACTGCCAGGAACATGAGGGCGTTCCAAGGTTGTGTGAAGCGGGATACATTAGGTTGGCTGGGATATCCCGTCGTTGTTGGTCGACAGTCCAGATAACCAACGTGACTACAAAAGGAACTTGCCGGGCGGACAACTCTCAGCGTCTCGGATCCCTGTCCGAGACGTGGAAACACCTATCTACATACGGTACCGTTAAAGCGCTCAAGGCGCTGTGGACTTCCCTCCCCTACATAAAGTTTATTGCCTACCTACCTTACCTTACTTACCGATGTAATTACCATCATCGGACAAACGTTTGACAGCCATGGAACTCAAGGTCGTTGGTACGCTCAAGTTTGTGTCATGATACTGCCCATACGTAATGTACATGTACTGTACAGTACATGAATACAACGTACCGTACCAAGCTCCCAAGTAAGGCTATAACCCCAATATAGCAGCAATACCAGGACAGAAGCTCGGGGCCTCAGCCTCTGGGTATCTGATACACAGTCGTCGAGACCTCCCATCGGACGATGGCAATCACAAGACATGCAGCCCAGGTCGGCCAATCTCGATACGGAGGGGATCCCATACGGAGTACGGAGTACACCACTAGCATTAGCTGTCCTGCTATGACAGACGCCGCCTGTATCAAGCTAGCGTGCCATATCTGATTGGTGTTGGCACGCACACACGCGGCAGGCAATGTCAACTTCTCGTGGCCAAGTTTCGCTAGTGCACTCGGCTTCCCATGTCTGATGGACAGCGACCGTCGTTGGTGCCCATGGCGTGGGTGGCTGCCGGCGGCAGACTACAACAAGGGGCTCGGTTGGCCGAACGAGGTTGGATAACCGTTCGGCTACTCAATCCGATTCGCGCTGGCAGAGAAGATGGTGGCTCCCCGGGGCCGTCATGCCCGTGAATACGCCACACCCCACGGCAGCAGACCGCAGACCGCGGGGTTAGTCTGCTTGAAGGGGGGATCAATATAACGGTGCCTTAGGTAGCCCATCTGAAGGGCTGCATGAGCGGTGGGGAAGGGGCAAGCAACTGCACGAGCTTGAGGTTGGAAATCTGTGGGGAAGGGGAATGTGACTTCCCTTGATGCGCAATGATGAATCGTCGGGCACTCGGGTGTCGAGATTGCCCGGGCTTCGACTATGGCGAAGGACGCGAAGGGGTCGTTGTGCAATGCAGTGGAACTGGTGTGGTGTGGTGGCATTAACGTTACCGGAGGTCGAGAGAGAGGAGGTGATCGAAGCAGTCGAAGTTGAGAGAATGTCTCTGCTAACATCGCCAACCCGACACGGTTAGCGCTCCTCTGAACCATGGATGTCATTACTCCGTACAGACTTTAAAGTTACGGTATCTGCATTGTGAAGTTGCGACCCGTATGTATGTCCACCCTAAAGACATAAGGCACTTTAGCTCGACGCCGGCAAGCACCGTGGTCAGCACCTATGAAAGGTTCTGATGCATGAAATTATTACTTTGGTAGCACTTAAAGAGAGACCGTGCAAAACTGCTGATGGGGTGGCTCTGGGTGGATGTGACCGGCGCAACCCATACCTACCAAGCTAGGGCCAACTGCTGAGAGTGGTGTGGGGCTGCCCTTCAGAGCCGGACCCCACCTCCCGGGTCCACGAGCCTGGGACACAGCACCCAAACCAATCATAGGGCCCGGATTTTGGTCCTTGACTCCTAAGCAAATCCAACAATCTTTGGCCTCAACGAGGTTGTGACAACGGTCTCTGCAACTGCAGAGGACCAACGAACATGCTGTATCCGAGCGGACCATTGGGAGTCAGCTCTCCGACTTGGCGTTTTGACCCTCTCCGTTGCCTGCCGCTACACAAAGCGATCCCATGTCTGCTCGCCAAAGCAAGAAAATTGTCGCAAGCATTCGAGCAGATCGCCAATCCTGGTCCCAAAGGGAAGCGCAGTCTCCCACCGCGAAACGGTATGATTAGCGGCTAACTTGTGATTAGAGAGTCGGCGCAGCCAAATCAGCAGTGTCACCAGTACAGCGTACTGCACATACATACATACCCCAGGTTCCCGTGTATTGATATTTGTGGTCGCCTTTGTGTTCCACAGAGGAACGCTGCACGCCCTCTACCTCTGTACCCGTTGGCTAGAGTTCGTATGCACTTAACGGGCCAACTCTAAAGAGTTGGGCACAGAATTCAGGGACGGCTCAAAAACCAGGGACAGCTAGTGCAATATATAGGATTTCCATACCAAGGACTAACATTCCAAGGGTAGAGCAACCTGCCTCTCGAGCAATACTGTATATCTGGAAAACCAAACATGACCATTAGATCCGCCTTAAGGAGGCGACTCGAGTGATACCTATTTTGATAGGTTGTATCCTATTCCTCTATAGTTTTTAGCGAATTTTGGTATAAAACTGGTGTTCTTACCTACATCTCAGTCACAAGAACACTCGATTTGCACTAAGATTTAGCAACTTTCACCAAGAACTCTAGAATAAATAGGATGCAACCTACTAAAGTAGATATCATTCGAACCGCCTTTTCAAGGCGAATCCAATGGTCCTGCACGTTTTCTTGGAAGTGCAGGATTGCCTGAGATTTGCGCATACGACTGCCGGTTCTGTTAGTGATTGTAGTGGAATGCCATACATTGCGCTAACTGTCCCTCATTTTTGAGCCGTCCCTGAATTCTGTGCCCAACTCTTTAGAGCTGGCCCGTTAAGTGCATACGAACTCCAGCCAACGGGTACATACACCATGTTGCACAATCTGTGCCACAGGGCGACCACCACGAAAATTTTACTTTGGTTTTCATGCTGAGCTTCGATAGACAACCGACAAGGACGGTGAGTGGCGGGGCCAGAGGGAAGTCAGAAAGGTTGCGACGGTGTGCTATGTTTCTCGGCCGAATGGTCAGCTGCCAGCCCGGTTGCCTTCTCTGTGGTTTGCGGTGTGATGCCTTGATGGTAAGTTTACGGCTCGAGCTGAACTGTGGTAGGTGTCAGCTTGATCTTCACACCCCAGACCGCATCTACCGTTTGGAGGGGACATCAGGGACCACCATCTTCGATGCTCGACCAGAGAAATGCATAATTCGGTATTGGTACTACGCTGTGGACTAGAAACCATGACCGGTTGTACACTAGTTAAAGAGATCCCGGCCCATACGTGCTGTTGGTATGTATTTACCTGGGATGCCACGAAGAGACATATTTCCTGCTGGCTCGGGATACGAAGCGCTCATGTCTCTGCTTTTCAGCGAGTTTCTCTAGGCGGCCGCGAGGAGAGGCCTGCCTGCCCGATCCTATGGCCATCTGCGTCGTATCTCCTCGGGGGTCTCTCATCAAGGGCCATGGCCCGACCTAGCAGGATGCGGCGCAGATGGGAACCAGGTCGTGCCCGGATCACTGCAAAGCTAGGGTAGGGTTTGGGGCTGGGAGTCTGTGAACAACGCCCACCTCACTCAGGGCCAAAACCCTCCCCTGGAAAAGCCATCGGGAAACGCCCACCCCCCTGTTGCTCCCCCAGAAATTGCCCGTTCGGCGGAGTGGGCCCGGCATACAACGCTGCGGGACAAGGATCATTAACTGACACACTCTTTCGCAACGCACATTAACTAACGTAACGTTATGTTCACAGCAGAGTACCTACATACTTCAAGCACCAGCATTGTATCAATGCAGAAACTGTGTGTCGCTACGAGCTCGAACTCAGTGGGGGTTTGGACCTGTCCGTCGTGACCATGCCGGCTGCTGGGTGGGCAGCAAGTACTGTCCTACCTAAGTCTCGGCGGGCAAGCCGACGCTCTGCTCCAAAGGTGTCAGCACCAGCAGTCCTAGTGTAGGAACGATCAGTAAAATGCCCTGACGAAAAGATCACTGCAGTAGTGTTGGATCCGTATGAACTGGGGAGGGATCTAGGTTCAAATGTAGATTTCCGTTGGGAGGCCGGCGACCCTGTAAGTTACACCAAGCTGTGCCCGAGGCACGCAGCATCCAAGCAACAACGATTCCAGGATCAGGGGCTTTCGAGAGATCACTTTGCGGGATCACAACAGGACAAACGTTACACAAGCATGGTACTGATGAATGTATACAGTACACGTTAGCATAGTCTACCACAAGGCTCATCACGCATTTGCGAGCCTGGTGTAAACCTAGAGGTCACTGTAGTGCATTGTCTGTACTGTACGTATGTACACGTAGACAATCTGCAATAGGAGCTCGGACCGCCTTGCCCCTTGTCTCATTGAGGTTGCCTTCTTCATGGACGTCGGCAGCCGGGGCAGCCCGCAGGTAACAGTCTCATTGGGTCAAGCATTTGGAAACCCGACATTGCTGCGCTTGGGCTGGCGGGCCAGTGCGTCTGGCACCGGCAGGGCCAGAAGATGACAAGCCAGGATTCGCTCCGATGATTGTGTTGTTGTGGCCGTCGTGATGCTGTTGTAGATTTTTTCAGCGGGGGGAGAGCGCCATGGGCGATGAAGGCTGCAGTTGGCGTGCCGCAGAGACGCATCTTGTGGGCGGGCAATGGCCAGCAGCCGCTACAAGGAAGCCGTAACTGACCAGCGCCTGAACACTGGTTGAGGTGTTGCGTGAGGGTAAATTGCTGTTAGCAATTGGAGCTGAGCTTAGGTTGCCCGAGGCCTGGGACGGACCAACCTGAAAGCGGCTTCCAGTGCCATTGGATTTGTTTGCTAGGTACGGTAGGTACATACCTTAGATCCAGGGTTCCAATGCAATGCTTCCAGGTTGGTTAGATAGGTAGATGTGTCCCCACCCGACCCTGTGACAATCTGAGGGTAGCGGAGAGTACGCAGGCAGCGTAGTGTTGGTGGTATCTCTGTCGCTCGCTTACCCTGTCTCGATCTGGGTAACTTACGCTGACTTTCCATGCTGTAGCTGTTGTTCCTCCGTGCTATTATTACCTGCCCTGCCCGGCTCTGCTGCTATCTCCTCCTCCCTCCTTCCTCCCTCCCCGACCTCCATACCTTGTCTTTTGCGTCTTCGGCCTTCCCAGGCTCTGCTGCCTGTACGCCCTAGGCCGACGTAGTTTGGTCCTGGTTGTGTGTTCTGTCGCTGCAGTCCGTCTGGTTGTGAAGTCGGTCGTTGTCTCGTCAGGTTCGCCTTTGGTCGGTAATAATTCGCTACTTTATCATATTTATTTTACTTTATTTTTCTCTTTTCCCTGTTCGCTCGGCGATCTGTCCTTGGAATTCATAGCCGGCAAGACGCATACAAACGACGGCTCGGTACATACATACCTTATATACAACCGACGAGCTGGCACAACTTGCACTCCACTCTCATGCTCCCTCGAACCAACACGCAGCAGTCAGATAAGAACAGACCTCTTTTCTCGTCTGCATTTTGTTGATGGTCGCTGGTGTTGTTGGTGCTGGTGCTGGTGCTGGTGAGGTGATCATCTGCTGCTGCCCTTAAAGCGCGAAGGGCTTTCGGTCCGCAGCTGCTTGTTTCGCTGTGCGCATTTGGATGCTCCAAGGACTGGAAGTTGCGACATTTCTCCCGCCCGACCTCCGACACGCTACCTTAGCTTAAATTCTTCCCAGTGACACGGCTGATCGTTGTCATCCGGCATGTTCCAGCCCGAGCCCGCGGCGTACATCCAGGTGTCAACCGGGTACGCCATCCCGCACAGCGTGTCCGATTACACGTTCGAGGAAACGCCATTGCGCCTGAACGACGGGCGAGGTTCCGGTGCGCTGGGAACAGGCCCCAGTGGTGCAAATGCCCTGCTCTACGCGCCGATGCTCAGTGCTCCTGCCGGTAATCGTGTGCAAGTCGGCCCCGCACCTTCTTCACCCGGCTCCTTCAACTTCAACCCCACCTCACTATCCGCCGCACCCTCGACAGTGCCCGCACCCTCTCACCAGCCAGCCCCATTGCCCATCCTGCTCAAGATGGAATCAAGCGCAGACGAGCTTGTCGCCCAGGAGGCGGCTGCAAGGGAATACCAGCCGCAGCTTGAGGTAAATCCACCCGATCTTTTGTCATTTGGTGACAGCCTGTCCATCTCAAAACCCCGCGCTCACCAGACCCTCGTGATGCTCTCTGCAGGGACCGCTTGTCGGCAAGAAAACGCCGAGCACAGCAATCACCGAAGAATATGCCAAGGCGGACCCGATTTATGTCCAGAAGACAATGGTGGGTGACTGACGCAACTTCTGACTGGGACCTGGCGCTGTGCCGCTGACATGGCTGCCAGATGTTGCCCCAAACGTACACGCACTATCGTCAAATCCAAGGAGATGGTAACTGTGGCTGGAGGGGTAAGTCAGACACTGCCGCTCCTGCGTCGCATTTCTTGACCATTGGGTGCTGACAGCGAACCGGAAGCAATTGGATTCGGCTATTTCGAGACGCTGATCAAGACTGGCAGCAAGGCCCGGGTTGATGCTGAGAAGGAACGGATGCAGGCTCTCAACGCCTACATTGAGACCGCTGGGGGTGTGCCGGCCTATGTGTTCCAGGACTTCGCTGACGAGACGTCGTCGCTCCTCGAGAAAATGTCCGAGATGATTGGCAACCCGGAGCGGGCAGCCGAGGAACTTCTGGAGGCCTTCAACACGCCCGACGTCTCAAACTCGATCATGTACCACTTCAGGCTGATGGCGAGCGCGTACCTTAAAGGCCATCGTGCCACCTATGGCGACTTTATTAGCACCGGCACGGGTGTCGATGGGTACTGCCAGGCAGTTCTCGAACGACACGGCGTCGAGATCGACCATCTCGGGCTTGAGCTCCTGGTGAACGTACTCCTCAAACCCATTGACTTCGTTTTGGAAGTGGCCTATCTCGATCGGAGCCCGGGCTCCGAGGTCAACATTTATCGTTTCCCTAAGGAGGCAAACAGCCAGCTCGCCTCGGACCTAGGGCCCACCATCCACCTCCTTTACCGTCCGGATCACTACGACATCCTTTATCCGCCCGAACCTGTCTCCCTGCAGGTCCACCGCGTGACGAGCTTGTCGCAGAGCTACGAGATCGCCAGCACTCCCGCGGCTCTGCACAGCTATGCCCAACTCAACTTGCAGCCGCTAGCCTTTATTCCTGGATTCGATGCCTCGCCTGCGGGACTGGCCCCCATCCTCGACACCACCTCCGCGTCGCCACTCACTACATACAGCCCGAGCCCGGTATCTCCCTGGGTATCAGCACCGTTTCCCGACCCGGCCCTTCAGGCGACCTCGGCATCGATGGCGATTCCTCCGCCCGCACCGCCGCTGCAACCACAGACGCACCCTCTGCGATTTAGTGAATATTGTCAACTGCCAGAGTATGTCGAGAACAACACAAGGAGGGAGCCGACGTTCCAGACGGCGACCTTCAAGAACAGCCACTTCAATGTGGCCCACTACAATAACCCTAATTTCCAGCCAGAGGAGTACAAGCCCGAAGCTGATGATCACGACTCACCGCCGCGGGGCGGCGGACGGAAGAGGGGTAGCGTGTAATCACTTCAACAAGAGGGCTGGCTGTGCCAACCAGGATCAAGCAGTTCGGTAGGCCCATGGTTTATTCGGCGGGTGGTCAAAAGGCATAATGTGGACGGATAAGCGAAGCGAGACCGAGCAGCACGACAGGCAGGGCTGGGGACTTATGACATGTTTTGACGACCTCATACAAGGCCTTCCTATGTCTCTCAGGCGGTGTCATTGGCGCAGTTAATCCATTTCAGCTCTCCATACCCAGTTTCGATCGATCAACGTCGCCGCGGAATCAGGAGAGGAACTCTGCATTTCGCGACAACCTAATCACTACTTCCAGAACCAGGCTGGATTACTCAAGGCATGGATGCATCTCCTCTCTCACCTCACCGGGCTGCATTATCTTTCAATGGCGATACGCATCATTATGGGTCAGTCAGCAAAACAGAAGACGGCGGAGGTTGTTTGTCAATTCTTTTATCTCCAAGATCCCGGCTTCTATGGCTGTACTTTCAAATGCAGGTGATGGAGAAGGCCCTGTGTCTAAAGATTCTCCTTTTGTCGTCTTTTCATTCTTTGCACTTTTCCAACACTGCATATCCTAGGCGGGCCAGAAAAAGGGGGGTCGATTAGGGGCGGCACCGTCGAGGTTGGGTTGCATAGGGCAATGAAGCACAAAATCAAAGCGGGGCGAAGCCGAGACAGAGTCAATAGTAAGGGGCTGCGACGCCCTCAGTAGTAGAAATGGGCGCGGTGCATGGCACAACTACTTCTAGATAGCGTGGCAGATGGCGTGCATGTTGCTGCCGCTTGCTGATGTGTGGACCGTGTGAGAGGAGGGAAGCAGAGGCTTAAGAGAAGGGATATCGTATTCTGGTCCCTTGTTGTTTATTTAGGAGTTATCAATGGAGTATTTAAGACGATCTGTGTCAGGCACAGCATGCTGTATGAAACTAAGAGTGCCGACTGCCAATTCAGGACTTGATGGAGGAAATGGAGGGCAAAGGAGAGACTAGGATTCTTCTCTACCTCAGCCAAGATCACTATCACTATCGTCTATAGGCTCCAATTCAAACTTGGAGAAAGACGAGTAAGTTATTCCACTAGTAGCTGTCTCTCGTTCCGTGGCGCAAATCAGAGGAGCAACATGTGGCGGTCTGGACGCATGGCACCCTGCAGACTGCAGTCCGGCCATGCATTTCCATGGTTCCCAAAGGCAGGAAAGTCTTGTTGTAGGGGACGGTCCAATACCACTCGCTGACCGTGTCTTTCCGTGGACACCTCGACTCGGGTGTATGAAGGTCTAGACCATTTGACATTACATCCAGTCCTGTTGTAAGTGCGGAATACCACGATAACAACCGACTGTACTGTACCCTTGACTACATAGGTAAACATCAAGAGTGATAGCCGTTTCAAGTTCTATGTCCTGAAGGAACCTAAGCATTGCTTTCCCCTGATAAAGGTCAGTGTTTTTGATTTCTGCGACGGGTTACTGCTTGGGTCTGAGGTAGGCTGGGCTTGCAGATTCAAACCCTCTGCAACTTGTTTTAGCTGAAGACAAGTGATGAATTCGTACCTAACTCAGCTATGGTGTTTTGATTTCGTGCCCATGCCAATAGCTGCGAGAGTGGAAGATATCAGTCTCAGGCTTCCGTCCACGGGGGAGATAAGGATTCCGAGGCCGGAATAAGTCAATCATACAGAGCATTCATGATTCAGCTAGGTTAGCCACTCAGACACTGTTCCTTAGTATGTTGCCTGGTTCTTATGCGCATACCTTTGGTGATTCGCACGTGCAGATGAAAGACGTTTCGCATGTCTCTTTGTCCTGAATCCATGCCTTTCGTTATGTTTTAAACTTGACTCGTGAGCACTTTGCTCGCGAGATGTGGTGGGAATGGGGTTCGGATTTACCCCTTTGTCGAGAACAATAATAATCGGCAAACTCCATACTATTGTCATCACGCAGCCACACAGGTTCATGTGTATAGAGAAATTATCCCGAATAAAGCACACAATGTACTGAGCTTAACCTGCCCTACTGAAAATCAAAATGGAGTGACAACTGATGCCTTCAAGCTTGAATCTGGATCAATACACCTACCTCTACCTCCGCAAGCACTTACCCAACCCCCCTTCCCCAGCACCTCCCCATACAGTCCACATCTACGAGTCGTACCGGCCCAAGCCGAGCCGCACCCCCGTGCCGCCGGCCGATGCCAGCGCCGCCGCCAACAAGCTGAACCCCTTTGAGTTCTTCTCAGCATCAACGGCGGCCGTGGGGGGCGGTCTCGGCGTGTCGGCCAACGGAATGCGCATCCTCCGGGACCTCAGCCCGGAGATCCACAGGGCCGTCGTGGCGCAAGGGTTTCCGTGTGACTGTGTCATCTTTATGGGCCAGAACGGGTGGATGCTGGGCAGGCAGTCGACCAGCGACAATGGCGGGATCGAGGGCCCCAAGGGCCAGGCCGAGGTGTGCGTCAGCTCGACCAGGCACGGGCTTTGGGCGTGTCTGATGGCTGCTATGCCTGAGGGTGCGGTGCAGTATCGCAGGGTGTTGAAGGTTGTGAGGAGGGAGGAAAGTGGGAAGAAGGTGGTTGTCTTTGCGGATGGGGGCGAGGAGGAGTGTGATGTGTTGATTGGGGCCGACGGGGTCAAGAGTATGGTGAGGAGGGCGTTGTTTGGGGATGATGAGGAGGGGGGAGAGAAGTACCGTACTGTTTATACGTGAGTCATACATTGGTCTTGATTTCTAATGCTGGAGGGATTATGCTAACACTCAGGCTTTTGAACAGAGGAGTATCATGGGTAGGAGGCATCGTCAAGCGCCCGCTACCGCCAAACGTTGCCGACAACAGAGCCATTGTCACGGCCTTTGGCCGCAAGGGCCTCTTTGCCTATTCCAGCGGCTCGCCGGCCAGCTCCAACGAGCTCATGTGGCTTTCCGCGTTTGCCACAGAAGAGCCGCCGTCAAGAGACAGCATCACCATCAAGGAAATTGCAGCCGATGTCCGGAAGCGCTACGGGGCCTGGGGGGATCCCGTCGTCCGCGATATCGTCTCCACGGCCCCCATCGAGACCGTGTATCCCATCTGGGTACTGCCAGACCTGCCCCACTGGGGACAAGATGGCATTGTTCTGGTTGGCGATGCCGCGCATGCCATGAGCCCGACTACAGCGCAGGGCGCGTGTCAAGCCTTGGAGGATGCCCAGGCGCTGGCACTCCTTCTTTGCGAGACGCTCCGCAAGGCGTACGACTCGGGGGAAAAATTGGACAAGGGTGCAGACATCTGGCCGCAAAAGGAGCGAGATGCGGTGGAGTTGAGCATACGACTGCTGTTCACCATCCGGTCTCCCCGGGTGTCGGGGATAGCTGAGGCAGGCAGGCAGTTGGACAGGAAGAGGAGGAATCTGACCAGGTTCAAGGAGTATGCAATGTACTTGTTCCTTTGGCTGATGTTTCGCCTTTCGAGTCTCGGCAAGTGACGCATTCTCTCTACACCCCGACCCATTTGCCTGCCTCCTTTTGCTAACAACCTCTTCTAGTGAAACTGTTGACAGGAGACTCTGGCAATGAGCTTTATGGTTGGTCGGCAAAGGAGATGATTCGGAAGGCATTGGCGGAATCGGACTCTACAGTCTAGACCCTGAGGCTTATCATGCGCTTTTGTGAAGCCTCCATGCAGTGCCCACCACTTGTCATGCATATGCGTGTAAGTGGGGGCTGACCACCGATATCTTGAGCTGGGAGGAGCGAGGAAGTGCTACTGCAACGACTCGGCCCGATATGCCTGTATAACGGAAAGGAAGAAAAATAGAATGTGCGATATTTCTGGGAAGGCCGGGGTCTGAGAAGTTGTATTGTTATCTAAGGCGGGACAGCACCATCGTCAGTAAACACTTGAACCCTCAGAGAGCGGCACCCCAGGGTGCTAACACCGGCCAGCTTTCCGCAACGGGAAATTATGGTAGAGTCCATAGCGCATTGGCATGTATGCACGCTGTCTATATATGTCGTACCTAAGTAGCTATAAGGTATTAGATCCATCAAACGTACATCGACAACTCAGTAGGTATTGCACATACATATGCGACCCCTGCTATCACCGTATCCCAATAGACGTCTTGTCTCGCTCTGTCCTGCCAGAGAGGACCTCAACCACCCCTTCAAGAAACTCCACCTCCCGCTCGACACTGGCATCTTCACCAGGTTCAGCCGCGGCCAACAAATCACCCATCAACCGCACCGCTTCCTCCACGCCGACAACATCAACCCCATCAAGCCCCAACCTCCTCGCCAGCTCCTGCGCCCACGCACCCGCCACCACCGCCTCCCTTCCGTAACCCGCCGGCAGATACTCGCTGTTCTCCTCCTCCAAAAGACCAGCAAGCCTCTGATCAACCTCCTCCACTCCACCACGCAACTCCCCCGCGACACTAGTCACCGTCTTACCCTCCAACCCGCAGGCCACAATCCTCGCCCAGGGGTTCCTCGCCTCATCACGCACCTCCTCAGCCGCGGCGGGGAAATCGACGTTGACCGCCGTGCCGAGCGCGCTGACATGTCTGCGGAGGTGGACGCCTAGCGCGGCAACCTTTGCCATTTCTTCTTCTTCTCCTTGGTCTTGTTGGGAGGAGGAGGAGGAGGAGGAGGAGGAGGAGGAAGTCTTGACCCAAACCCCAGGCTCAGCATCGCTGGTGAAAGCGCGCAGCCCAAACAGTCCCGCCAGCACCGCGACGGTCGTGTCCTCGAGCAGCCGCGCGTAGCAGCGGACCGTGAGCGGCTTCTTTCTCCCTTGGGTACTGGTACTACTCAGATATGAAGCCCGCAGGTCCAGCACCGGCCAGAGCACCGTCTGTCCGGGGCCGTGGTAGGTTGTTAGTCCGCCCCGCAGGGAGTAGGCCACTTCCGGGGTGAGTGTCGTCGTTGGGTGGTCATCCCGGGAGTGGATTTGCAGCGGCGAGGTCAGGCGGGCGGTCTCCTCGGGCGTGAGCGGGGCCGTTTGGCGCCGGCCCAGGGTGTAGATGGGACGCGGGGTGAAGGAGATCAGCGTCGGGGCCGGCGGCGGACGCTGGGATGATGATGATGATGATGATGGGGCATCCTTGAAGTCGAGGTGCTGGCGCCGGAGGTGCTCTTGCACGCGCGATGCGAGGCTGTAGGGGATGTAGCTTGAGCGAGCGGGCAGGCTGGGGAGGTGCAGATGCCGGAGGCGCATTTGTGTGTATGTACAGTACAGTACTTGATGTTACAGTACTGACCAACCTGCTACCGTCCCCTAGCGTGTATGTAAGTACCGTGAATAAGGGGTTCTCCAACCCAGCTTGGGGTTGATGTGTAGATACCGCCGGTGCCAGTTGCTTGCCACTGTCAGCCTCGAGGAAACGGCACCTGCCGTCTGATGTTGTGATTGATGATCCCTTGTATTTTGCGCGATGTGGAGTTCCTGCAACGTTAACTTCACATGCCACATAAGAAAGCCATGCAGAGAAGTACAGTACAGTACGCTATAGCGTGATGTTTGCTCCTTTGCTGCCAAGATCGAGCCCAGATCGGGATGGAAAGGGTCTGTGTGGGCAAGGATGGAGGTTACTGTACTGTACAGCACCCCGTATCGTTCCTGAAAGACCACAGAAAGAGAGTGGGCCCCGGTGTTACAGTGGATCCGGCGGCAGGGCTCCATGGCTCCGCAGCGGCAAAGGCCGCTGTCAATTGCAAGGTGCAGTTCTTGGCGCTGCCAGGCCCGCCTTCATCTTTGTCTGCGGGGCCTTTACAAACGTCCTTTATGCCACAGTTTGACCACCAATCGGGGCCCTGTCAATGTGTCACTCTTGCGTCTTGAAGATACGGCGGCACACAAATGCCTCGTTGAAGTGCACCAAAACGCCACCAGGTGTCAGCAACATCTGTGGACTGTTACATATGCTTGGAGCTGGCTTGTTGGTGTGCGGGCGCGGATGTCTTGTCTCCCCGGCTGGCTCCCGTTGTCCAACACCGTTCTGCATATGTACTTCGTATGTAGGTATGGATACGTGGAAACCTGCGGGCTGGGAGGGATTGAAGCTCGTAGACTCGGCCTGCAGGTGTTGCTACGCTGCAGGAAACCTTAGCGGTGCGATCTCTAGACTCTCCAGGTTCCGTTGCGACCTGCCATCAACGGTATAGAGGCCCACGTAGTTGTACTGTATCTACCTTGGGTTAAGAGGTTGCGCAACCATGTAAGCTTGGAGCGGCATAAACGGCACTCAACCCGTGCAAGTGATTTCAAGGACCCCGAAAATCCAGGATGGCAGCTCTTACGAAAACGGATCCGAATAGCAGTGACTCCCAAATCAAATAAAAGCTCTGGGGTTTTTGGTAATCCTTGGGTAGTAAGTAGTACAAGAGCGGCATAACGTACATACATCTCAGCTATGTATACACAATCCCACCTGCCGTTTTATTAGCTCCGCATGAACTCGGCATCCTCCTTGTCATCGGGATCCTCCAGCTCATTGATGCCCATCTGGTCCAGCAAATCATCAATCTTGACCCTCCTACCGCCCTTTGTCCTCCTCTCCGCGGGACCGCCCTTCCTGGACTGCTTCTCGCGCGCGGGGAGAACGCCGTACTTGGGGTGTACATTGATCTCAACCACCTTGTACTTCTTCTTGCCGGCGGCAGCTTCCCGGGCTCGGACACCATCGTCGTCGGGGACCGCGCCGGCCTTGCCAAGGCGGACATTGCGCAGAGTCCGCGTCTTGGCGCCCAGGGCCCACAGGTCGCCCCAGCGTGCCTTGCGGGCGTCGTGGTACGCCTGCTTGGAGAAGGACCTGGGCACCACCCAACGCTCGATGGTGCCGGCGGGCGTGCACAAGTCCAGCGTGACATGCCCCTTGCTCTTGATCGGCGCCAGAATGTTGCGAGGCAGCGAGAGCGCGTGCGGTGGCGTCGACTGCCGGCCCTCATTCGTTTCGTACCCGGCAAAGGCACGGTCGGCGGCTTGGGGGCCCTGCAGGAAGAGAGGTGCCGATGACGGGTCAGCATCAGCACCAGCACCAGCACCAGCTGCCACGTCAGCAGACGGCGAGTACCCCTCTGGGTAGGCGCCTCTGCGCACCGCGAGGTAACTGAAATTGATGTCCTCATGGCTGTGGTGCGAGGCGCCAAGCACCTTCTGCAGGAAGGGAGGGCGGATGAAGCGCTGGCTGAAATGGCAGAAGTCTTTGCGGCCAGGGCTCACACCCGGAGTGTGATACATTGGGCACTTTGCGTGGTTGGTGCAGGGCGCGATAATCATGCCTGGCTCCCGCACACGATCTGATGCGGCTTGCAGCTCCTCACCGTGTGGCTCCGTCTTGGGCGGGATGATGAACTCGTCAAGAATGCGGGAGCGCACATTGGCTACCGCCTCGAAGCCACGCGGATGTCCCTTTTCAATGACAATGAGCACGCCTCCTTCGGGGGAAAGCATGGTCCACAGGTTGTCCAGGAACTCTTTCCGCTTGAACTCCTTGTCTAGCGGCATCAGCATGTGGGATGCGATGATGACATCGAAGACCTTTCGTGGCGGAGGCGCGCCGCCAGAGTCAAGTTTCCGCTCAGAAGCCTCGACTGACTGCAAATAATTGGGCAAGCGGGGTAGGAAGGTCGTGTTGTGCAGGAACCGAGAGATACGGTGCCGCAGATTGTCGTTGCCCACGATAACCGTCCTCTTACTAGGGGGTTCCGGGTGTGTGACTTCCCCGTTGTCACGGAGAACGTCCCACTCCGCCTGAAGGACGTCTTGCCAGGCGGCCAGGCCTGCTCCACCAGCGCCGACATCAAGCACTCGTGGGGGGGTCCCATCCTCCCTCGTCAGGAGGCTCCGCAGCCAATCTTCGCCCAGGCGCTTCCGTGTCTCGACGAGTGTGCTCATTACCGATGCGTACAGACCCGGGAGCATGGTGGCAATGAAGGCATCCGCTTCGATCTCTGACATCCTGTGGTGCCCTGCCTCCAATTGCAGGCCTTTCTGTGGGAGGTTTGCTCTTGACTTTGGCGTGGCGGGCCCGTAGGGCAGCCCTGGACCTCCCAACACACGCTCCGCTGTCTCCCGGATATGTGTCGTGTCGGTTCTGCTCAAGAGAGTGCTAATAGGCTCGATAAGAGTGGGCTTGGGAAGTTGCAGTGTGCTCGGGTAGGTCCCGAAGCGGCCCATTGTAGTGTACCTATGTAGCCGTGAGCCCCTTGTACCCTCCAGGGCGGCAACCGAAAAGGAGGCGTCGGGCTCGCCCTCATCCTCGTCAATGTCCTCTTCTTCGCGCGGTTCATCTTGCTCAATGATGTTCTCCTCTTCATGAATCTCCTCAGCCGGCAACAGCGAGGCCGCTTCAAAGTCGCGCTGCAGTTTCTGGAGCGCGATGTATTCTCGTCGGTTATTGGCCTTGACGTTGAGGTAGTCAATTCGGCCGTCGGGCGGATCCTGGGCGCCGGCAAGGGACTCGAGTTCTTCGCCAAGTTCGGCCGGATCGAGGTTTTCACTTGCTTCTTGCGCCTCTACAGTAGTTGAGCGATCAATGGTGTACTCAACCTCCTCATAATCGCCACTTTCCGTCTCTCTCAGCAGGGTGTGTCCCGGGGGTGGGCCATCGTATGCATCAGCCTCTTCTTGCTGTTGGCGGATGCCCACGTCCTCGGGCCTCGTCTCGCGTAAGGGAGGGCCATATAACCTCTCGTAGACCTTGTATTCCTCGGGGGTCAGGTAGTCGGGCGGCAGAGTGACGCCGAATGTTTGTCGGGCCTGGCGCACGATGGTCTCGATATCTTGGGGGTTCGAGTCGCTAACAGTATTGCTGTCTTGCGTAGGGCCCTGCCTAAGCCGTCTGGTTGTTGAGAGTTGCCTTATAGAATTTGGCCGCCAGGGACGCGCTGCAGCGGGCGCCGAGGCAGCTGAGACGCCTTGGATGCGCTGGCGCAGGAACGGCCGAGCGCTCGTCCTGTTTCCGGGGAGCAACAGAGCATCATAAAAGCTCACGAGCTGCGCCCGGCACCCAGGACACCGATTCTGCATTTTCCCAGCTGAAATCATCATCCTCAGCCCGGATCACAGCCTGTGCAAAAAATTTGGTGAAAAGAGGCGACTTTCATGCGGCCCGAGCTGGATGGTCTGCGTTGAGATTCTCATCGCCTGTTCACGTGACGACGAATCCCTGTTCAGGGGCAACAGTCAAGTTTACTGTGAGGAGCAACCGCTAGTATTGATGATTCGATTGCAAATGGAAATTCTAATGGGGTTGAATTGAACAAGACTAGAAGGTACATATGTATACATCTATTGCCGAGCAAAACGTGCAGTGTGCGAGAATTCCATACGCCCTGAACTCCTAACTTGCCCCATCCATAAAACTCATTGATAAGGGTCGGACAGCCCATCATGTGCTGCCCAGATCGGCCATTGTCTTGAACCCTGGCCTCCCGGCCGGTCGAGTCCCTGACCCCATTGGTGCCCTCGGCGGAGGAGGAGGATTGTTCTTGTTGAAGGGCGAGTTCTCAGCCGCCTTGTACGGATCGAGCTGTACAGCATTGCTAGTTAGCCCTTCATCACACCCTACAACCCCAAAATCCCACGGATATCTACCCACCGAAAACAGCGACACAAAATAAAGCCCAAAGAAGGCGACCAGCGCATCCAGAACCCCCTTCAAGCTCCACCTCGCCGTCATCAACGCCGACGGCCTGGCCCCTCCCAGCGTCACTCCACTCCCGCCCAGCTTATGACCCGGCGAAGAGAAGACAGCACCGGCGGCCCCAGCACCAGGCCCGGCCAGCTTGACGGCCTTTTCGACGGCGGCGGTCAGGGCGGGGGGGTTGGCGCCCTGGATGGTGTCGATGACGGAGCCGTTGCGCAGGACGAGGAAGGTGGGCATGGCGCGCACGCCGTACTGCTGGGCCACGTCGGTCTGGTTGTCCACGTTGACCTTGCAGAACGCAATTTTGCGCGGCTTGGAGTATTTCACTGAGAGCGACTCGAAGGTCGGCGCGATCATCTTGCACGGCCCGCACCAGTCGGCGTAAAAGTCGGCGATGACGATGGCGTGCGAGCTAAGAACCTGCCGCCATTGTGCTGGTGATGTGATGCTGATTGTTCCGCTCATTGTTGTGAAGGTCGGAGTTGTGGAGTTGACAATGGGTTTGTGTATATCGTCTGTCTTCGGTCAGAAGAGTGCTGGTAGGCAGTCGTTGGCTGCATGGAGGGGTGAACCGACGAGGTGTCCTTTATCCATAGTCAAGGGTTAGGGTTCCTGTACAGGTACTGCATGTGGGGTCTTCTCTGAAGTACAACGCTGAGCGCAACTTCCACTGATAAGAGGGCGGTGTGATTTTTGTTCCATTCTGCCGACTTTCAGATGGTAATTGAGCGCTGGCAAAGCCTAAGAAACATCCATATTTCTGTGGCATTTAGGTTTCCCTGCTGATCTTTGGGTTCAGTTCCTTCTTTCTGCTCGACTAACCATGCCTTCGTATGAACATCAGCCAAAAGTGAGTACCAATCCTTTTTGTCGTCGTCCCTGGACGGAGCGACTCGCGACCGCTGCGAGCAAACCCCTTGAAGGAGTGGAAACCCATCCTCACAGACTGTGTGAGCCAATAGCTGTATCTTTCAAGTTCTGGTATTGCGCTGGCTTGGCCGAAGAGGACGAATACCGGCTAACTCGTACTTCAGAAACGCCGTCTGGACACGGACGACGGCGGGACCGGTCCTGCTACTGGTTTCAAGGCACCGTCCCGGTTCAGGCCAGGGGAGCCCAGAGAATGGACTGTCTCAGTTGCCGTGCCTACCAGCATCATCACAGAGTAAGTCTTTCTGGACTGCTCAGGACCTGATTCGCGCCCCTCCTAACCTGCTGGCAGTTGTGCGACACGCGAGCAAAGGACCACCATCGTTGGTCGTATTGCGCGTGCTTTGGCCATCTTCTCCGTAGATGAAATTGTCATCTTTGACGACAGCCCGGCGGACCAGCGTAACGCAAATGTTGATCAGGATGCATACACTGGGGATGTGGATCCGGCGCACTTCATGGAGCATATCCTAAATTACCTAGAGACGCCTCCTTTCATGCGAAAGCTTCTCTTCCCTCTGCATCCAAATCTGCGATCCCTAGGCTTGCTTCCGAATCTTGAGATGCCACACCATCCACACAAGGACGAATGGCTACCCTACCGGGAAGGGTTGACCCTTGAGGTTCCGCCAAAGGGGAAAAAGGGGTAAGATCTGCCCCTGGAGACTGCGTCCATACAACACCTACTAACTGTCCCAGGACGGTGGTGGATATCGGAATGCCCGATACCGTGACCATAACCGAATCGATTCCACCAAAGACCCGGGTGACGCTCAGGATGCCTGATGACTCATATCGGACGCCCGAGCCGGTGCATCCAGCCATGCCAAGGACCGAAGCAGGTTACTATTGGGGTTTCAATGTGCGCAAAGCCCCATCACTATCCAGCGTTTTCACTACCAGCCCTTACGAAGACGGCTACGACATGAGCATCGGCACATCGGAGCGCGGACAGCCCCTGTCAAGAGCGTTTCCTGATTACCAGCCGGCGAGTTTTACCCACCTCCTGATCGTTTTTGGCGGGCCACGAGGGCTGGAGTATGCAGCCATGAACGATCCAGAGCTGGGTGAGATGGGGATTGCCGGATCGCGAACGAAGGAGTTGTTCGATCACTGGGTGAATGTGTTGCCGAACCAAGGCACCAGGGGTATCCGGACCGAGGAAGCACTCTTGATTGCCCTGACCGCACTCAGGAGGTTGTGGGATATGAGCTGACATGACGTCCTCCCTCATGCCTCTCAATCGTCGATAGTTCAGCGTGGCGCTCATCTTCAAGCAGGCTGGGCTGTTGTGTTGCACCCTAGACTAATATTTCACAAACTATTAAACCCCATGGGGCTACTGTACTATCTCGCTGCTTGGTTTCTCACGCTGTTGGATCCTGGCCAGTGCTGCCCCCCTGGTATGAACAGCCATTACCATGGCATCGTCCTTCCGTTTTGTGGTTGAATGGAACGAACCCCGCAAAGGCGCTGCAGTTGGCGGCATATGGCTGCACAACCGTCACGATCCGTCTTAGGTTATCACGGCAGGCTGCCTTCGACTTCTGACATGCTTCGGCACGCATGTTGGCTGGCTCGGAGAGTTAGTCTGTACTGGAAGAGTACTTGTGAGCACAAGGGGTTTCTGTGATATGTTGCAAGCCGCTATAGACCTGCTGCTAACCTCACTGCATGGTTCTGGAGTGAATCGGACCGCAGCACCACCGGCTGACATCCACACGCTGCAGATCAACTGAAGACAGCTTGTTCTGATATTTCGGCCAGTCACGCTCGCCAGCACACGCATGCGCACGTGAAGGGTGAACCATGCAGACGGATATTGAGCCATCCATCAGCATGCTGACAGCCCTTTCCTTGGTCCCCGCCATCCGAGCAAGCGAAATCCATGGCGCGATCGAATTCGGTCCGTCCTCGTGGAGTTAACCACTGTCGTCGTCCCCTTCGCAGAAATTTGGGGGCTGGTGAGTGGTAGAAAGCGGTGGGTGTGAACCAAGTGTAAGCTGGATTGGAAAACGAAGGAGTGGACGGGGTATGTACTGTACTTCGGAGGATGCCCAGGTGAATCTCGCAGGTTGTTATGCTGAGCGAAGGATTTACTGGAGCAAGTTCACCTCAGTGGCTACGGAGTACATACATGCACTTACAACTCACCAAAGCTGACCGATTACTAGTACCGGATACCCGGGCCTCGACACCGACATCGGACTTCCGTCCCGTAACCGTCTACAAGGTTCACATCTGACTTCGAACAAGCATTTTCTTCCTCACTAGTTCTTCTCCTGAAAGCAGGGAGCAGAGTACTAATCCAAACCATGTACTGAATTGTATGGTACATGTCACTTACATCCAGGCACAGACAGGAACATAGACCCGTGATACGTCTCTGGCAACCTTTTCACGCTCGCGCAGCTTACCCCCCTCGGTTTTGGAGGGCCGGAAAAGAGAAGAGAAAGGGTGGTCGGCCAGCAGTAAGCTGGAGCAGGTAACACCCGACAGTCCGTGTACCGTACCCAGCTCCTCGGTACCGGTCATCATCAACTTCGCTTCCATTTGCAATATTTCCGAGCGCCCAAGGATTTTTGCCATCTTATGTGCATATACGGTACCACGTAGATAGGCAACGACATCGTCCACCGACAGCAGAGCGGACATTCAGCACTCGGCCAGCCAGACAAGAAGCGGCGGGAACATGAGAAGCCTGGGTAATTGCTCCGATGTCTTGGGCTTTACATGCATATCTACACCAAAGCTACAAACAAGGTCAGCTCATAACATCAGCCATGAGTACTCCCATCCTTCGGACACCATGGCTGGACTGAGTCCAAGTTTGTTGTACTCAGCTCTCGTCCCCGGAACCCCAGGGTCTAGAAACTCCGTAACCCCTTTCCACAACTTGGCTACGATGCAGCCTCGAGGCATGGCCCGCTCACTGCAGGGTCGGGTCACCTGTACAACTCGCAAGGATTCCGAGGAAGGGTGTGGTCTTGAACTCTTGATGGAAGGATTGTGTGACAGTGTGAGTTATATCGAGGTACTTCGACTGGTGGTGTATTTATGTACATACCTATTGACAATGCATGGTTGGTCGAGTCTCTCAGGACTGCCTTCGTCTGACACCGGATATTCCGATTCAACGGATGATGAGCGAAAGACGGTCTTTTGAGTCCGTCATGGGCATTTCGAGTGCCAGTCGTTACTAATGGAACACTCCCGTCTAAGGTCGCTGAGTTTGTAGGTAAAGTACCTAGGTATGTGTGCGGATTCGACATCCAACTTGGTGAGGATGATCATTGCTATCGTCTATTTTCCGTAATCACCAGGGACAAAGGCAAAGGATTCGCGAGAGTAGCGTTGAATCTGCTGTGATGTACATACACCAGACTCTATATAAAAGGGGACACAGTAGGCCTCCCGGAGTGACGTATGGAACCTGAAAACCTCAGGGGAAGGCAACCCCCTGACAAAATAAACCTACGACTCTGGGAGAGCCAAAGTCGACTCTGATGCTGCATGAACTGCCTCTTGCACTCGCATGATGCATTACTATTTGTCATGACATTGCTGAAGATCATGACTTGGAGTCACAGGTGGCATGTAAAGTTGCAACATTGACAGTTACTTTCTCTAAGCCGTGTCAAGACGACGAACAAAGTAGTGCATATCATGTTCGGACTGCTCGCCGGATTTACTATCCTATGTTGCCGAGATGGCATGCTTTCTCTGGGGAGCCGTAATAAATCATCACATTCGAGGCAGCGTTGGTTCAAACTGCATCTTTAGGGGTGACCAAGGCGAGCGCAGGCCCCTGAACTATTGGTCTGTTGGTGATACCTATTATATAGTAGTACGCCTCAACCGACTCGCCTGCTTGTGAACTGACATGATGAAGCGCCAGATCTGTATCAAACTCGCCATATCCAACTCAAACCAGACTGCCCAACCACAAGCTGCAACATCCGGAGCGTCATGTCCCACTATCAATTTGCTCGACAATATGATGCTTTGTCCACAGGTCCCACGCCTTGCAATTTCCCTCAACATCCCTCGGGATCTCCATCTGAGCCACCCATTTCGACTGGACAATGAGCGAAGAAAAGAAACCGCCAGAAGCATGCCATGCAACATGGCAGTGGAAGGCCCATACGCCTGCCTCTCCGATTAGCTTTCCAACACATGCGGCATTAGCTTGAAGCGGTATGGCATGGTGTTGTTCCTCACCAGGGTGGCCATCAAACTGGATCACGAGGTGACCATAGGGCCTAACAATCTGAACGTCGCGCCTGGTGGGGTTCGTCGGACGGACGATGGTGCCGTCCCATGCGCCGGGGCCCTCGTGGAGGACGTAAAAGTTGTGCCCGTGAAGATGCATCGGGTGTCGGGAGCAATTGTGTTAGCCAGGGTCTGTCCGACCAACCCTCTGAGAGACACATCGGCTATGTAAAAAACACTCACTGGACCGGTGTCTTGTTGTTGACTATGATCCTAATAGATGTGTTGCCCTGGTAGTCGATGACGTTCCACTCCTCCGGGTAGCTGAAGTTCCCATCGTTGGCGAGGAGGAGTACAGGGTTGTTGTAGTTGGCCCTCATCGAAACGCCGGCAAACTTCCACAGTTTTACGTCCGACTCGTTCTTGAACTGCTCGATGTCCATGGCATGCGTAAAGGTCGGTTCAGGGAGCGCCATGGGATACAGCGGCTCCGTCTTTCTGAGGTCGTCATTGGCGCAGGCCACGGCATTTGGAAGATCCCAAGGTTGGCTGGTAGGGATCTTGTTTGTGTCGGCCCGGTCGTAATATACGGCAGCCACGGCGATGGGCTGGTTTGCCGGCGCGCATGTCAGGGTCGACCGCATCCAGAACATGGCGTTGGAGCGGCCTGCATTGGCGGTTACGAGCACATCAGCGCGCTGGCCCACGCCCAAAGTGACAACTTTTGTGTTGTACGGTTCGACTGGCACGAAATCCTCCGCGATTACTGTGAAAATGTGTTCATCAATCGAGAAGCGCTGGATGCCATCGGCACCCGAGTTGATCAGACGGAGACGGTGCGTCTTGCCTGTGCGAAACTTGAACCTGGAGATTCCGGCATTGCTGGTGCAAGGAGTGTCGTCGCCAGGGGCAACCTTCGAGCAGTCAAAGTTCATCTTGCCGTTGATCAAGTTGTTGTCCGAGAAGACCATTGCGCTAGCATTCGGTGCAAGCATTTCCTCGATAATGTCGAAATACTCCCTGTGATGCCAGTCTGCGCCACGGATCTCCTTAGTGGTTGTGTTTCCGGGAACCTGATCGCAACCAACTCACCACTCAACATGACCGGGCCAAGGTCGATATCGTACTTTGCTTGCGTAGGACCGTGGATAACAATGGGGCCAACGATGCCTCCAGCGTATTGCCCTGAGTAATGGGCATGATACCACGCCGAGCCGTACAAGCTAGCAACAAACTCATACCGGTAGCTTGACCTTGGAGGTATGGGACACTGAGTAACACCGGGCGCACCGTCTTCCCAGGGCGTTTCTTTGTGAAGGAAACCGTGCCAATGAATGGAAGTCCCCTCCTCGGGATTGGTGATGTCGTTGTGCACGTCGACAACAATGGTGTCGCCCCAGTTTGCCTCAATCAGGGGTCCCGGAAAAGCCCCGTTGACAAGAAGGACGTCTCTTTGGTACCCATCAGGGGCAATGACACCCCGGCTCACAGTGAAGTCGTAATGCCTAACAACCCCAGTTCTGGGGTATTCAGCATAGGGGTTGTTGCAGCAGTCGGTCAGGCTACCCCATGGATAACCATGGGAGAGCTGGTTGCTTGAATCACCGAGGAAAAAGGAGAGGATGGGACTCAGCAAAGTCCCCAGGGTTGAAGCCCTGCGTTCATGTCAGATTAATATCCTGCAGAGCGCTCGTCTGGTATGCACGAACCCGTTAGTCTGAGTCTGCGTCAGAGTTGCCGTTGCGCCGTACATCACCGAGATGGCAGCCGCGACAGCGCAGCGTACGACGCCCATGACGGGCGAGATGAGAGACGTATATGACTAACCTAGGCCAGCATCAAACGAATGACTGTGAATGAAGGCCGGAGCACGGCCTAGGTCGACCAGACTGCTGCGGTTAGACGTGGTACGGACGGCTAGCTAACAGCACGTCATGGAGAGGGGAAGGAGAGGAGATGAATATGACAGAATAAAAATGCTGTAGGAATCTCGTGAGGTGTCCCTGGTAGCACCGCTTGTGCAAGACGACAGACAGCCATGGGTTGTCTCGGGGTTGGATCGACTTTGATAACGTTACCGTACCTGCGTCGATGATTTCGAGACATGTACATCTCCCGGGCGCCGCGTGTAGTCAGAGGCAAGAGCCAATACGCTTGCCTTCAACCTCACTGCTATCGTCACGGTGGTTAGCTGTCCCCCGAAGTGTCAATCGTGTTTCTTTTCTATGAGCCGATCATAGCGAGACGCGTCAAGCCCAATCCTTTAGACTGCGCCGAACGGAGCCTTCCAAGCCCGTTGAGATGCCGCTGGGGTGAGACAACCCGGGAACCCGTTGGACGGGGGGATGAACGCCTCTGGAATGCTTGGGATCCTACCATCACGAGAGCCGGCCCCAGGAGCAAGGTTTTGCTGCAAGTCCGAGATTGAGCGAGTCTGGGAGAGTGGATTTGGAACTGGCTGCGGGACCGCATACAGTACCACACCCGAATGTAAATGAAGGAAGGGTTGCTCAGCATCAAGCATTCTTGCCTTGGTTGGTTTATCGTATATTTGCCAGGAATCCTACACGGGTGACAGGAACGTAACTCCTAGTCTTGATGCAAAAGTCGCAAGGAGAGAAGCCTCAAACCGAGCTGGTAAGAGGATGATAGAAAGACGGTGGAAGACATTGTGAAGTTGACCCACCTCGGCGGAGTGCTGCATCCAACGGCCATCAGAGAAAGGAAGGGGCACATCAGATGATCATTGACCTCAAGAACAAGACTTCTGACCGCACCATGCCCAAGTTCAGGCTCGGGCTTTCGGAGTATGTCTTGGATGACGAAGACGATTTTGTGCTGGAAAAGTCAACGAGACTGCTGCCGGCGCCGGGACCCTTTGGCACCACTGCTGACTCAAGAGATGCAATAGCGATGCCGCCAGCACTTCCTTTATATGCAGTGATCCTTTCGCCATGCGTGGAGGTGGAGCCATTTTGCTCGTGGAACGGAGACTCGATGCTGCTCGGGTTTCTCCCCTGAGAACCTCGCTTTGCGTGCGGCCGAGCAACCCGTCCAGAGACATGGGGACTTAGATTTCTCCTCAGCGTCTCCATCAGTCTTAAGGGAAAAGATGGCTGTTTCTACTCCTGGATGACATGCATTGATCTCCGGATCAAGATTGACGCCACTGCCCTGCTCTTCTGTTATCAGTTCCTGGTACCTATTTACTTATTAAATAGTAGGCTATAGGCTTTAGTTACCTCTATAGTTCTTTTCTGAGGGAGAAATAATGTGTCGTACAAAGCTTCCCCATCCAAGGCCGTTGCCGCGAACTGCTCATGCGAACCGGGTGTTACACCCTCTGTCTGTCCGCCAGAGAATGCTGTTCCACCTCACCCAGACTGCAGCGCTCCATGGCTGGTCCGGATGGCCACTGAGAGGTACAGATAGCAATTTGGAAGTCTCGGCATTGGCGATGGATCCCCCGGAGAAGTGCGGATTGAAACGCCGGCTTTTGCTAGGTTATCACGAGTTTGACCGGGTCGAGCGCTTGTTTACTTAAGATCCTGAGGGGCCGTCAACTCGTCCAGCGCGATTGCACCACTCTCGGAGAAGATGAGCAAACGTTCTGGTCGGCTGCGCAATATCTAGTTCCGCCTCTTTGCAGTGCGGGCTCTGTTCGCACGAGGAGCATCGTCGTGCATTCCGAAGGCACCTGATTGTCAACGTTGCGATGCTGGACCAAAGTACTGGCACCAGAAGCATAGCTAAAGCATTTATTAACACACCATCTGGAGAATCGAGGTCTATGCCCTCTAAAGGCCGTCCCATTCCACCCTGAGAGCGAGCCGTATGTACAACCTATGGAGTTTCCATGCGCTGACCGAGTAAGGGGTATAATCTCGATCGAATGGCAGGTCTTGGATTGCAATTGTTTAGTTGTCCGCACGACGGGCCGGCGGATACGGGCGGAAGGCCTGCGCGGCCATGATGATGGGCCGCCTTTGAGCACGCAAATAGGCTTCCTGGACCATGGGCGAAGCATCGGATCGAATCACACTGCCGATTGACATGAAAAAGCTGGGCAAGGTAAGAGTGTCAGCCATTGGAGAAGCCGCTCAATACGCCGAAACGATGGCTTACCCAAATGTCGCCCCAGAGCCCAGCATGTATTGTCCCAATGTCCGCATAATACCATTTGGCCCCGCTCCGTATCTGAAGATATTAACGGTTCCTGGAATCGAGTCAGACCTGCTTCGTCGCGAGCAAGACTTGGCCCTCTGCCATACCAAAGATGAAGCCGATGATCACGCCCACCGCTGTGGGAGAAAAGACAAGATCAGCCATGTGCGAGGCGCAACAGGAACCGACTGGTGGGAAAGGGGCACGTACTGCCGCCCATCATGGCACCCATCTTGACTGCGACGGTGTCAGCGCTTCGTCTAAGCTATGGCAATGCATTCTTTCGTGCATACACTTGTCGAAGTTCGACGGCCCGACCGCACCGTGATGGCTGGGAGGAGGAGGCATTATGGCAGGCGCAAGTCTTGAAGCGGCGCGGGATGTCAGGTAAGGTAGCTCGGGTAGCTAGGTGTCTTGCAAGGTTTGTAGGGAATGAGAAAACAAGACGCAAGTGGGTTGATGATGGTACCGTATTGTACATATGAGGCCTGCAGCTGCAAGCCAAAAAGTTGCCGCGGGCAAAATATCCAATCCCTGGCCGCGGGATGCGCGGGTACGGGGACCTCAGCCCGGGCAGTTCGGCGGCCCGCTAGAAAGCGCTGCAAATTGGTGAACAGAGAACCTGGAAGTCGATTCCGTTAGCGATGTTCTTCCCCAGGCCACAACTAACATCTGACTGTCCGTTGACTAACGGTGCCTTATTTGGTATTATAGTCTACAATGATTTTAGTCTCTAGGTAAACTTCTCTTGCGTACAAAGTACATACATCAGGCATCAAGCCATTCTGTCATTTCCCTGGCCGTCAAACTTGCCCAGATACTGGGTTACCTTAGCCTACAGTACATCGCCTTATGGGGGCAGACACTCGTGCTCCATCTTCATTGGATTGTTTCCTTCTTACACACCAGGACTCACGTGACAACGCCAGGAGTGAACTCAAGCTCAGACAGGCCACGCCAGAGCATAATCATTGTTTTTGATCGTATGACATAGGGATCTGTGAATGCCAGAGTCAGCATGTCTCGACGCATGGTGCGGAGAATTGAGTAAGTGACCAGAGCAAAAGGGGGTTAGGGGGCCCGGGGGGTTAGTTAGCTCAGTCGCCACAGACCTGATGGCTGCACCAGCAAATCAAGAGCGAGGAAAGAGGAGGAAAAATGGAGCAGGACGTGGTCCGTCCGCCGTCGAGTCCTGGACTCCAGCAAGTTCGAGGCGCGCAGGCCGCTCTCTGGCCCCAGAGCGTCCGGCTAAGCGCCTCCAGAGCCCCATGGCCTTTTACCAATCGAAAGGTCGCTTCAAAATTCATCAAACCTCACTTCTCCTGTGTCGTCGCATCCTAACTGTGCCCCGTGCTTGCCACCAGCGCGGAACCGACCGAGACGACTGCATCGCTGCCAGCAGGTGCGTCTTTGACTCCTTGTGCAGCCTACCGTTTCGGCGTCAACTTCCTTCCGTCCTTTCGCCATATTTTCCTTGTGTGTTCTTTTTCCGTGTCTGTCGCGCCCACCCCTTTCGACAATCACGAACCTGGATTGCGACGTCAGTGCCCATCTTCAACTTCGACGGACTCCACCCAGCCCTTCCGGAATACCACTGAATGCTGAGATTTCGCCCCACCACGAGAGAGCAATCATATTGCTGCTGCCGAGCGCTTTGTTGAACGGGACACGCATGCGATCACCCTAGGGAGCACGCCAGCGTCTGCTCGCCTGCGTCAGCATCTTCCCCCCTGTGGTCGGCAGCCACTTCGCTCGCCCATCTCGTTCGTCGCGCCTTCCTCATGACTGCCGTTGCAAGTCCTCCTAGCCTCGCGAATCTCAATCGGCCGGGATGGATTAATGGGGGTCAGAACTTGAATTCTGTCAACGCGGACGACACTAGGGGACTCACGATGTTCATGCCTCGCAAAACCCTTCAACGAACACACTCTTCCTCATCGGTGTCCTCGACATCTTCCAACTCGTCGACATCTACCGTCACTTCTAATGCCAACTCACAAGTAAACGGCGCCTCGATGCCCGCGGCTGGAGACGCGAACGGGTGGCAGAATCCGACATCCCGAAAGCGACCGACCGCGAAGGCGCCATGGCCCAACGGAAAATCAGACGAGGCATCCAACTACCCCAAGGGGCCAGGAGGCCGCGGCCTCATGGCCGTAAATGGCATCAATGGCACTTCATCCATGCCCCAGCAACCGTCGATACTCGCGCCCCAGAACCAGCTCGTAAACCAAGGCGCTCCCGGCCGTCCCGTCGCCGATGGTATACCTCCGCGACAGCCCGTCCTCTGTCTGCTCTCACTCAATGGCAGCTTCGAGCGCAAGACGATTTCCGTTCCCTTCTCCCCCGAGACGCTCCGGATCGGACGGCAAACCAATGCTAAAACGGTTCCCACCCCGGTCAACGGGTACTTTGACAGCAAGGTCCTGTCGCGGCAGCATGCGGAGATATGGGCCGACACCAACGGCAAGATCTGGATCAGAGACGTCAAGTCCTCAAACGGTACATTCGTTAACGGGACTCGGTTATCGCCCGAGAATAGAGAATCAGAACCGCACGAACTACAAACCCAGGATCATCTCGAGCTTGGAATCGACATTGTCAGTGAAGACCAAAGGACAGTAGTTCACCACAAAGTTGCTGCCAAGGTCGAGCACGCGGGCTTCATAACGCCTTCCACAAATGTGCTGGACATGAATTTAGGGGACCTTGATCCGTCCGGCAATGGCATGATGCTACCCCTAGCTGCCCCGCCAGCTAGAGGAAGAGCTGGCAACCAGCCCTCGACTGCGAATGCCAACCGTGTGCCGCCTGGCAACATGGCAGGTCAAGTAAATACGATGGCTCATCAACGACAGTTCTGGCTGAACCCGATAACGACCGAGCACATTGTTAAGAAGCTCCATGTAAGGAATCTTTCAAAGGCCGTATGTGAGTGGTACTGACACCTAGATACAGACTGAAATGCGCAATGCGCGGTTGCAGAATCAAGATTTGTATCGGACCAGCCAGTTCATCAACGCCCTCTTGTCCAAGGAAGACATTAAGAATGCCGACAAACCCGAAGTCCCTGAGCCTCCAAAGACTCACTTGCCCAACGGCAACATCTCGTTTCGATCGGATGGTGGCAAGACCCGCTTCTCGGAGCCGCCAGCACCGCCGCCGTCCCAGCCACTCCCCGAAAAGCCCGACGCAGCTCGGCCGGCGTCCTCTGATGTGCCGTCGTTGAAACGAGCCACGACAGAGCGGCCGAAGCCGGCTGGTACCTCTCCTATCCGGCAGGACAACAGTCTTAATCAGATACTTCTCCTAACCGAAGCGCTTAACAATGCTAACAGGGAGCTTAGCAATCACACTGCTAGGGTTCGAGATCTCGAGGAGATGTTAAGCAAGGAGCGCGAGGCTCGGTTGCATGCCGAAGATATGATGCATAGGATGGAGGAGAGCAGCCAATCCAAGATGAACGGGTCGGCCGATGCCCCGTTAGTCAACGGCCACTCCGAGCTAGACAAGGCATTCGACCCTCCGGCGGAACAAGGCCCACCCCCGAGCTCCGAGTCCGCGTCACACCCCGCAGCCCCTGAATTAGAGACGGCCCCACCTCAGCCGGACAAGGCCGAACTCCTCGCTGCGGCATTCCAAGCTCGCATAGACTCTATGGCGTTGGAAATGAGCAGCCTGAGGGAGCAACTAGAAGCGTTTAGACTGCGGGCGGAGAAGGCAGAAAGTGAGCGGGACGCCGACCGCAAGACCCTAGCCGAAATGGTGTTACAGATACGGCAGCGTGACGAAAAAGAGAAGAAGCAGGCCGCCGAACGCAAGTCACGGTCGGTGTCCAAGGGCCGGCGGCGCCCCCCAAGCCCGGACAGACATCCGGAGGAGAAGCCGGCTTCAGAGATGAATGGCGCCGCCGTGGAGGCGGAAACGCAGACCGGCAGTCCAACAGAAGGAGTCCTCTCCGACAGACCCAACCTCTCGCGGGCCAATACCATCAAACCCGGCGGGGGCGCACTGGCCGTCCAGGCGCAGCAAGACTCAGGACTAATACAAACGCTACCCTATGCGTCCATGATTGGGGTTGTTCTCTTTGGGATGGGGCTGATGGCGTACCTCAACGGCTGGCAGCCGCAGCCGAGACTGGACCGTTAGTTGAGGATCGGCATATAACTGCTGGGACTCTTGAGAAATATGGCACGGCCGGGCATGGCAGGGCGATACATTTCATGTGATTACGATTGAGAACAACCCCGGTACTTTCTCCTCTTACCTTGGGCATGGTACTTTGGTGTGACGACGACGAATAACCTGACGGATTTACCGACGGCTTAACAGTTCTTATTTCCTTTGTCCTTTCTCTAGGCATATTGCCATCCAGCGGTCAGTTACATGGAAGAAAACACCACAGCGTGCTGTCTCTCGTTCTACATTGGTCCATCGGCCGATCCTCAGTCAGGCTGACTACCTGTACATTCCTACTTTTTCCTTGGCGTTTTTTAACATATGTATCTGTTGGAGTTTGACAGGCTGGGACCAATCTGGAAGGTTCGGAGGGCGCGCTTATCATTGAGGGCAGGATTGGCGTTGCATCCTTTCAAATCAAACTTGGATTCTCTAAGTATACGGTGTCTTGCTAGGAATCACTGTGAGCGCGGAAAGAAATCAGCGGTTACTCGGGTCAGCTATTCTAGGTTGGTGAGTGAGGAATGGGACTTGCATTGACTTGAACTGAGTTGCCCTATATCCTATAATGACTAGGTCTGCTGCTCTCCAGCCTCGGACCTGGGCAGACGTAGCAAAAGAGGTTCCTGAGTTGATCCAGCTCCTTTGTCTTGACGGACTCTGCCCCGGGGATTTGGCATGCTTTGAACAGGGTCATTGAAGCTTGTCAAATTGCGGAAATCATTCAAACAACTCGTTCATCTTCTTCGAGCACGTCTGAAATCCAGCATCCTGCTACCCTATGTATACAACCGAGCGCTTGATCCTACATTTGCTCCATGAATCATCGAAACTACCTATGAATGGGGAAGATACTTGATTTGGGTAATAGTGGTCTATTGAGAGTAAGGGTATAGAGGCAGGTATGCCCACTCTAACCTGGCTTCGCTAATACATCCAGATATCTAAGGTACTCTTGCCTCTGTGACTACAGCATGCCGGAAGGACAGCTGAACAGTGTGTTAGTTTCCGGGCGCAACCAAACCAATACCTGCCTACCTAGTCGCCCAAAAAAAAAGATTCGTCACTTGGGCAGCAAAAAGGTCAGTTATACCAGGCACAGGCCGCACAAAATCAAGTCAGTCTCACCCACTGTTTACTCAGGCGGGCCGAGTCCTCTTGTCGAGGCCACAAGCAATCACTCAACTCACCGGATCAGGCATCTTTGGGCCCTCACAACATTTACGGGTTGCCGTCCCTGTCAGTGTCAGGTGCGGGTCCTAGGTAAGGTCAGTATCAGTCCAGGGCACAAGAGGGACCCATGGATCACTCTCCCCGAATCCCCCGAGGACTAGGTATGTCTCGGTTTCTCCCCGCCCCTCCTCTCCTTCTCTCCACTGTCTCCCGCCGCCTTTCCACTGTGTCGCGTCCAGTGAACGAACCTCAAGTGAAGTCCGGGTCCGGCCTGGTCCAGGTGGCTTGCAACAGTCGCACAACTCAGCTCCAACAACCCCCACCTACTTCTAGCAAGAAGGGGGTATGTCTCTGCCTTCACCAACCAGCTGTCCCGCCCAGGTACCCTCAGGCCCATCCGGGTCAAGCGTGGCGCAGCAGTGCCCGTCGGGTCCGCCGCCGTCGCCCCTGGAATGCGCCGCGCAGGCCCAGCACAGAAACTCATAGCGCGAGTTGCCCGCGCCACAGTTGCAGCACGCCCACTCCCTGTCACGGGGGACGACAACCACCTCCTCACCATTTGTGTTGTTGTTGTTGTTGGTGGTGGTGTTGTTGTGCGGAGGGAAGGGATTCCGCATCGGCCCGGCCTGAGGAAGGGTTGTGCGGTCGCGGTGGAGTGACGTGCGCAGCACGGCAAAGTCCAGGGCTTGTTTTCTGTTTGCGGGCTGCATCTCGCGGTCGAGCCCGGATTCTAGAGGGAGACGGACCGGGGGGTTGTTATTGTTCTGGTTGAACCTGGCGGCCAGGGCCTGCTGAAGCTGCCATTGCTGGTTGCGAATAGGGATAGGTTGTTGATCAGCCCATCGGATAGCGGTAGACTTCAAGTTCCTGGTTCGCTGCTGGTAGGTTGTCAAGTTTTGCTGAGGCGGTGGTGCGGAAGCTTGTCGGAGAAGTGATGTAGTTGGTGCTTGTCGGAGGATCTCGAGTCCCTGTGTCAGTAGCGATGGCGGGTTCCGTTCCTTCGCTGGCAGGACAAGGGGCAAGGGCGGGTTCCGCTTGTTGAGCTGCTGCTGCCGCTTGAGGGCCAGCGTCAGGAGTGAGACGGGCGGCTGGATCCTCTGTGTCTGTGTTTTCGGTTTGGCTGGGCATCCGGGCACTGGTGGATCATCTGTCAGCGTGGTGGATCGGGTGTCCTTCCTGTGCTTGCTCTTCTCCCAGTCGCTGTCTTCGCTGTCGTCGTGCTGGCTTTCGCTGTCGCTGTCGCTGTCGAACACAGACGGGTATATGGTGCTCTCACTGGGGTTGGTACGAGGCTTTTCAACCTGCTCGTCTTCCTCGCTGTCACTGTCAAATACAGGTGGGTATTTGTCGGACATTGTGACCTTGGTCGTGGAGCAAGAGCAAGGCAGGAAGGGGACCCTGGGGGAAGTCCCCTTGATATTCGTGTCGAACTCCTGTTGTGCAGTGTAAGTATCGAAATCAAACTGAAGACTCCCTGTGCTTCACCTTCGGGATTCCAGATAGCTGTGCGTTTGACAAGAAATGTTGGTTCCATGGTGCTGCCTCTCCATGTTTATATGTGTGGACTGGGTTGTGGTATTGATAGCTGTTCGGAGGTTGGGTGTAACGAGTCTATTCTGTAAATCAACAATAGCAATTGGCTTGTTCAGGTCGAAATGCGTCAAAAATCTCATCTTGTTCGGTGGACCCAGGACAGTTTACATTGTTGAATGTGTATGCTTCAAGTTCCCTACCCGTAAATTATCTCTTCCCTTACGCTACCCGTAAGTTACACCCTGACTCTTCTCTCCTAGACTGTCACCTTCACCTTTCGTCGGTATTCCCTGTGACCATCACATTGGCAGGCCGGTATAATCGCAGACGCCGACATAATCCTCGATGTCATTGCCACCTGGGAGACAGTGAACTCTACCATAGAAGAACAGCCGTCCCTTCATTACACAGCAATAGCAGCCCCCCAGTAAAAAATGGCGAACATCAATGCTGCTGTTGCTAGTATAACTACCCAAGATTGTCCCATGTAAGTTTTTCTGTCCACCTTCACCTTTCGATTGTGAGGCCATTGGTACGTAGCTTATACCCTTCCGTGTTCTCCTGGCGTTGCCCTCCTCGGGAGGAATTGAGGTTCGAATGGGAGGAAGTTTCGGATACGCTTGAGCCTGCGGACCCGCATATTACGGTATAGATGAGCCCCAACAAATACACGTCACAGGTGGAAGGTCACATCTCTGTGACTACCTATTGTTCCTGTGCCCGGTGGTGGAGTTATGATACAAGTGAACGACCCTGAGACCCAGCGGCGGATTGTTAAGCCGGGCCACGAGAAAGTAGCAGAAGACTCGGAGGTTTGGCTGGTGAGGGACACCTAGGAGGACTCCCGCAAATGATCTTCAAGCTACCTCTCGAACGGACTCTGATACTGTCGTCCTTTTCGTGCTTGGACCAGGGGGAGGTGGTAATTGGTGGATTTTTGATGGACCATGAGAGAGGACATGTTCTGGATTCTCTGTCTGCCTTCACCTTTCGACTTGTCGGCGATTTGCTAGAGCGCTTCTAGTTCCTATTTTCTCAACGTTGCCCTCCTTGGAGGAATCGAACCGAGGGCTTCAGTGAAGAAGCCAAAGATGAGGAACGCAACTTTAATACCACGTACCCACTCGACCACTTCTCCATTACCCGTAGGGGGTTGAAAGTAGGAAGGAGGACTTGACTTATGTACCCAAGTACCTACCTACCCAATGCAATCCAATCCTCTTTTTCAAGAACCCCGGTACCAGTAAGGGCCACCTAGCAACAAGTGAGCCAAGTCTTTCTAGGACCTCAAAGTCCTCTTGATCAGACCAATGCCATTCTCGAAAGCAGGTGTAAGCTGGTCCCCTGAATGTACCCTTTCAGTTGAACATAATACGCTGCCGAGGAGATGGGGCTCCATGTTGATGAAAGCTAGAAAAGTCACGTTGGGAAGATATTTTCAAAGAGATCTCTTTTCAAACTGGAATAGAGGTTGAGATAGATACATGGTGACATGTAGCTGATGTATACTCAGACCACCTAACCTAAGGTACCTGACACAACGAGAAACAAGCAGTGATGGCCGTTTAGAACCGCGAAAGCGATGAAAGTCCGTCCGGTTGTCCCCAGCTACCTAATACCATCAACGTTTTCATCATAGCACTCCTATTAGGCGAGCCCGTGTTACGACTCTGTAATTGAGAGTAGAGATCGGCGTTAGCGATGTGAGGTCTTATCTTCTGAAGTACCTAGCATCAAAACTCTCCAGTCGTTCGAGACAGAAGACCTTCAACACAATCCGTCTGATTGTGCGACTGAGTTTCCCTCACAATGTCTATCCCGCTAGCAGGATTGATTAAATCCATTCGAACACCATTCTCATTAACCAGATATGCCATGATGGTCTTGAACTGGTGTCCCTGAATTCTCACGGTCTATAGCCAGGTTCTAACTCTGCTATAGCGCGGCTTTGGCTGCCGTATCAGCGCTATTTGCCTTGATCCCATCTTTAACGCCCTCTTCTTTACTAGCTTCTACCGGTCCTCCCCTGTCATCTGGTTGCTCCTTGTCGGCCGCTTTCGTCGCTACTGGCTCGCTACTCTGAGAAGTCTGCGGCACCTCCTCTGGCCCCTGATTCACCACGCCCTCCTTAGGCGGCGCGCTGCTCCTCTTCTCCTCGGCATCCTGATCCTCCTGCAGATGCAGCAGTTCACCCACTTCATCCGCCAACTTGCTCACCTCGTCGTGCAGCCCAGCAACCCTCTTCTTCGCCCCCTGCAACTGCCGTTGCGCCTCTTCCTCGCCAACCAGCTCGCGCCACCTCGTCTCCAGCTCCTCCCTCCACCCCAGCTCATCCGCCAGCTTCCTCACCCCCGCATCACAGTCGCCCAGCACGAGCACATCATCCGCGTGCGAGCCGAGCGTGCCGACACGTTCCAGGTTGAACAGCACCCTGGGCACCGACTCAGGAGCCAAATTCGGCAGGCTCGCAAACGGGTGCACCTGCAGACTAGTTCCCATAACGAGGATCAGATCTGCCTCGGCCGCCATGCGGGTGCGCTCAAAGAACAGCCGCGGCAGCGCCTCCCCAAAGAAGACGATATCGGGCTTGACCAGCCCGTCACACTCGGGCGCGCGCTCGCACCGGGGCACCTTTCCCGCGCGAACGTGCTCGCGCATGGGCGCGTCGCCGAAGGGCGTCTTGCACTCGATGCAGCGCTGGGCGGCGAAGCTGCCGTGGGCCTCGACGATGAGGTCGGCGGGGATGCCCGCGGCGCGCTCGAGGCAGTCAATGTTCTGCGTGAAGAGCTGGTGCAGCAAGCCCTTGGAGGCCAGCAGGCTGATGAAGACGTGCGAGACGGTCGGGTGGTAGTTGCCTGGGTAGAGGTCCTTGGCGAGCACGTAGAAGGGGGCAGGGTTCTGTCGGAAGAAGGAGAGGTCGAAGACGGCTTCCGGCTCGGGCAGGTTGAGCGAGGCCAGGTTGGCGTAGAGGCCTGTTTCTGGAGAGCGGAAGTCGGGGACTGGAAAGAAACGGGGGAGGGTTATGTCAGAACGTCATCTTCAATTATGAGTGGGGCGAGTCACACTCAGATGAATCATGAGTGAGATTGAAGGTGAGATAATGAGATTGTTGGACACATACTGCCTGCTGCGGTTGAGATGCCTGCGCCCGTCATGACAACGATGCGTCGGGCCCGGCCCGACTTGATGTACTCTGCTACAGCTGCCACGCTGCGCTCTGACAGCGTCTGGGGAGGGGTGTCGTCGTCTACGACGGACTGTTCTTGGCCCATCCTGCGTTTGTTGCGCTTGTTGCGCTTAGGCTTCACTTTTGGCTTTGGGCGCTTTCCTTGAACCGGAAAGTCGTGCGAGTCTTCAGAATGGTCGAAGTCGTCAAGATCGTCTGAATACTTGCCCGGGGCACGCGGGCGTGACCCTGCTCCGTGTCGACGCCCTATCTTGGGGAATTGCGGCTGTGCAGTGCCGCTGAATGCTCGCGAGGAGGGGTTCAGGTGAGAGACTGGCAATAAATTGCTCGGTATGGAATTGACGACTTTGCGAAGGACTGAGGGTGGCAGCTTGATTATGAGGGAATGGTTCAAAGGCAGAGGGAAAGGGCCAATATCAGATAAGATCACCGAACCCCAGACAAGCTTGGAGTCTCAGTTCAGTTGTTGGTCGCTCCTGTTACATCACACATCCTGCAACTGCAGGTGGGCAGAGATTGCGAGCAGTGGCAATTTTGAGGGTTAGGGTTTTAAACTTATGATCTCACCGTCAGCAACCTTCCGCATCGCCAATTCCCGAAGCGATCAATAACTTTGACTTGCAAGGGCACTGTTATGGGAACCCAAGCTCAGCTGTATTAATACGACTCAGTTTGTCCTGTGGGTTGCTCACCTCATGCAGCGTACCTTCATCTTACTCCTGAATCGATCTTCAGGCCCATCATGATCCATGTCGGATGTTAACCGCGATTTCAAACGCTTTTTTTCCTTACTTCTCAACTTATGAATACATAGTACCTTGCCTTAGGAATTTTGTGTCTGATTTGCAACCTGAAGCGCGAATTTGAATAGCAGCTCAAAATTTTTCGTCGAAGCAACTGTCATGATGTGCTATCAGGCTATCGTTCATACCCAGCTGGTAACCTAGACCGCTGGATAGAACGAAGGGCCATTTGCCATCGGTTATAGGCACGATGAAGGTTTTGTTTGACCTCATTTGGCCAAGTAGAATACGCTACAAACCCATCTTAGGTATCCACGGTACCTTAGCTAGGGGTAAGTATCGTAACCGAGGATGCCAAATCCAGCGAGACACATAGTGTTCCTCTAGGGCAGCCCTCGCCCCTTTCTCGTCGCCTGTCCCACCTCAGACTGCGTCTTATCCTCCGCATAGCGCTTATACGCCTTGATATACATCTCCTCATCACTCCACGTCGCCTTGACGCTCTCGCGCTCCACCACCGCATCAAACCAGCGATACCATCTTTCCCAAACCGCCTCATCGTCCCCTCTCTTCCCCTTCTTCGGAATCCCCACCCCGCCCGGCTTGTAGTGGTCAATCAAGAACAACCTCTTAGCCCACGGCGCGAGCATGGCGTCGACAAGACTGAACTTGCTGCCGAGGAACCACGGCCCTTCCGGGTCAGGGCTCTGATCCACCATCTCCCCGGCGAACTCCCTCAACCCCTTCAATAACTCCGCCCGCGCCTCCTCAATGGGATATCCCTTGTCCTCGGTATGCTGCAGCAGCCGGTAAAAGCCCGGGACGATCCGCGTAACGATGTGGTTGCTCCACAACCTGCACCGCGCGCGCTCATAGACATCCTCCTCGGGCATCAACCTGCCTTCGTCACCGCCAACGTACCGCTCATCGAGGTACTCGCAGACAACCGTGCTCTCATACAGCGCTTTTGTCTTCTTCTTCTTCTCCCCCCCGTCTACTCCACCACCTGGTCCACCTCCCTCCTCACCTCCGGCCGAGGAGTAGTCTTCCGGCACGAGCGTGGGGACCAACCCCCTTGGATTCAGCGCCATGAACCCGGCTTCCTTCTTGTACGGGTTGATCTCGATGTACTGGTGGGGGATCTTTTTCTCGGCCAGGACGATCCAGGCGCGCTGCACAAAGGGACAGAACCAGCTGCCGTAGAGCTTGAGCGGGTGCGAGGCGCTGTGGGCGGCCGCGAAGGCGGCGGCGGCGCCTGTGGGGTGGGGGTCCAGGCCTGTGTCGATGGTCGACATTTTTTGTTTTTTAAGTTTTGTTGGCTGTGGTGGTGATGATGGTGATGATGGTGATATGATGGTGCTGTGGATGGATGCGGGATGCGGTCCAAAGGAGATGGTAGCAGGAGATGCGGCTGGGAAATCTAAAGAGGTATCTTCGGTTGATGTGATTCTGCAGACGAGGAAGGATATCTGGATATGCGGGGTGGAGATGGGTGAGACCCGCCTGTCAGTCTGCCTGGTGGTACCTTGATTCTATATGAGCTATCCAGCACAGAAATCAAAGTTAGCAATATTCTATAGTGGGGCGGTACTGGGACCTCTGATCCTGGGCCACCAGTCGAGTCTGTAGCCGATGACGTGCTATGTGTCGCAGAGGCGGGGGCGATGTCACGGTCTAATAGGTAAGGTACTCATGGTTGTAGTGTACATTCATTGGTGCAAAGCGTTCAAGACGTCAAGTCTAACACACCATGTCCCTGACCGGCTATTGATTGAATCGCTCGTTAGGTAACCTTTGAGTGTTGCCGCTGAATGCCCGCCTCGAAGCTGGCCCCAGGCGACTTCACACAAGCCCACAAGCAACATACAATGGGTTCTGAAGCGAATCATGACGCTCAACCATACCACCGAACACTAGTGTTCGTGGTCTCTGTTGTCATAGTCTCCCTCCCGTGATACGCCGGTCGTGGCGCCTCCGGTATCCTACCGGGGCCAGCCATCGGCGGGCCAGGCCGCGGCGGCGAAGCCGAACGCGGCATCTGTGGCGACGGCGGAATCCCCGGGGCTTCGGACTGGGTAGGCGTCTTGACCTCATCGAGCCACCTGGATACCGGCTTTGGCGTCCTTGGGGTTAGAGGTCCTGCCAGCGCGACATAGGCTTTTTCGTCCATGAACGCCGCCTGCGGTGGTTGAGGAGGCGGCTTAGGTGTCGAATTGAAGGCGGCCTGCATGTTATTCGTCCCACCGTCGACCGCATACGCGGCTTTCATGAGGTCATCCATGATCTTGGTGTTCGTCTTTGCAGGGTTGTGAATGCCTAACCCGCCAGGAAGGGGACCGGAGATTTCGGGTGAGTATGGGCGATCGTCTAGCTTTTCCCCTTTGAATGGACGGAATGGAAGGAAGGGAAGGCCACGATCGCGGCGCCATTTCCTCCAGAAAAAGGCTGCGCCGATCATTATACCGATGAGCGCTGTATGACGTTAGTAACATAGCACAGCAATGCGCTGGAACCAAGACATACCGAGGACTCCAATTACGATGCCCGCGGCGGCCCCAGTGTTGATATTGCTCTGCTCTACTGGTGCGGTCGTACCGAGACTTTCCCCCTCGGGCTGGCTGGATTGACGGTCAACGGGAACAATCGTGGAGACATCGGATTGTACAGTATCGGTTGCCGGAATGGTAGGCGAAGGTCCGATTGCTGCCGGTTGGGTCGGTGTCAGTATTGGCTCAAGACCTGCGGAGCGGGATGCCGACTCGGTGATGGCGGTTGTCGGCGTGGTCCCAACGAAACCCGGGAACGGCGACGTGGTCGGTGACGGTGTTCCTGAGGCGGGAAGAGATGAGGTTTCATCCGCCGACTCTTCAGCGTCTGTGTCGATATCTTGAGGATTCTCAGCCCCCAAAGCGACGCCCGGTATAGCTGGTGCTCCTCCACCAGGCTGGATTATTGCCCCAGCGTTTCCAGGAGCTATTATTCGGACTCCTGAACCGACGCCAGCCGTCCCGGTACTAGCAGGCGGAGGAACAGTTGTAGTTGTGGTCTCGTCGGACTCGTCATCAGATGAATCTATGGCGCCGCCCTCCTCGTCAGACGAGTCCGCCCCGTCGTCTGCCTCCTCACCACTCTCATCGTCGGCATCTTCGGCCTCTTCTTGGCGTCGAGCGAGCCTCTTAGCCTCGATCTCCCGACTCCTCATCTGCAGCCAGGCGTGGTTCCGCCGGCGGAGAGTCGGACCTGTCAGCCTCATGGTTTGGTCGTAGGATGTCCTGCTAGCTTGGTCTGGTGGTGGCAGTCTGTACTCATCGGCCGGCCTCAGCTTGGTTCAAAGGAAAGCAATGTACAACGAAAAGAAGCCTCCAGGACCAACAAGAACCAAACGCCGAGACTGCAGACCAGCTGCCCTTCAGAAAGTACCGGTATGCGAACAGAAAAGATGAGAGGGACAGAACGAGTGTGCCCAAGACCGACAGTGGCGCCAAGGCGAGCATTAAGAGTCGTAACACTCTTGCACTGAGAATCAGGGACAACCTGGACAGGGAACCACTCGCGCTTGCCCCTTCCCTGACTTTGACTCCAATCCCGATCCCACAAGACGCCATTTTGCGCAGTCGATTCCCCAGACCCTGTTAGCGGACTCGTAGAGAAGGAGACTCCGATTTAGGCAGTGCTCGGCGTAAGTCAATGCAGGCTCCCGTCGCAGCTGTGTCCCGGGCGCAGCTGTCTCAAGCCAAAATGTGGTGGAAGAATAACCTGCCAAGAAGAGACGTAGCCAAAGGGCAGCATCTGGTTGTCGATAAGCGTTTGATCGGATCCCGGCAGTGGAGACGGAAGAAACCTGTGACGCCGCAGATGTGTGGGGCGGGCGTCGATCTGGTTTCACTGATTGGTTCTTACCTTGCAATTCGACTGCCCTGCCGCCGTGCCGCGTGTGTGCCTCGCTGGCTCTTGATCTTTACGGAGCTCGAGCACACGACCTGTTGCCTGCATAGGCTGCGCTTCTTCGCTGATTTGAGAAAGAAGCAACTTAGAATTGTTACAGTACAAGACATTTCGCGCCCTCAGCTATCCAGAGCAACCAGACGCTGTCAACCCTCTCGTGTTTCAGTTTCAGTGTGAGCCAAGCTCCCGCGGGTAACCTACATATCGATCAGTACCATGGGCAAGTGAACGTCGAGGTATTCGCCCCTTGAAAATCCGATTGCTGAATTAGCATGTTTCAGTCACAAAACACAGCATAAATACCAGGCAAGTCGAACCGAAAGCAATCAAGGGTAGTTAGAGCCGAGAAACTCTACGCTTACGACACGAATCATACTCAATAGTTTGCAAACTTCCAACTTGCGGTCCGCAGACGCATACGAATAGTATCATCCGCTTTGCCTCCCGGTTCTACTTGAAGGGAAAGCGGGCGGTTCCGAATCAGATGCTTCGAAGAATTGAAGGACATATATCATCGCTTAGCAACGCATCTATCAGCCAGTCATATGGCCAACGAAAGCAACCTTTCCAAGGCCAGAAGAAGGCCACTTCAAGATTTGTTTCTCAAAGCCGTTGTGGTTCAACTTCGCTCATTCCTAGTGCTAAGCAAACAAGAGCTGCTGTGAAATAAGCCGTTCGAGTCTCCGAGGCCACTGCTCATTCCCCTGGACCCTTATCATCGCAATGGTTCTCATCGCTTTTCAAGGGACCCCTGAAGGCCGAAGGCATTCTTGCCCGATCTTAAGTTTTTTTGTTCATAATGTATCTCTCTTTGCCAGCAATCCACCTTACCTAACATTCTCGTGTATCATTCCTAACCAGGTGCCACGTCGTTCTGGCAAACCCGAATTGAACTTCAAAGATACACCCATCGCTCAAAGTAAAGACTCGACGGTCCATACAGTCTCCCCCTTGTTTGTTCGTTAGCGCCTGACTTCAAGACCAGGGTCAGCCCTAAGACTTTAATTTCAGCACCAAAACGGCCAATTTCCCACGGAAAAAAGGCTCTGAAGAGAATAGCCTTCTTGAGTAATGCTAGATACTCTTTTTTCTGGCATTAAGTTAATCGGTCTGGCTGCTGAGAAGTATTTCTCTGGTTTCTGGACAAGAACCCCTGTCGAGAGTCCTGCGCTAACAAACAAACAAGGGGTGAACTGTACTCCTCACCTACTTTACCATACCATTTTCAGTATAGTTTCCGCTCATAGCTCAATTCCGCTCATTAGCCACATTTCAGTGGCTTTACAGGGAGGTTTGTGGCTGCTTTGAGCGGGATTGGACCATGAGCGGAAACTATACTGAAAATGGTACCTTGACTCATGAAAACCCACAATCTTACGGGACTGCTAGCCTAGGTAATCTTGAAGAGTCTTATGGCTTCGGAATATTTCTAACCTCAATCCTCCTTTTAAGACTCGCCAACACTAGCACAACTTGCTATTGATAAGAGCTCTAAATTGACGTAAAATCAAACTGTTCGGCCTGGTGGTCTAGTGGTATGATTCTCGCTTAGGGAAAACCCTACTGCTTCTGTTGCGAGAGGTCCCGGGTTCAATCCCCGGCCAGGCCCCTGAGTTTCTGAATTTTTTTTTCCCCCTTCAACTCTTTTTGGCATGACCCTTCGAGCACGTAAGGTAATCACTTTACTTCGATTGTCTGCGACTTGTTGTTATCGTACTTGGCTATATTGGGCGTAGTGTCTTACTCGCATATCATCTCCTGCCAGCAGGTTAGAACCGTTAGGCGATAATTTGATACACTATCTTGTTGTTTAATGGTATTCACAATTCTCAGATAGTGGCCTGATATCGTACATTTCTCGCCCTATCCTAATTCGTGCTACCCCGACCGCCCTGCCCTTTGTTCGGACCTGATGCGATGCCTTGGCTCTGTCCACCGCTTGCTGCGATGTTCTCCAGTCCAGCACCTCTCTTGTATTCTGGCATTGGTGCAGTTTTGTCGGCGCGACCAACCCGAGTCGACTGACGGTATGTGTTAGTGGACTTATAGTGAGGTTAACTGTGAATGTTGTGGCTTACTGTCTCTTGCCCAGCGCCGTGGATGATATTATGGCCAATCTCGACGGCGTTGTGTGAGATTGATTCCCCCTTGTCAGACATGTTGGAAATTTTTGAATGGCCGAATTCGACACTCTTCGACTTCCGGAATATCTTCTTGGTAAATTGTTCGATTGTTCTCGCAGTTTAGTGTTTTGTGTCTGGGAAGGTGTCAACGAAGGTGAAGAGACCCTTTAAAGGTATAAGACGCCTGTATGACGTCATGGCAGTTCGACGTCCGGAACGTCATTATGGAGGTCGCGATACATGACAGCTAGGGGGAGGAGAACCCACAGGATGCCTCTAGATGATGGATTCATGCGGTGAACGATCATCCGACCACCGAAGGGGCACCCAGGTTGATAGTAGACGACCCGACGATCATGAAGTAACCCGAACGATACAAGACCGATTACGGTGACCTGCAGGCCTTCCTAGCGTTCTACACTAAGCATCCCTTGGCACTTGCTTACTGTACCCCACGACCCCCCCGGCTTCCGCTGCATGCCACTCGCAACCACCTTGAATTTCTGGGGACTTGTGGGGAGTATCAGCACCGGGGTCAACCTCAGGTAGTCAACTGGCAGAATGCGAGGCTGGCTCATGACCCTTTACGCGATGCCAATCATCCTAACGGCCCTCTACCAAAGTAGATTCGCCGTTCCTCGCGCCTGCACATCATCGACTCTCGTTTCCCGCCTGCCCTCATTTTTTCAGCTTTCCCGCACAATGTCGAGCACGTTCCAACACCGAGACTACCACATCCCGATCACCCTCCCCCCTGGCCTCTCCCAAGAAAAGCTACTCAACTTCCACCCATTCACCGTGAGCGCAACCCACCCCTAACTGTCTTCAATCTCACTGACATCTGGCATGTTACCTCAAGTCATGGCTCTCAACCCTGCAAGCCTCCCTCTCCCTCCAATCCACCAACCCGTCCCACCCATTCCACCCCTCTCCGTACGCGCTGCACTCAATCACAGTCCAGTCGTATGACCTCTTCGGGGGCACAGACAACCCCCGCCTCGGCTTCGTGAAGCTCACGGCGGCCGTCTCCAATGCCCAAGGCGAGACGCTCCCCGGTGCTGTCTTTCTCCGCGGCCCGTCCGTCGCGATGCTGGTCATGCTCATACCCGACGACATCGACCCCAACAGCAGCGAAAAGGACAATGACGACGAGAGGTACGTGGTCATGACAGTGCAGCCGCGCATTGCGGCGGGAAGCCTGGAGTTTGTTGAGCTGCCTGCGGGCATGGTGGACGAGGCCGGGGACTTTGTGGGCCAGGCGGCGAGGGAGATCCGGGAGGAGCTTGGGGTGGAAATACCGGGTTCGGAGCTGGTCTGTTTGAGCGAGATGGCTGCGCGGGGAACGGAAGAGGGTGGTGATGGGGGTGGTGGTATTGGGAAAGGGGATGGGAACTTGCCCAACGCGGTGTACCCCTCCCCTGGAGGCTGCGATGAGTACATTCCAATTTATATGCACGAGCGCAGGGTCCCGAGGGAACAGTTGGGCGAGTGGACGGGCCGGCTGACAGGGCTGAGGGAGCATGGTGAGAAGATCACGTTGAAGCTGGTCAGGATGAAGGACCTCTGGAGGGAGGGAGCCCGGGACGCGAAGAGTCTTGCTGCCTTGGCGCTGTGGGAAGGATTGAGGAGGCAAGGCAAGCTTTGAGTAGGAGGTGAGTCCCGTTAGCTTCGTGATATGGCCATTCCATTATGGTTGCGGATTTATCTCCCTGTTTTATCTAGCCCGGCATGCCCGACCTCTACCGTGTCAACGATTTCAGCATCCCTGGTTGCCCAGTATTTCTTCAAAGCTTAAACCGCTTAGCGATTTCGATGCCCTCAGCGAGGTTGGCGATGCGCGCGTCAATGGCATAGCCTTCAGCTTCCAGCTTGATGCACTCTTCCCAGAGTGCGTCCAATTTGACAAGGAAGACTTCGATGAACTCGTTCTCTTCGAGCTCAGGCTTCAGGTCTTGGTTCTCAGGGAGGCTCATGTCGACGCTAACATGAACCATGCGGAGGTTTGTATTGCAGAAGCCGGGATCTGCCAACATGTCAGAAGAGGCGGGACGTGGGTGGATCAGCAAGGAAGTACTAACCATTGAACATTACCGGTGACATCTCTATCACCTTTCCAACGTAGCCGGTTTCCTCCTTGAGCTCTCGGATCGCCGCCTGCTCCGCCGTCTCACCTTCGTCTATCAGACCAGCAGGAAGTTCGATGACGATCTTGTCCAGGGGCGGGCGATATTGCTTCTGAAGGACGATTTCCGGGCCTGTGGGGCCATTGTTGGCTTCCGAGACTTAAGAGGTGAAATTTGAGTGGGAAATACCTGTCTCCTTCTCCAGGATGGCAACGATGCCAACGCCGTCAATGTCACTCCCCTTGGGCCTCGTTGTCCGCTCGGCAGATTCCCATGTTCGGGTGACACCTTTGGGGTCTATATACGTTTTCCTATGTTACTTGTTAGACGTGGTTTGCTTCCTTTCCAGATGGTATGAGCTTGTGCGACCCGGACTTACTTGACCAGTTTTGTCCAAACCGCCTCATTCTCATGCTAATCATTATTCCGAAATTGGTTCCTATTCCTTCTGCTCGGTGCCGTGTTTGGCTGCCGGGAAAGCGACTTACGAGAGGATCGGTGGATATCACCTTGGCTTCACCTTCAGCCATAGCTTCGCGGATCCTTCGAATTGGAAGCACGGTATAAATGTGTGATGCTTTGAGGTACCCTGAAACTTGAGCCACTGTTTCTTCGTGGTAATTTTGTTGAGGAAGGCACTTTAGGATCACGTCGGTTCCGGGCGATTTGAGAGTGGCCCCGTGTGTTTGGTTGAGACCCGCTGGACCGCACGGCTTCCGTAGTGGGTCGGTCCGCTAATCGCTAATCGGATGGTCGCCGGCAGTGTGGTTCGCCAGCTCACTGGCACCTTCCCCTGTGCGATGAGGTGGCTGCCGTGCTGGCTTTCAGGCAGGGGGCCCACCTGCCCGCAATCAACAAGACCTCAGTCAAGTGGATCTCGAATACGCGGTCAAGATGCCATCGCGGCCATCTGCAATGACATGCTGTCCACTTAACAACTCCCGTCCCCGGCCGTTCGCAGACTTGCGAGGCTCGTCGCAATCGGACACGCATTGGTTGTAACTTGTCGCAAACCACTTAAGTCACCCAACCAATGACCTCTCACTGTGAAGTGAGAATGTCGGTCATGCCCGTCGATGAGCGTGAGGCACAGTACGTAATTAGCACCCCAGCGGACGTCAGCAACAAGCACAGAATTCGCACATTTTCCGTGCCCGGGCAGTTCCCTTCAACTTCCCCTCGGGGGTGACGGTGACTAAACGATGGCTCAAGTTGGGCAAGTCGTCCCAATTCGCTATCTCTTATCCAGGAAGTTATATACGCCGCTAGCTAACGTACGTCTACACATCGTAAAGCTAGAATCCGTCTGATGTCGTAAAGGGCCTGTCGTCAGGTGTTTGCCCTGTGAGACAAAGGGACGACTCACTATCTCGGCAGGGGTCGAAGACCTGAAAACGTGCCCAGGACCATCTCCCTGCAGACCGTTTTGTGTCACCACAAAGAAGTCAGGCACCTTTGTTCGCAACCAGATTCGTACGACAGATTCCACATACCCTGATATGTAAATACGTACACTGCTGATTCGCATGAAGGCAGGAAAACTTGAAATGCCACAGGAAGACGGGCAAATTTTCCTATAACCCAGCGCCTACTTATCTCCCGTCAGCAGACAATCTACCCAATTTAGCAGGTGCGCCGTAGCCTGGAATCGTCCTGCAACTCTGCACGTCATCCCGGTTATTTATTGATAGCGGCTTCAATCCTGCCGCACCTTATATTTGCTTGTCTATCTCTCCGCCTTCTACTTTCTTCCGACTCCCGCCATTTAGCTGCGTCCATTGTCAAATCTCATCCGATCTGGGGTCGCGCAACCCCCTGCCACGCCCCATCATGTCCCGGGTGGCCGCCAGCCGTTCGGTCGACCGCATCGACACAGACATGGACACAGACACGGAGCGGACTCCGCTGCTGGCCGGCACGCCCACGCCAACCGCCAACACCGCCGCCGCCAAAGGAACCTTTCAAGGCTCTCCGACCTCGCAAGAGAACGTTTCCCCCGACTATGGTAGCTACAACGGGCATAATGACTCCGCCACGGGGCCTGACCCCCTCGCCCACCTCCGCGACGTCCTCCGCCCCAGGGTGCTCTTCCTCGCATTACTAGGCGTATTCCTCGTCGAGCTCGGCGTCGCCATGATGATACCCCCCATGAATGCCATCATGGAGAGCATCATCTGCCGCCAAAAGCACCCGGAAATCTTCCTCCCGCCTTCAGCCTCGCCCAGCATCGGCGAAAGCTTCCACGGGACGGCGGGCACGTGGATACGGCAGATCACCGGGGGCATCTTTCTCACGGATGACCCAGTCTGCAAATACCCGGACGTACAGGGCTATCTTGCGATGCTAAAGGGCTGGGCTGCCGCGTTTGATTGTATCCCGGGTATCGTGGGCGCAGTGCCGTACGGGATCCTATCTGATCGGTGGGGGAGGAAGGGCGTGCTGGCGATCAGTATGTTGGGGATCTGGTTGTCGCAGGCGTTTATTCCTGTAGTGTTCTCCTTTTCGGAAGTGATGCCACTATGGACGATATGGTTTGCATCGGCGTTTCAACTGTGAGTTGTTTCTTACTTGTCTCATACTTCCACCATCCTCGCGGGTTTCGTAGCTAACAATCAGGTAGGATCGGTGGTGGTGGGGCCGTTGCGACGGCCATGATTTATACCCTCATCGCTGATGTGGTGTCAGTTGAGAGCCGTGCGAGCGCCTTCTTGCAGGTTGGCGCCGTTTTCCTCACCGCCCAGATGATTGGTGGTCCTTTAGCTGGTCTCATGATGGTCTGGAACCCTTGGATTCCACTCCTCGTTGCCGTAGCTATCCTCATCCTGGCCAACTTCATTGCTCTGGTTATCCCCGAGACTCTTGGTGTCCACGGCCAGCAAACGACGCCCCGGCCTGAGTCCGAGAATGGAGACGGAATTTCCAAGCGGCACAAGCTCTGGCATAAGGCCCGTTCTGCTCTAGCCGAAACGTGGGCCTTTGTTATCGGCAACCAGCGTGTGGCATTCTTGATGCTTTCACTGGTTTTTGTCGTTCTGGGCCGATTTGTCAGCGACTTGTTGCTTCAGTACGCAACGGATCGATACGGTTGGACGTGGAGCAAGGCATCCATGATTCTGTCAATCGGGACCGCAGGAAGCCTGGTCACGCTCATGGTCTTGCTGCCCGGCACGAGCTGGCTTTGCATTCATCGTTTTGGCATGCCGGGAGTCTCGACAGATCTCTGGTTGTCCCGATGGTCAGGCGTGGTGCAGATTCTGGGCTGCTTGATCATTGCTGCCGCAGGAAATGGCGTGTTCTTCTCATTTGGGCTGATATGGTTTGCTCTTGGATCGGGCATGTCGATGCTAATCCGGTCCCTCATCACTGCACTCGTCGAGGAACACCACGTCGGTACCGCCAACACACTTGTCGGCTTCATGGAGATGGTGGGTCTGACAGTGGCTGGTCCGCTGCTGGCCAAGAGTCTCAGCGTTGGGCTCGATCTGGGCGGGCCGTGGGTCGGTCTACCATTTCTCACCGGCGGCTCCTTTTTTGCTACCTCAACCATAATACTCTGGGTGTTCAGGTTGCCCAATACTCGCGGGTCAGCAGCTGAGCCTTCATGATGAGGGCCAAGTTGGAGCATCAGACACCGGAGTCAACGAGCGGCGACTGTGTAATCACTGCATCATTGCTGCAAGCCCTTAGAATGGGATCTTGAAGTCTTGGACCTTATAGAACGGATAGAGACCATTGGCTGGGCAGTTCTGACCAGCGGGGCATGTCGGGAAATAGAAGGACATAGGGTGTAATAGCGCAGTTACAATCCTTCCAGAACATCACGAATGGAGCAATCCGGGCGTTCGGTATCGCAGAAGACTACATGGTGGAGAGGAGCGGATATATCTGACCGAGTTCTGACGTGTTCATAGCGAATCGGTTTCTTAGGCGGCAAATCTTCGACTAGGTATATCGAGGTATATGTATGAGGACAATCCACATCCTACATTGTTGCTGCGAATGGGAGAGCATTAGAGGAATTAAGCATGTGAAAGTGTATATGGCGGAAGCAAATGTACACATGGCACCCTGGAAATCAACGGCGCAGGCTATTGATGGCAACCCGGCAGCCCCCAAGGCGGACTATCGATTGCTAACGTTGTGTAAATCATTTTCACTGGAACTACTGCTAAACTACGGAAACGTTACAGTAGTCTTAGAATGTCCTGGACTCCTGGCTGCTCAAGAAGAAAACAAGCGTTTTTGCATGTGTGCACAATGTTGGCTTTCAACGCTGTGCCACCTGCAATGCCGTGTGATGTGAAACGGTTGTTCCTGTAGTTACTGTACTGTACAGTACATACATACCCCGTACGACGATCACCAAAAAGTCTTATATTGCGATTGTCCTCCTTTCCCGTGTATAGTTACCCCGCCTTCGTAGTAACCGCCCTGTCTTCTGACTTCTGGACAGGAGGAGGGATTTTTCGTGATACGAACGCGCCGGGACACGGCCTGAAGCAGCATCACGTAAAAAAAGGGCGTGCTCAATGTCCCTGGGCGCACTTACCGCGGCCCACGCGATGCCGTGGTTGGCCAATCTAGCCTTACGAGCACAATTTGGCCAGGAACCACCAACCTTTGGGGGAGGGGGGGTCCAGGAACATTCACTAGCAATGCTGTTAGTGTCGCAACAGAGCCAAGATTCCTACAACAAGCTGTTGTCGGCTACAACAGCTTACAGCAGTACTGGTCAGGCCAACAGTATTGTACAACAGGAACAGGCTGTCTTCCCAACATCCTGTTTCTTTAGGGGCAGTATATTCCTGGCGACTACCTGTTATATCAACACCACTCAATTCCCCTTGACAGTATTGTATCCTACCTTTTCCCCAGAGACTCAAATGCTCCTTCCCTCCCCGCACCAGGCACCTTATCATCCAGCTTTTTGCATCGCTGGTTACGTGTGCTTGAAGTGTAATTGCCTGTAGATGTACTGTAAATTGTAATCTTGTAATCTGTAGGTTGTAAGTTCAACTCCAAGTTGTAGATTATATTTTTTCATCTTTAGTCTAGATCATTGTAGTTTAGACCTTTTTGTAGTTCAGACCTTCGTATATACTATAGTTCAGCCCAGCCCTACAGGTTCAGTGAATGACCCTATAGAGGCCCTTGCTTTTGGTCCTTAAGACTCTTGGAACACTATGTTCAACGAACATAATGATTGCCTACAACAGTCTGTTACCCCTTATCATTCCTAGGCAACCATGTTCAGCGAACATGGTAATGCCTATACCAGTCTGTTACTCCTAGGAACAGAGCTAGGAACAGTCTGTTACAATGGAACAGTCTGATTTGACGTTGCAAGGCTGTTGGGTCGGCTACTGTTATCTTCGTCAAGGGACTGATTCCACGATGTCCGTGCCAAAATGCTGTTTTGGCCTTAACAGGCTTGCCACAGCTATGTTGTATGACCCCCTCCTCCCTGCATGGCATCACTGCGAGCGGCTGCGGTGCCCCTGATTTATTTCCAACGCTAGTCCGTTTGCGACCCTGCGCTAGCCCAAGCTACCGCCACACCCATGTTAGGCGAATAATCTCCACAATTGGAAGATTGGAAGCTTCCCACTGCAGTTCCAAACGCCAATTCTCTCTTCAGCTCTTTGCTCTCTTTCCGGTTCGGATGCCCCTGGCTGAGTGCCGTCGCTGCGGTTCTTCCTCACCGCATCATTTCGCAGTCTTTGGGCCAGTCACTCTTTTGCCATTTTCTGCCCGTCTCTCGCTTCATTCACGCATTGCTTCACGAGTTGCTCGGTTGTCCTCGACTGCCAAAAAGCGCTACCTTATCTGCCTCTTTTGACGCACCCCACACGACACTGACCCCTTTTTGGATTTGGCCCAAGGTTCAGCTAACCTCCACCCAACGACGAACCCCGGGTAGTCTGCCGGGCTTGAGTCCGCAACCCGATCACGACCACGACCACGGGCATTACAGATCGAGATGGCCTGCATGTTGTAGTTGCTCCTGAGCGCTCTGGACCGAAAGAAGCGTGCTCGCAACCATATCAGTTGCGCCAAGGATCACGCAATGTAGGCCATTGGGATAATCGATTGTCAAAGTATCTTTACCCTGCTAACATCTTCTACGGTAATGTATTAGTTTAATCATAGTCCTGCAGTCGCCATGGTTTCATTCTTCGGTCTCAAATTCGGAGACAAGAAGAAGTGAGTTTCCCTCGGCGAGCCTCGCAACGGGGAAGCCAGACGGAGTGCTAATGTTACAGGAAATCGGATGCCAAACCCGCTCAAGGCAAGGAGCCGCACCAGTGGAAACGGATAGACCAGAATGCCTTGGGAGAAGGCCAGTTCTTCGGCCAGAACATCGGCAGGACTGGCGTCACCAATGGGAGCATACGTTCCGTGTCGCGCGCCGGCACGGCCCAGCCGGGCGCCATCAGATCCCCGTACTTCCATGATACCCACAACCTCGCCGCTGCTAGCATGTTCGACTTGAGTGTAGGACACGCTCGCACAGGCAGTCAAAGGAGCTTTCAGATCAAGCCTCACGCCTCGGATGTAAACCTGCGAACGCGGTTCGGCGCCATGAATGGCTCCTCGACGAGCCTGGCACTACCCAGGCCGGGATTTGGATCCAGACCAGGCACCCCCAACAGGGCCAAACCATGGGTCAATCCCTTGGATGTCCATTTCATGAGGCCTGCTACACCAGGCGGCCCGGCAACCCCAAGATCCCCACTTGCCCATTCTCCGATGCAACTCCCCCAGACACCTACCGAGACCGCGGAAACGGGGTCAGTGTTTGGTGAGGATGCCGACGAGATGGTAGATGCCATGATGGCCGCTGTCAAGAAGCGGGAGCAACAGGAGAAGGAAGCAAAGGAGAGGGAGAAGGAGCTGGAGAAGCAGAGGGAAACAGCCAGGTTAGAACTGGAAAGGCTAGAGAGGCAGAAGTCGAGCGAGAGTATCCTGGCAAAGAAGCCCCAGCTTCAAGAGCGGCAAACAGAGCTGCGGCAAAAGCCTCTCGGCGGACCGGATGCGGAGAGGCCCGTGTCTGGAGGCAAGCTTGATCGGAGACCTGGCAGCCGCAACGGGCCGGGCGGGACGAATGGTCCGATTAGCCAAGCACGGTCTCCTGCTCTCCACCAAGGCCCCCCTCCAACAGGACCTCCTACACAATGTCTTCCTCAGCCTCCAGGTCAGGGAGCACCGCGTCTAGGACCTCTCGATGCCCACACAGACTCCCACAGTGCGCGCAGCCCTGTAACGGTTGAAACGGACCTAACGGACCTCGGACCGGAACCGGGGCCTGTTGTCCGATTGAACAGCTGCAACCCTCAGGTTTGCCGACCTTATCGTCCTCCTGGCTATGGAGAGCCTGAAGGTCGTCCCAGTGGTATAGATCCTCCTGCTGCTCTTGACACTGATGTCCAACGTGCCCCTTTTCGAGGCGCCGGTCCTCGTGATCCTAACCACCATGGCCCCGGGTCTGTCGAGATCCCTCCTCATGGCGTCCGGTCCCAGAGAGCGGTTGCTCTCCCCAGCGCTTTACCACGTGCCTTCGGTGCGGGTGAGGGCCGATCACAAAGCCCCAGACCCAACATCTCTGACTTGGCACGGAATAGGACACGGAGCCCCGCGCTTGGCGGTTCCGATTCCGATGGGTATCCCTCTTCCGGCTTCAGCCCGGATCCCAAACCTTCTGCCAGCGGGCGAGACACACCAGCCCCAGACCAGCAGAAAATGGAGTTTCTCATCTCCACTCTGGCATCCCCTTCTGGCTCAGTGTCGAGATCGTCGATCGATGAGGAGCCAATGGAGTTTGCGCGGCCCATCATACGGGACGTTGCTGCTAAGCGCGATACATTACTCACTTTGAATGCGCCTCGACAACAACATAGCCTGTCAATGAGAATCGACGAGCTGGAGAAGACGCTCACCAGACAACAAGCACACACTGCGCAGGTGGAGACCATCGATAGAGCTAGCACCAGCAGCAGCCTCTATAGCGACGGCGTCGGGGACGACGAAGAGGATGATGACGGACCGATACTCTCGATTCAGCCAGCGCCGCTCCGCATCCCCCCTAGTCTCGCACCTGCACAGGCAGCTCGACCGCAGAGCCCCATGATGGGCCCACCCCGGCGCGGAGTCGGACCCGTCCCACGGCGCCCGGCATTAGAGGAGTATGGAATCCCGGCTCGTCAACTTGCTTCCAAACCACGTGGTGGTACGCCAGTTCCGGCTTCGGCCAGCAGTAGCGTAGACAACTACGGCTCCCCGCCTACTCGCTCCAATACGCCTCAGTTCCGTCATCCTAACTGGCAGCGCGAGGCGACCCAACTGAGTCCTGCTTCGACGCTCGACACTGCTGACCGACCTCGTCCCAGCCCCGTCGTGGACACCGGTTTTAACTTTGACTTTGGCCCGGGCGTTGCCGGCCCGCCCACTCCGGACTCAACCTCATGGCCGTTATCCTCGCCGACAATCGAGATGAACCCAACGGCCGCCCTGCCCCCCTCTGACCCGCCGCAACCACAGAGCCCGGGACCTGTCCAGGGGAAGTTTACCCGGTCCAAGGTCCCACCTCCGCTTAATCTCAAGTTCAACTTCTCTCCGGATGCGCCGTCACGGGATGGGGCTTCGGCCATGTGGACACCACCGCTGCGGTCAGCTCCCGTCGGGGCGTCGGCGTTTGACACGCGGCCGGCGACATCGGCTGGCCCCGGTCCGTCTAGGCTGGCTGCTTCGCCTCGGCTGGTCTCACAGTTCCCGGGGCCCGTACCGAGGGATGACGATCCTGCCGCTGTCATGGGCATTGGAATGGCCCGGGGCCCCAGTATCCGTGAGGTACGCAGGCCGGGCACTGCGAACGGCAGGGGGATGGTCGACGCTTTTGGGCATGAGTTTATCTGAAGATCGTATGCGACGGGGCCGCAATGTTGCTAGAGGATCTTTTGGACTATTGTCGGATTTCGAGATGAACTACTGTGTATAAGCTCTCCTTGTTGATGTTCCAGGCATATCTGCCCTGATCTATCCTATGAAGGATTTGGATCGGCTTCACGAAACTGTCTAGGAATTGAGCAAGCAGGCTTGTTGAATGGAAAAGGAGCAGTCAGATATCGAGGGAATCACCACGGGCTGGTCTCCGGTTTACATGATGACACAAGACTTGGAACATCGTTCTGCATGGGGTTCCGACAGTTGATAGCAATCAGATTCTTGTATCTGACGCGAGAATAGAGTAACCAAACGCCATGCTATCGTACGCTAGAAAGAACATCCCACATGGCTTTAAACCTGCCTGCCAACAAACGCCCTGATATGGCCTGGCGTATTCTATGCACTACTATTTACAAGACAGCAACACGAGACTGCCCCACAACCCTCGATTTACCCTCAAAGGCCATCTATGCAACTAACTAAACCGCTTGCCTACCTAGCCACATAAAGGGGCAGCCAAGGTACTACTAGTACTACCCAAGAAAATTCCTAACGGTCCCCCCAACATTATCAACATCAAGCAGGAACGTGTCGTGGCCGAACAGGCTCTGCTCCTCGCTCAGCTCGAGGTGGGTCACCTTTTCGTTGCCCGCCCGGCGCAGCGCCTCGGCTACCTCGCGCTGCTGCCACGCGGGGAACAAAATGTCGCTTGCCACACCCATGACCAGCACCGGGTGCTCGCGCAGGGGGGCGAGGCCTGCTACCAGGTCCGTGGGCGGGTGTGAGCCTTGTTGTTGTTGTGCTGCCGCGTTGTGCAGTGCGTTGGAGGAGGAGGGGGCGTCGTGGTGGAGTGCAGAGGAGGAGCTGTCGGGCTGTTCTTGGTAGGGTTTATCCGGCAGGGTGAGGTTGCATGATGCGGCGTTTGTTGGACTGCTGCTGCTGCTGCTGCTGGTGGCAGTGGTAGTGCCTTGAGCGAGCCTGACCGCGCGGCGGGCGGCTGTGGCGCGCTGGTTCTCCTGGCCGAGGTCAAAGAGGTCCATTGCCTTGCTGACGTAGATGAGCGAGTTTGGGTCGTAGGTGAGGCAGAACTTTTCGCCGGCGTGGTCGAGGTAGGTTTCGACGAGGAAGTCGGCGCATAAGGCGGGGGGTTTTGCGGCGTCGGCGCGCCGCCGCCCAAAGCGCTGCTCCCATTCGGGCCCGGAGCGGTACGTGATGGTGGCGATCTCGCGCGCGAGCTTCATGCCTGTGTGGGGGGGCACGCGGCCGTAGTAGAACCCCCGGTTCCAGTTGGGATCGTTGAGGATGGCGCGCCGCTGCACGTAGCGCATAGCGATGCTGTACGGGTGGCTGCGCGCGCAGGCGCTGATGGACACGATGCGCCCCACGCGCGATGGGAATTGTACGCCTGCGGCGAGGGACTGCATCCCGCCCATGCTGGAGCCGACGCTGGCGTAGAGCTTGTCGACGCCGAGGTGGTCGAGCAGGCGAAACTGGGCGCGCACCATGTCTTGGATGGTAAGGATGGGGAAGCGGGTCGCGTACCGCTTGCCGTCGGACGGGTCAATGCTGGAGGGCCCCGTCGAGCCATAACAGCCGCCGATGATGTTGGTGCAGATTATGTGGTATTTGTTAGTGTCGAGGGCGAGCCCTGGTCCGATGAACTTCTCCCACCAGCCGGGCTGGGGGTTTTCGGGGGTCGAGTGGGCGTGTGACGAGGCCGAAAGGCCGGTGTGGAGCAGGATCACGTTGGAGCGGGTTGAGTTCATCTGGCCCCATGTTTCGTAGGCGACGTCGAACTCTGGCAGCATGCCACCGTGGTCGAGCAGGAGCGGCTCGTCGCAGTGGAATATTTGAGTTGCGCCAACCGTGTACGACGGTTCCGGGCCGCTCTGGTCAGACCGGGTCGAGGCGGCTTGTCTCTGCAATGTCTCGGAGCGGCTTTCGAGGGCATCAATGCATGGGAACTCGATGGCCGGGTTTGAGGGAGCATCACTACGGCGAGCGGGCTGGTTGTGTAGGTATCGGCGGGTCCTACATGGCTGGGCTGTGGCCTGCCGGCGCAGGTTGGATCCCGGTACCATGGATGTGGGAACGGGAGTAACCGCTGCTGCGGTTGGCAGTAGCCGGGCGTTTGAAGTCGTTGGGCCATGGCTGTAGAAGCGTTTTGAGGCGGCTGGAACATGTCGCAAGCTCGACAGCAATACCCGGCCTCGAGGCTCCATGTCGAATTCTAGTCCAAGAGTGTGCCAATTGTGTGAGACAGTGAAGAATTGAAAGAGTTCCAAGAGCTCAGGGTGTCCGGCAGCCGTTGCCGGCGCCGTCGATGTATTGTATAACACTTGAATTTCCAATCCCGCAGTCGGAGGTGGAATTCGTCATTTCACGTGCGTCTTGGCATTAATAATGCGTAGCGTCGCATTGCGCGCAACAGGTGGGGCAGCAGGACCCTGCGCCTTAGGTAAACATAGTGGGGCTAAGCCAGCTTGGCCACTTGCTGGGGTGATGTCACTGCACCATCTGACGTGGAAGGAACGTCCATCGTGTCTATGTACATACTGGCACATCTCTAGGCAAGCAGGCTCTGCAGGCACTTCTAGACGGCTGCCTAACTGACTGCTTCCTACTTCAGACTAAGGGCGTCTATACTAAATTAAATAGAGATATTGAGCCAACGCTTTCCAGTTTCCAATCCATACCTGCCAGTCTCCTCTCCTCGACCGTTCAATTTGTTCTATCTTTGCGAATGTCATCCTGGCTAAGCTAACTTCGTACCATCATGAGCGCCGCCGAGAGCAGTACAGATACTACTAAAGAAGATGTTCCAACAGAAAATGCTCCATACGAGCCCACCATCGTTGATGTCCTGGTGGTCAAAGCAATGCTGAACAAGGCCCTGAGCCCACCGCAGGAGATTATCGACAGAATCGTTGACTTGGCCGAGTACTGGCCGCATACTACATCGGAATGGACCTCACAACAAGGAGAAGATCCCCCGCCGACAACTCTAGCGTGGGGTAGAGGACAAGAGAATGTTTTCGTGGTAAGACCCTTACTCTCTAGCCCTCACCCCTTATTCTCCTCTATCTAACACCTTGGGTTGCCTGTTCTCGCCACAGCTCCGTGCTCCACCTCTTGGTCTCCCTACCTGGAGACGCTCTCCCTCCATACCCGGCGGTCAACCCGAGAGAAAGACGCCAAAACTGCAACCAGCCGGCGAAGAGTTCCCGTCTGAGGTCTTCCAGCGTCTCACCAAGATGCCGATGCCAATGCTCGTCCACCCTTGCCGCCGGATCGTCTTCACCATCCGGAGCAGGGATCAAGGGTGGGGAGGCGAACCAGACACACAGGGCACGTACAACTCCTCGTGGACCTGGTTCGAGGCCGGACTGGAGCGATGGTGCAAAACAAGTACATCAGAAACCGACACGTCCACCGGGCAGCAGTCGGAGCAACCCTCGTTGATGGTGGACGATCTGTCCACCGTGTTACCACCAGTCAGGTGGGACGAGACCAGACGGCAGCACGTCTTCGATCACCCGCTTCTTCCACGAGAAGACCTGAAGATCCAGTGCAACGAGGTCGCGACGAACGAAATCCAAGAGCATCGCGTCGTGTGGTCCTACAACGACGATATTGACCCGGATCGCGACACCGTGGCGGCGGCCCGGCTCGAGGAAAGTGGGCGTGGCACTGCTACGGGGACTGGCAAGTTTGTGCGTGACCTAAAACTTGGTGACGTGGTTACTGTATGGTCCAAAGCGCGTTTTGCGGGATGGCAGAACCATGTCTCATCGGTCAAGGTAAAGGTTTATTACGCTGTCTAGTATCAGGGGCGAGCGGGCCAGTTTTGCGAAGCCTTTTATTCCAGTAAAGCGAGAATGCGGGAACGAGTGTCGCCACTCAAAGTATTTCAGGGGTTATGAGTGCAGCTATGCGTGCGTTGGGCGTGGCGAAGGAGTCTTCGCTGAACGGCCCCTACGTATTGGAATTGTGGACGAGGGAGCCCAGTTCGTGGTGAGTCCCCAGGTGACCTCAACCAGTGTGCGATAGATGAGGTATTGTATATACACCGCAGCCTAGGGACAAAGAGTTCGGTAGATCTGATGGTCTAGACACGAAAAGAGTAAGGCGCATCGTCCAATGTTAGATCTGCGTCATACCTTTAAGTCCACCGGCCTTGTTAGGTGGACACGTTTTGATGCTTCCACATCGGATGAACCAGCCCATCATCCCCAGCTGCCCCCAGAGCCGCCTCATGGCACGTTGCGGTATCCGTTGCGGTATCCGTTGATATTCGAGTCGGCATAAGAATAGCAACTAATAATGGTTATCGCTCCGGCCAGTCATGGACCGCATCCTTGTGATATAAAGCCAGCCGTCGGAGATTCTACCGCTCGCACGCGGCAGCCCTTTGATCAAAAGCTTTGAGCAGCCTCGGCATTACACCATCGGCTGGTGAATCCTATATCACCGGGCTGTATTCTACCAGGGTCGTTCCCGTGTTTGCATGGCCGGGCCGGCAATTGGTTCTCGGCTTTTCCATGAGCATAGCTGCCAAGATGATTTAAAAGGCTAGAACCTCATGTCAGTGAGCACCGCGGATGAGTGTGTAATTACGGAGGTACCTTCTTTCCGGGCCGGCATTGATCCCGTCGAGGAAGCCTGCGGGCTTGACGTTGGGTCTTGCTCGAGAGAGATATTAGGAGCCCCCTGTAGGAGAAGGCATCGGGGAGTTTCTTTGTGAGACGGTTATGTATTATATTCGACGATGCTTGAATCCGGTAGCACATTTGAAGCCCCTTATTTTACATATGCCCAACACCGACATCGAGAGAGGGTTCTTCCATCTTAGCTACATCCTGTGGCCAGCCAAGTCGGATGGAAATTAAGGAAACAACCGGTGCAAAACGACGTTCCAAAAGCCTAACAGATCTCGCCACAGGCGAACACGATCCCGTTCATCCTGTTCATTCAACATCACTTCCGTCTTCGTCCCTCTTTAATGCCCCCTTCCTCCTCAAGCTGCGCATGGGATTACCCCCGCAAGTTGTCCCAGTGATTGATGATACCCACCACGATCCCCAAGACAAGCGGACAAGCGAAGTTGGGTCTAATGCTCTAGGCCATTCTTGTACATGTACAAGTAGCCTCATCTATTACAAGCAGGATTCCTTTCTCCCCCCCTCGCACCCCCTACCTTAGGTACTCAAATTCATGCATGCATGCCTCCCTATGCCACCACCACCTCATGATGATCCAAGTAGCCAGCCATATGCCGAGAAGACTCACCACCACCACCAGCAGACCTTGTGTGACACCCGGGCTTCAAAAGAACAAAGTAGACAAGGTAGGTATATAAGACCAGCCCCGACCCGACCAAGAATGTTTCGAGAGAACGCTCAAGTCAATAAACCCAAGATAGTCAAGACACGCTCAGCCCACGCTTGAAAAAACAAACACCCAGTTCCAGTTCAGCAAAGCTTGAGTATGGAGGGAGACAGGTGGAAAAGAACCACAAACAAGGCAGACCACAGCCATACCTATCTAGACAAAACCCGGCCCCAAGACCGCAACTCACCTCCCGAACCATACTCTTTCTCTCAGTCTCATGTGATGCTCCAAGCAACGAATTCACAGATAAAGTCTTGCTTTCCTTTTTTTATTCTTTTTCTTTTTTGTTTATGCTCGCTCCTCCTGTCCTTCAAGCATATAGTAATAGTAATAGTAGTATAGTCCCGTTGGTATCCCGTTCTATAAGTCCATGATGCGCAAACAAAACAGGAAAATAACATACGGGAGTGTATATACGGGAAAAAGGCGGACGGCGATAGAAACATATGAACAATAAACCATCCCCTCCTTTCCCCCCATACACGTGGTGCGGCAATCATGTCGTGATCAACAAAGGCCGCTCTGCTCTACCTTGATGCTTGCTGGTTGTTCCCATTCGCCTGCCAGGCCCGGCGCCGTACCACCCAATGCTGAAATGCTCCTCATCCTGCTGCCCGGGAACGCCGCCCGCCCGCCCGTTGTCCCGCACACACCCATTCGTCTGTTACGCTCATTGCAGCAGCATGTTCACGGGCGCCTACTAGCGTTTCGCATCGTTGTGATCTTGACCATGTCCGTAGCCGCTGGCGTGTACGGTCATCAGATCAAGAGAAACGTGGGGAGGGATGGGGACGAAAAGCTTCTTCAACAGCGAACCCCCCCACTTCTTCCTCCCCTAAGTTTGACCACTTTCAAGCAATGGCCGAATGGCGACAGGCCCAAGACGCGGCGAGTTGACCGTGCAAAGATGCAAACAGATCGTACACGTCGTCAACCTCCAGGTTGTTTCGGAAGGGAAAGGAGCTGTAGATCTGCATCTGATGCTAGAGGTACGACTGCGCAGATGGCGAGAATCCTGAACCAGCTGTCCAATCATAGAGCCTTCGAACTTCGGATGAGACCAAACCGTGGAACAAATATCCAAGAAAGCCGTGGCTTGCCCAACTGTGACTGATAGTTGGATGCTCCAACCGCCACGGCAAGGCTCGGTCTCAGTTGATAGTGTGAAGCTCGCCGTTCTGCCGCTGCCCACTGACCCCGGGCGTGCCTTGCTCAACCTCCCTTGCGGTCAGCCTCGTTCTTGGGCAACTGCTCGCTCTGGGAGAAACCGTTGGAGGCATGCTTCAAGTCGGCGACACCCTTCTTGCGTGGCTTTGATTTTTGCCATCCGCTGCTGAAACTCTCCGTCTGGCTCTTGGCAGCACGGACATGCCCGTTTTCCCTGATGAGACCGTTGATTCTCTGGTCCTGAACAGGGGACCGGCTTATGGCATCGTGTTGTCTTACCGACGGCCCCGTCGGGGGCGGCTTAATGCCCCCTGACTTCTGCACTGCTTTTGAAGGATCCGTACGATAGTCTTTGGTCGAACCAAGCCTCGTTGGTGACTGGCCACCGGTGGGCGATTCAATTTTCCGGACCATTGTGGGGGACGGCGTGCGGTTCTCATAGACCGGAGAGAGATGCGGCATGTCTTGGTGGACTGCATAATCCCCAGTAGCAAGGTCCAGGGGGGCTAACTGACGGGTATGAAGTCGGGAGAGCCCAGTCATAGCGCTGGGATCGCCCAGGACTGCCGAGTACGGGAAGTGAAACCCGGCCCCCATCGCTACGCGCTGCTGGAATGACGCCTCAAACATATTCGACATCCCGGACGGGGAGCGGTTCGTCGATGATCCATTCACAATGACCGGCCGATCCAAAGCCGCGGGGGCGGCTGGTTCCGCACCGCTGGACGGATTGGGAAAGTGATGGTCTGACCACGAACTGCTGGGACTCAATCCCTGATGGATGTGCAACGGGTTGTCATGGTGCACCTCGTCCAGTGCCGGGGCCTCTGCAGCCGGGGGCACGCGACTGCATCCCGGAGTCGAGCTCGATTTAGAGACTGTCCCATTAACCACGAGAGGCTTCGAAGATGAGTTCCCGTTGGCCTGAGGGAAAGGAGCAGATGGCAGCGGTGCAGAATTAACCCCGACCGAGAACGCCCTAGCATGTCCCATGGGCGATGGGGACCGCGACGTCCTCCTCATCCTTCGATCAAGGACAGACTGAGGAAGCTGATCGGTTGACAGCCGCCGGCGGCCCTCAGTTCTGAGGCTGAGGTCGCCAAAGGCTAGACTAGCGTTTGGAAGGCCATTCGCTTGCCGGCTAGGGTTTGTTTGGTCGTTTACATAGTACCCTATGTAGCGAGGCCCATCGTCTTCAGGCGGTGGCGAGTCCGATAGAACCTTTGATGACCCATCATCGTACTCGCCATCGGTTGCCTCGTCGGGGATAAAGCTGGGGATAGGCATCCCATTGATGTGCCGTGACTGCAAGGGAACCGTCCCGTTTTGACCCTGACTGGACGTTGAGTGGCTAACCGACGATTGCGAGGTTGACATCGAGGTTCTTGAGGCGGGCTGCGATTGCGACCTAAGCGTACCGCTGCCTGATGAGACCGCAGAGTCACTCGCCGCGGCATTTCGATGAAGGCTCCTACGGAACTCGGGTTGCCCACTAGCACCCGCCGACACTGATGCTGGAGATGAAGGGTAAGTGGTAAACCCGGGGGGGAAATACGGGCTTTGCTGGATCGGGAAACCAAAACCGTACATCAACTCCGGCCTTATGGGAGCCGATAGCGGCGGGTTGTCAAACGAGTTGGTCCGAGACCTGTCGGTTGCCGATCCGGTCTGTATCCGTTGAGCATGTGCAAGCGCTGGATGCTGGCTGAACTGCGGAGCGTACAGCTGAAACCGAATGCTCTGGTCCTGTGCGGCTACAGCGATCAGTTCTTGAGGCAGAAGATTCTGGTACCACAAGACATCCCCCGGACTTAGAGTGGTAGGCATTCCAGCCTGCGCAAACGCCGGGTTTGTCTCGTACGGGACGCTAGACGATGCGCGACGGCTCGCATTCCCGTTCCGGTGGAACTGGCGGGGTCCTCGGAACCCTGCGCGCCCACCACGACCCCCATTCTGGTGTGAAGAACTCCTCAGCAGGATTGGCCTTGGGACGGCTGCCGGCTTCTGCCATATCCTCTCCTCCTCTTTTGGGAACACGTACTGCTCACAGCACTCCTCAAACTTTCCCTCTGCGATCAAGTCAAAAGCCCTCCTCAGCTCCATATGGAGTCCGCGAAATGATGTGTCGTCAGCGGTGTTCCCGAGGTTACGCATCGTGTTGAATGGCTCTTCGATGCAGAGCATGTTATTCGAACCAATGTGCCATTTCTTCTCCGTCTTGGTAAGCAGCCTCCCGAGGCGTATTGATAATGCGTACTTGTCATAGTCGAACTCGTGGGCGTAGAAGCGGAAAAACTGGAAGAGGAGGGCTGCGAGACTGTCCTTGTTCTTTGCGCCGAAACCACGTAGCTTCGGAATGTCATCAGCAAATTCACTGAGTGTACCGTCTTTCTTTGGCTGCTTAAGATTATGCCGCTGGTGTAGAGCGGGAAGCACTGGAGGTTCCCGTAGTTGCAAGAATGCAATGATCATGCAGATCCAGGTGTAAGAACTCAGCGTTCCACCAAAGGCTGCGTGAGAGGTGTGAGAAAGATATTGCTGTCACTGTGGAGTAATTGGAGCGGCTGACCTGCATCATTGACAATTCTCCTCCGTGTCCAGTACTTCACGATCATGGCAAGGGGACGCACTCGCTCGTCAATACTAACATAAGTCCGCACCATCCGAGTATTTTCTAATGCCAACGTGTTGTTGACATTCATGTCGCAAGCAAGCTGCAGCTCCGGGTCCCAAATCTTGACGATGGGCACCTTTGCGGACGAGACGCAAACCACCCTTTCCATTCCATCTACGAAAAAGTATGTCAGCTTCTCCCGCGTGCAAGTCAAGGTGTTGGCCTCCTTACGTCTGTGAAGAAGGTCAGCAATCAAGCAGACACTCTCCAACTCCTTCCAGGGCGTCGTGATACAAATATCCACTGTAAATATGATCAGGACACCGGTATCGTAGACAATGCGGGATAGGAGTTCTTACCATCCGAATCATCAGAACATAATAAGTTGCCGGAAGAACCAAAGAGATGAACCCGAATATCATGCCCAGGCCACTCATCGTTGAATAACTTTTCCAACTTGTTGACTAGCCTCCGTCGGTTTGCCTCGATGGCTTCTGTCGGTAATAACCCGTCGTATAACTTCCGCATATCCGCTTCAAGCTTCCTCTCTTCTTCTTCCGACAACTTGCTCTTGATTTTTTCTGATTCCACTTTTTCTAGCCTGTCTGTCCCAAGGCTGTATGGCATTCGGCGTCGAGAATGGGGAACCGCAGTCTCGAAGCGGCAGCCTCCAAGTCTGGGAGGAAGCGGGCGGAGAGAGGGAACACTACCATTTGTCTCGGAGTAGGCAGAACGCGGGGAGTGATTCTGCGTGGCGCCTGGTGACGGCTCTCTGGACTCGAAAGAAAACTTCCGGGCGTGCTGATGAGGGGTCGACGGCACAGAGCTCGACTGAGTAGAATGGTGTGGCGCATTTTGGTTGGATGATGGCGGTAACCTCGTGGGCGTACCGTTGACGGCCGTTTGCTCGTTTGCCTTCTTGCCCGACATCTTGGATGACGGTTCTTTCCCCGGTTTTATATGCGCGCGTTCGGCGATGTCTGAAGGCTTTGCCGCTCTGTTCCCATGACAGCTTTGCGTACCAGGCTTCGTCTGAATGTTGTCCTTGTTCGACACCTTGGAAGATGACCTCGACCTACCGGAGGATTTCGTCTGAGGCGAGGAATGCGTAGGGGGAGCTGCTGGACTTTGCAATCCACCACCACCACCACCCCGCCCGGCCGAGACGAGCTTGTTGTACTGCAGAAGCTTGTCCTGGTAGATCTGTTGGGGGAAGAGGATAGGGAGCAGCTCCAGCTGCGGGGTGAAGTAATTTGGCGAAGCCTCGGGTAGCGAGGCTGGCTTGCCCCTTGGAGTGGTAGAGCTAGCAGGAGCGCCTGCCCAAGGGTGGGATTGGTAATGATGCTTGGATTCAGCCGTTGCAGGCTGACCGTCCATTAAGATGATATGGCCAATGTACGAAGCTGCAGTGGTACAGGACTGGTCGACCAACCAAGGGACAGCGCAGCGACGCGGTAAAACCCAGGGGTTAAGTAACCCGGAGAGTGAATACGCTGTGACACTTGGAACCACTGCGGCGTAGGATTGCGTTGGAATTCCTGGGATCGGGCTCTTGGCGAGAGAGCTTCCTGAGATTCGACCTGCGAGCTGAAGTCGAGGTTCAACCAAGAATCGTTGTCGCGGAGACGCACCCTAAAAGGCAAGGGATGCAGCTGGAGAGAAACGATCCTAAACGACCTCGAGAACTCCCAATTATGGGCGTCAACTAAACCAAGACGACTCGTGTGATGATACTCGATCCACAGTATGGTTCCAGAATGTCAGAGTGCAGCCTTGATGCTAACTTCAAAACCCAGGCTGATCCGATGGATTGAAAGTTCCTAACGCCCCGTCGATAGTCCAGTGCTAAGGTCGGTCAGCTTCGAGATGTAATGTCCGGAAAAGTGAATCGCCCAAGTAAATTGTGCGCGTCAGCTGGTCTCAGAGGTCGCGACCTGCTAAGGGCTATTCTATTCGCAGGCCGCCCGAGTCAGAAGCGTGCTGCTATTGACTTGATGGCAGTTCGAAGTTGCCCTCGAGCCGTGATTTGATGAATGCGATCGAGCACGACAAGACGAAGCCCAAAGAGCACGGGTTGGGATGGATTAAGGGAACGCGTGAGGTCGGCTAACGAACGCGGCACATCCGGAATGAGCCTTCGAACTATGAAACGCAGTACGGTGGAATCAAGACGCAGCTTGGAAAGGCCAGCGCGGAACGAAGTCGGATCGAACGCGTGAGGGTCGTGAGGGTCCTCGTATCGAAGCCGAGCGGCGGGCGTTCGTGGACGGCGGATCGAGAAATAGGATAGGAACTGGCGCCTTTTAAGGGAAATTGATGCTGGCCAGCGTCGAGCTGGGCGGTGCACCGGTAGTGAGGTTAAGATCGGCCGACAACCTAAGGGAAGTAAAGGCGAAAGGGGTGGAGAGGAGAAGGCGGATTACTGTCGAGATGGCATTTGGCCTTATTCCATTGAGATGCGGCCCTACGGCTACGGTCGATGCTGCATTCAAAGCGGGAGACCTGGGCTTCGGTTGCTTTGCAAGCAGGTGCCACACAAACCACTGGCAAGGGCCACTAACAAAAAGGAGAATCCAATATTACGCCAGGGCCACTCTCCTGTCATTGGCAGTTTGCAGGTGGCACCCGCCTTCCACGAGCCCACAATCACTCGTTCCCCCAAGTCCCGGGCAGCCAGTCAGGTGACGAGCCCCAGAAGAGAAACAGTCCCCGCCGTGCCCCCGAAGCCAAAAAGCACAGCAGATTGTCCAGGGGCACCGGTGACCCGCACGCAAGTTGCAGCAGTTTCCGGCAATGCCAGCAACGAAGAAGTGTCTCATTTCATGAGAAAGGGGTTCAAATAACAAATCCAAGCAAGGGTAACTTAGTTCGGTACCTGAGGCACATGCTCTACTCCCTACACCTCCTGCGACTCTCAGGGCGGCGCCGCCTTTGTTCATCAACCGCTTTCCCCAGCAAATGCCACACCTCATAGTCCCGTCTCAAGGTCTGGGCGGTTCAGGAATCATACCTTTGCGGAGGCACCACTTCCCACAATGGAGAAGTCTCCGATGGAAGCTCAGTTGAGTCTCCGAAAATGCCTACCTACAGTGCAGACTTCAGCGCAGTTGGGAAGGACAACCGAAAGGACCTTGAAGTCCATTGCCTTAACCACCAACCCAATTCTTCAAAGTGACTATGTGCTTTTAAGGGTAATCTAACCGACCGTTCCCTAACAGCAGAAAGCTAAAATAGCTTAAGGTACGAAGGTAAAATAGATGGGTTTACCGCGGCGTTTGGATACCTCGGACAATTTTGATAAAGGCTTCATCGCCTTCTCTCGAGCCACCATTTCTGTCTCGCGGTCCGGTTTCGTGTCTTGACGTCCTCTGAGTCGGTCACAATTCCAGTCCATCTCACAACACCAGATCTTGTTTCCCTGTTTCAGCTTTGTTCGGCGTCAAAAGACTCTTCAGCAGGTGAGAGCAATGTCGACATCCACCTGGCCGTCGTATATATTGTATGGTCACCCTAGCAGTACCCGAGATTTGAAGCCCAACTCTCGTGTAGGTTCCCAGATCCCAATTCCGGAATCAGTCATCAGCCCCATCCCCGGATTGGACAGATGTAACTACTCCGTATTTTACAGTCTACATTCGTAACACTGCAGAGTGCAGCTCGAACTTTTGGCGCCCACACAATGGAACGAACATGGAGGGGTCATACCTTCGTACAGCCACGGTGTTGCGCAAGTTCGATCGAAGCTAGGTATCATCGTAACTTGCACTCTGACAGAGACTCAAGTAAGCACTGCCTACATACAACCAGGCGTCCAGTGTCCGGTCAGAGTCGGGCGGCAGAGGTTGATCCGTTGTGACCCGGGGCATCCTCTCAGTTGGTCGCATCCATCGCACGTTGAAGCGATACTCGGTACTCCGTAGACCAGATTGAAATTGCCCGTCCCAAGAGCTGCAACATGGACAAGCTGGACCTCGATCCCGAGTGACTGCCTGCTCAGCGAACCATGAACCATCTAACGTTACTGCATGCTTCGATCTTGGCTGAATTACGAAGTACCTAGAGACGAACATTAGCTCATGGGTTTGATTCCCGGCTCGGAAGGCAACGGGCAGCCGGTATACCCGCCTTGTCGGGAAAGAACGCCTTCCTGTGCAGATTCCAAGAAAACCTGGTTCATCAGGGCAGAGGCTCATGCAACCCACCGAATCTGCAATCGATTACTTCGCCTCGGCCACGACGGCACGCACATGGTTTCTCCGTCCTCTGGAATATTCGCTTTTTGAACTCTCTCCACCCCCGCCCTTGGCCGGCGCGTCATGCCGCAAATTATTCGCAGGCTCCACACCCCGCAATTGCTCATACCGGCCCCGAACAAGCTCTTCAATTAGCCTAGATGACAGGACACTGTCTGTAAGTTCCCTAAGCCGCAATCGCAGTCCATACGGATATACTTCAAGTTCAATTAACGCAGCACCGCTCCGAATTGACGCTGTTTTCGGTACACTTCTAAATACCACCGTCATCTATTCCGAACCAACCTGCAAAGTGTCCCAGATCTATTTTCGTCTTGCTCTTGTCTGATTTCCTCCGCCAGACATCACTTAGCTCCGTCGTGGTGCCATCGCAGGCCGAGAGACGGATCGGCCCTCCATAGCCGCCCTGCGAGATTCCGCAGACGGAGAGAGTTGACAGGGCAGAGAAACCGCACAATGACAGCCATCTCAGATTGCCCCCAATGCAGCAGCCACAAGCGCCACATTTTGCGTGCGTCGAGATGCGGACAGCGGAAGCCGTCACCCCGTGGCTCAAAAAGCACATACCAGCTCGTCCAATACACTCTCTATGCTGCCTCTTCTAAATATTCCACTTTTCCGAAAACACCGTTAGGATCCTTGCAGCACTGCGCCAGACAACATGAGGTTTTGGCCTGCCGTCGATTCAGGTTACACAAACCCGTCATCCCTAGCCAAGATAAGGCTGACAATTTCTTCGTACCCCGCAATTGAGCCATCCAATAGGATGTCATTGCTTTCTCAATTGCAGCACGTGTGTTCAGGAACGGCTGGGCATGTTCGTCAGCCTCGCCAGAATGACAGGCTTGCTTCTAGGGGTTCAACTCAGGGGCTGCCAGCACAAGCAAAGGCCCGCGATGCTGCCTGTATCGAGGACAATACTCACTACATACCACGCTTACTACTATGTATTATTTGGCGTGTGCCCAGTTGTTTCATGATACTCTGTCTTGATTCCCAGTGCTCCAAGAGCTTCTGCCGTCTGCGCCCTCCATAAGAACGCTCCTCCGCCATTCTGAGTGCTGAACCATGTCAAACGTATAACCCCAGCATACCCTAGCATTATTCGAGTCACCGAGTCCGATTGCCAGATATTACCATCTGGAAGATGAAGTCTAGAATACCATAACATATCAGGAAAGCTATCAAAATGAATCAATATCCAAAATGCTGTCTAGCCTCGCCACGAAAACAGCCATCAGAAAAGTTGGCCTTCCAGGCGATGCACTTGATTTCTCATCATGGACCGGCTTCAATAACAGCAGCGGAAGTAAGACTTCAATAAAGACCAGCAAATTCTTCCCCTAAAGGGGTATCAGAAACAACCAAAGCTGACAACACAAACAATTCCTGGTCCGAATGGGATATCCCTCAAATCGCTTCCGCTGACCATCCAGCCTGGCTGTCGCCTAGCCTGCCTCCGAGCCATCTATGCCACGTGGGGCCTGGGGCTCGGCGGCGTGTGGAGGGGTTCAGGGGTAATCTTCACCACGACTAAGTAGTAAGGTAGACATGTGGCAAGGCACCTACCTCTTAAGTTCAACGTCCTGCTGGAAGGCCCTACAGGTTTATTTACTAGCAGCCCAGTGGGCGGCCTGCGGTCAGACAGTCAACCCCACGGACGCGGCCCGAAGCGGCGGGAACGGTAAGCAAGGGTAGGAAGCCGATTCGTACCACCAGGCCTCGGCTGTCATACAGTATCTGAGACAAACAGTGTCGTTATCCGGTACCTTGGAAGCCTATAGGATCTCGGCAATTTTAGGGCACGCAGTCAGAGATGGCCTTGGTCATGTAAACAAGCCCCTTCCCTATGTCATTTAAGCCCTTTGCTATCACCAGGGGGTACCTCTAGGGTTCCTAGCTGGGCACGCAAAGTTAGGTGGCCGTCTACCTTACATATTCGGTCATTAACGACGGCGGTACTCTCTGCGATGCGGCAGATTCTCCCCATCTCTTGCCATTCTCACGCTATCTCTGTCACGCGTGGATGCGCTACTGGGTAGGACCAGAATGCATCGTCTGTCAGTGATTATCCGATGTTCAGTCGCCAAAGCTCAATCCTGTCTGTCTCGCTCAGATTAGGTGCGGGTTGTCTTCGCCTCTTAGCCAGCAATGCTCTGTTGTAAACGACACCTTCGAGTATAGTGTGCTCCCTATGATACCTGGGGCTGTCGTTGCCAGTGGAGCGCCTGGGTTCGTCGTTGGAGTGCCTGTGCCTGGCATTGGAGCGCCTACGTCTGTCGTCGGAGCGCCTGTGGCTGTCATCGGAGTGCCTGGACCTGTCGTTCGAGCGCCTGTGTCTGTCGCTGAAGCTCCTATTCCACTCGGGCGTTGAAAATAGGCGTTCCGAGTTCCTGACTCCTGTCCGCCGACTCCGTCTCGGCAGCCCTGGTATGGTGAGACGCTGTCTGCGATCATGCGACCGTTGGATGTAGTCAACTTCAGGGCTGGAGTTTCTGGAACGAACCGGCCGACTGGGGTGGTCTAGGTATGAAGGTGGCCGATAATCATGACGTTCCGGCATTTCAGTGTTAGAATGGTAAGTTCCGTAGTTCTGAAGGTCCACTTCCGAGGAACGACTTCGCAATGTGGTGCCGCTGGGCTCATATCTCAGCTCCGAAGCCCCTATTTCATCCTCTTGACGAGACATGGGGCCGAAATTGGCATCCAATCACCCGTATCCAGCACCATGACCAACATAAGGGTCACCAAGGTCGTACCGCTCCCGGGGTAGAGGCACCTCTCCTCTCCTATAATATCCAGTGTCATAACGTCCGCTCCGAGTCCAGGAGGCTTCGGTGTCGGCATCGACAGGTGTGAAAGGGTTAGGTCTTGCCCAGTGGCTCATGACGACGCTGGCGTTAGAATCCAATGCTGTAGCTGATCTGCTCTTGTAACTTCGTGTCTCTTATGCTGATCCACGGTTGAGGACTGGTGGCACTAGGCGCAACAGAACGAAGAGCACTGCAGGTTAAGCACCAGATCACAGTCGAGAGGAGACGTGGCCCTGCTATTTTAAATGCAAAGGAGGCATGCGCAACACCAATTCTGGTGGAGTGGTCATGCTCACAGTTCAAATGTCAGGGACACGGCCAATCGAAGAACTCACGAGATTGCGGGTATGGCGTGCCGAGTATGGCAGTTCGATAAAGGCACCAAAGAACGAAATGCCATAGACGACGTCACGCAGCACACGCAGCAGTATTGCCTGTGATTTGAGGGTGACATCGGGACATGGTGTCTTTATGCTGACAGTGCGCTGTTGGGAGCTGGCTCACTTGAGCCAAGAGAAAACCCCTGAATCGGGGACACCATGCTGCCCCTCACTCGAGGTAAACAAAAGGCTTGGAACTCACAATGTGTTGTACATACCTGACCGCCAGTGTAGTCTCTCCCATTCACCTACCACATGCCCAAATCTTGTAGCTCCTAATCCCAGCAAATAAGAAGGGAAAGAATGACAAGAGTTATATTAGGGGTTAACTTGGTAGGTACTGTGTAAGTGATGTGGAGAGTCAAGCAGTAACCTTGTATGCCGTGAAGTGTCTTGACAGGAAATCGAAATGAAAAACGCCCCCAAGAGATGACCCGGCTGATTCCCACCACCCTTTGCAGTAAGAAAAGACATGATAGGTATCCCCGACACCTCAAAAGCCCACAGAAAGTAAGGAAATAGGACAAATCCCGCCGCTCAGACACCTCCCCTTTATCCCGTTCCTTGCCATGGTAAAATGCCAGCTCCCACTTTCGCCTTTGACACCGAAAGACCACAAGTTTTGAATCCCTCTTGCCCATTCCTTGTCGTTCCTATATACGATGTGTTTTTGTGTGTATGCGTGCGGCAGGTGCGAGGACTCCAAACGAATGCGGATCGTGCAGGTTGGTGTTGCGGTTCGTTGTTGTGTAGATCGGGCCTGACAGCGAGCGACAGACGACGGCAACTAACACGGGCGAGCAAGCTTCATTCCGCTCATTGCTCCCAGCTCTTGATCCTGGGACCTTTATCCTCCCGCCCATCATCCCTTTTGCGCCGATCTGCTTGCCCAAATACCGCCCATATACCACCCGAGAACCAACGTCGAACACTTCCTGATGGTGGAACTGCAAGTCCCTTGCGTCGCGGTCAAGCAACAAGCGCAGCCCAGCCCCATCCCGAGTCGTCCCTTTAAGTGAACATCTCGCCGCCCGGAAGAACGCAAATAAAGAATACTAAACGAACGATGTGCAAACGACTTCTCAACAAAGTCAGCCTGTGTGCCGTACCCGCTATTGCTTGGTCTTGCCATGTCGTCGACCTCTTTGCTCAGGGAAATAAGAGGAGGCAATCCGGCGCGACGGGGTCCTTTTTTCGGATTCGAAGTAAAGGTCGAGGATGCAGGTGCCGAGGATCGCTGAATGTTGATGCAGGAACCGCGAAAAGAAACAACAAGAAAAAAGGGAAAAAATCGAGTGTGTGGAAGGGCGAGGGAAGAAAACCAAAAACAAACAAATACGCTCCCAAGCCCAAACTCTTGCTCCCAATCTCCCCCCTTTTGTGTAAGCATGCACGACCAGGACTCACGCGCCCACCCTTCGCCTTCCCTAGCCCTTCCAAAAGAATATGCCTTCTCGCCCCGTTCCCGAAAACGATAACAGAACACCGTGTCTCAGTTTTAATCCTGGTCCCACCCTAATGTGTCTTCCAACCTTTCTCGTCTCCCACCATCCGTGTAAATCAAAACAAACCCAGACTCCAAGTTCAGAAAAGCTACCATGTGTTGGCGGTATCAATCGCACAAAGAAATGACACCGTGCATATTGCACAGTCTTCGACAACCAAAGATGCCTTAGCCCCAGACACTAGCTTGGACACCAAGACCAGGCTTGCTGCCCCAGCCGTTCGGACGGGATCCCCAGCCAGAAAGACCAATGTTTGGTCCCTCAGAGGCTGCCGAGGAGGAAGCATTGGCCGGAGCGGTGCTGCCAGACGCAGAAGTCTCATCGTTCCCCGAGGCAGTGTAGCCCTGGCTCAGCGGCGATGGCAGCGGGGTGGTGGAACGCTTGTTCAAGGCCGGGTTCGTCGGGGCGTTGGACACAGACGGACGGGTGCCAATGGGCGCGACCGAGCCCTGACCTGGCTTGCTGCCCGGAGCACCCTGGCGCGGCGGAGACCCTCCGGGGGATGAGGCGCTAGTGCGGCTCGACTGCTGGGCAGCCGGAGCGTCAAAGACGCCCTTTCCGGCGGGCGGATTTGACTGCGGGCTCGAGTTGCTGTTCGCTCGCGACCTCTCGTTGGGTCCGGCAGACTGCGATCCCTGTCCGCCTTCAACAGGAGGCTGAGGGCCGACGTCGGTATGGATCGGGGGCACGCGGCTGTAGTCGTATGTCATGGGGGAGTGGCCGCGCAGAGCAGCCGGTCCGCCTTGGGGGGCAGGGAGGCCGCCTCGCGGTGCACCCGTCTCGTCAACGTAACCGCCACTTTCGGCATACGAACCGTCGCCATACAGGGCACTACGCTGCTGGGCAATGAGCTTCCGGCGGTCTTCCTCGGACAGGCTGCCGGGGCTTATGGTGCGGTCCGGCTTGTTGCCGCCATACGACGAGATTTCGGCGAGAACAGCTAGGAGAAGTCAAGTTAGCCCAGGTCCTGACTTTGCGTCTCTTTATCTCGGGAGCTAGCAGCCATATAGAGATATCGCCAATCTTCACAGAGTTCAGGAAGCACATGACCATTTGGCGTTGAACCGCACTTGTGGTGCAAAAGAATTGAGAACAGAAGCGGTTGAGCTCTATGGGCGCCAAAAAAGCTTCTCTATGATTCCTGTTTCTTGTTCTTTTTGGTCTGCTGTGATAGGAAGACTGATGCTATACAGAAGAGGGCGGCCTACTTCGGTTGTATTGCTGCTCTTGATGATAGTTCCGAAGCTCTCGCTCCCGCTGGGCGGCCATTCTCCTCTTGGCCTGCATCATTTGTTCCGCCTCGTTTGAGCCGCGCGAGGTTTGGTGTCGCTGGGAGGCGTAGAAGTTCTGGAGGTTGGAGCCCGGATGGGGGCCGCCGCGTGCATCACCATAGTCGGCCATCGAGTGAGGCCGGGAACCCGGGCCTGCCGGTGGGCGTCCGTCTACCGAGAAAGGGTCAGTGGGGCGGGCTCGTAGAGGTCGGCCCGGCCAGTCCCGCGCATACTTACCAAAGGCTGGGTACATTCTGGCGGGGCCGGGATAAGGTAGAGACTCACGGCGGCCTCCGATGGCTCCAAACATCTTCCCGCTTTTAAGGAGGTTGTCGATGGCTCTGTCGACCTCTGGGAACCATAAGCAGTCAGTATGCGATTGTCCCACTCCGCTGCGCCCAGACGCCGCGCTGTCAAGCTTCCAAATCTTGTGTTCAGAGCAGGCGGGACTGATTATGCGCGCCATAGCCAAGATCGGCAGGATCCTCAAGGACGATACATACCCTCGAGCTGATGCGTAAAGGCCGCAGGCTCTTCGCGGGGGATGGTGGAGCTAGCACCTGTGGTCAGGTTGGAACGATTAGCGGATGGAGGCGCCCAACGGTTGAGGACAGAGTGTAAGCGGAAAAGAAGGACGAACCAGAGCGTGCCGGCGGAGGAGTCTGGTGATCCCAGCCGGACTGCCCAGTAGGAGGCCATTGCGAAGGCTCGTAGTATCCCGACATGTTGGCGAGGGTGTGTTGATGGCGTGCAGACCGGAAGGGCAAGGCCGCAGCGACGTGTCGGCGAAGGGTATGGAGAATCTGTGACGATTTCCGATTCAAAGTCGACTCTGGCTGCTGTCTATGTCAGCATATGTAAAAATTCAACGCTGGCGGCGGATGGTGCGCATGAGCGGCGCGACATGTGTCAGGCACAATTGCCGGAGCTGGTGCTGTTCGAGAGCTGGGTTGGCCAAATGCACGGGAAAGTTGAGGCGCGCAAAAGGAGGTGGTTTGCTTTGCTGGCCGCCAGTGGCGCACGAGCAGGGGAGACAAGAAAAATTACTATGTCCTTTGCACTGTCCTTTCGAGTTTGCACTATTTCCCCCAATTAAAGTGTTTGCAACATTCACGTCGTGCTTACCTGAAAGTCGACTCTGCCTTCTGCTGAAAGCGCCCGGTCTGATCCAGGACTGATTGGCGAAAACGACCCCGAGGAGGAGGGAAAAAGGGGGAAGCGAGAAAAAAAGAGAGAGGAGGAATCTCGGCACGTACCCTGACGCGCAGGCAGTTTTTTTAGTCGCGAGCTGAGAGTGGAGGGTTGCTCCAGGAAGGAAAAGACCGGGGAGATGGAGGTTCTTAGGCCCGGCGCAAAGGGCAGAACGTGGGCCGATCTTGCTTGACGTGGTGACGGGAAGTGCCTCTTGCAGCCAGGGTGCAGTCCCCTTTTTGGTTCGCGGGCAGGTGTGCATGGGAGGGGCAGCGGGCAAGCACAGTCCACGGAGCAGGGCCGAACTGCACGGAGCACCCTCACCTCAGGGACTGCGTGCTGCTGGATAACGTTAGGGGTAAATTTTAGGAACCGATGAACTTCGATCCCATCCTCATCATCATCATCCATGCCTAAGGCTGCCGTCCCGTTTCACTGCATGCTTACCTTCTTCTACAGACTGAAATAGAGCACACCACATTATCCGTATTTGGACGGCTCGCTTCCTAAACAACTTTAGGTTGCGCAAAACACGACACAACGTCGACTGGCGAGGCCCGATATTCCGGTGTGGAGCGCCGAAATGAGGCCAAATGGTTGCCGGAACGCGCCGGGAAAAGTGCGCAAGGTAACTACGTAACTCTACCTATTGAAACGTATACTGTATAGATCACTCATTACACCATCTGCTACATTTCGTGCACACAGATCGACAATCTATTACAGGAGATATTAGAGAGAACGTGAGAGACAGCGCTGGTCGGTCCCAGATCTGCCGAGTGTGCGACTTTGCGATGCGGTCCCCCCCAGATTACCTACACCATATCATCCCGTCTCGAACGGCTGGCCAAAGGCCCAACCCATCCATTGCCTCGGTGGTGAGCATTCAGCCTGCTGTCTCAACAAGCGACCCGCAACCAAAAACGCATATGTACTGTACAATGAAACACCTAGGTGATCATCACGGCCAGGGCAGAATCGGCCAGTACAGCATATACCTTACTTACACTACTAATAAGAGACCGAGAGGTTGCAGCCCAAGTGTTAGACTCGACGAACCCGAGACCTAGGCTGAAGCGGGCCGGCACGGACAATGTGGGTACCCTAAACGTGCATAGAAGGTGAGAACCGCGCTGGGAGAAGGAACCCAGCGGCACCACAAATTCGGGAAACCGCTCGCTGATGAGCGGGAGAGCTCGGTCACCTTCCCGGATGATGACATGCTGTGTAATAGGTACAGTACATACGTACTACCACACTGATGTCAGGCGCCTCTGCTATGCAAGCCAGTCGCAGAAATATGGAAATTGGAGAAGCCTAAAGATTGTCTCGGCACAATATGGTTCGATCTTGAAGAATTTTGCAGTTTTGGGACAGTTGCTCCCAAACACTCATCTTTACGAAGGGGATCGTTGGGAGGACCAAGGGCAACGTTGGGAGGACCAAGGGCAACGTTGCGAGGCCGGTCGGGGAGCGACGGGACTCGGGAGAGAGCGAGGATGCCAAGGGCCCCTTTCTCACCTTGAGGGCTCTAGCTCAGCCAAGTACGAAGATTGGGTGCGCTTTCTCCATCTTCTGCCGTCTGGTACCTCTAGCTTCTGACGCTATCAAGGGACAATCCAATTTTCAAGATCGCTTGCAGCACCGAACGTTCTGTTCGGATATTCATGAGTCTTTTTCTTTTTCTCCCCTTGAAAGGCCACCCGCCCAGCAGGGCATACGTTGCAGATGCGACCTGGTGGCAACCTCTGACCTACCGTTCTTGTGCAACCAGCATACGCTAGCCCACCACTATCACTTGCGACGTGGGGTTCATTACTGCCAAGGAGGGGGATCAAGAGAGTTTCGCCGAGACCAACTGAACCGCATCACTGAGGTCGGCCCAACGAAGTGCAAGACTACACGTATGGCACAGCAGGCCACTGGCGCCTTCACGAGGCAAGTTGCTCGGATTTCACGCTAGAGTTTTGATACCTTTCGCCAACTCAAATCTGGTATTCAATATCGGAAAATACGGTGACGGCGAGTCTGAAACTGGAGAATTAGCCCGGGGAACGTGGGGGAGCCCTCAATCCAGATTCTCCAATCCGAACTCGCTCTGCTTCCGTTTCACCTGCTAACGATATGCTTCCGCACGTTTTAACCACACCGCAAAAGGTCGAAGATGTGTGCCCGTAGCGGCACTCACTGGCCCTTGGCTTGGAACATAGATCCAGACCTTCATGGATTACCGGCGGCAAGCAAACCTACCAGTCCTGCTTGATACAGGCAGCTATTTCGCTATTTGCTTGTGATGTCGTTACAGCGCCCAAACTTCCCGAATGCCGATGTACCCAAAACATGCCGGCAGCGAACTGTTTGAAACGGCACTGGAACAATCATGATCGTCCCAGTACCGGCCCCCGACTGGGGCCTTGAGCTCGCGGAGCCGTCAGACACTTATCCAAGCGCCCATGGCAGGCATCTTCGTCTGATGTTCGTTCGAGGACGCGGCTGGCCCAGGTCCAGCCTTTGCGTGGAAACACGTTTACAGTGACATCCAGCAGCGCCCACCCGGCGATTGCGACGTCCATCGCTCCAACATTTACTCCAACTCAGCGTGCCATCGCCGCTGTGGTGTGACCTACTCCGAGGAAGCGATCCTGGCTTCATGAAATCCGGGTAAATGTCTGGGTAACGCATGCCAGGCTCAACAGACCGATCCCTATCCCGCCCGATTTTCACCCACAGGCGCTGCATGCGACCTGGAGAAGCTCTAGGAGCCGCGCTCGGCCGACCTTGATATTCCGCGGTCCATGGCAGTTGTCCGCCGTGTATTACAACTTCTTAGGAACCCCTTTCCATGCTTAGCGATGAGACTGTCGGCAACCAGAAGACACAATATTCCAAGTGCGGCCGGCACTTTGACATCTGCAAACCCTATGGTGGCTTTCATCGCCAAAAATAATGCTGCAGGCCGTCAAGTGGTTCAAAAGCGCCATCACATCTCGCCAGCCAATGTGTGCCGTCCGTTTGCTCTTCCACGCCAATCTAACGTCAGACTAAGACCATATCCAGTATCGTCCATCGACAGACAAGTCTCATGTCTGGTCGATGAGTGCTGCCTAGGAAATTTTGAAGCGACGAGGCCAACGAAACATTCTCAAGCACAGTCTTGCCGGATCACCATCCACGTGCCACTCGTCATTTCCCCAACCGCCATCACCAACCACTCTCACCCTGCCTTGCAGCACGCATTTCAAAAGGCTGTCTGAAAGCCCAATTTGGAATGAGATCAGAGCATTCCACATCCTGTTTTACGCACCGTCGCCCACAACCCCAAGGATCAATCTGCTTCACGAAGAGCAACATGACTGACCTGGTTGTGCTTACTACTAATCATTTTGAGATTTGACTAATCCCGCTTCCTCAATGATACTCTCACCTGCTCTCCTACACGCCTGAGTTTGACCGACGTGCCTGGCGGGCTTCATTGCAGTTTAACCCTATCTTCGTCGCGTCGACCCATTACGACCTTGGAAAGATCTGTCTCTGGTAGAAGCAATGCTCGGTCCCCATTCGGTTTTAGCCTTCAAATGACTCCTTCTAGAAAGCCTGCTGGGCATGAACTGTGGAGCTGCCACTGGAGGCGTTGATGACCCTCCATGTCCACAAGCCCCTCACATTCATTAGCTCTGATATGGACTCACAGACGACTGCCCTGCTTTGCCAGGCTACCAACCCCCCGCTTTCGAATGCTTACTCTACGGACACTGATACTCAGAATTCCATTTCAACAATATGGGTGGCGGTCTGCGACAGCGTAATAGGTTGCGTTGTCCGCCTCCATGTTGAGTTCTCTACGGTCTAGTTGGTCGGCGGATGGGCGAACAGTGCAGCGCTGTAACATGAGCAAGTAAGGGCATAGAGGGACAGGCGCAATAGACTGCATGAGCTTGAAGGGATGAGATACAGCCCTGTGATGCTTGGTATAAGCGAGAGAATATTTCTGGAGCCGCGTACCGGTAATTCCTTTACCGCATCAAGATGTTCCCCTTCGAGATGACTGGTACTCCCTAGCATCCGGCTATCAGAAAGTTGCCCTTAAAGCCCAACTCAGCTCTTCTTATAACCCGGCGAAAATATACGGCAATCATGGTTATGTACGGATACTGTGCATTCCATACAGCAGTCGTTCCTCTCGCGTAATCTACCCACTCATTGCGGGGTCACTGATCCACGGGACTGGGTCCAGAAGCGAGTGGGTGTGCTAAGGAAGCTGGGACCGGACGTTATTTGCAACCAACTTTTGCCTGCTTCACATGCAGTGTATGTAAAAGATTGCAGTGTATTATAACGCTGATTATAACAGTCTATGCCCTTACCCAATCCATCGGGTAATTGAACTTTGCTGCGTCATATCGAAGATCTCCAAGAGTATTCAATGGTGTTGCGCTTGATTGGCAAGGCTTCCCGGTGTATGGCCGGCAGGTGCTCCCGGAGCCAGACGGCATCCGTGACCCCACAGTTCCCGCGCCTCGACCTCGCCAAGACCTGTGACGGCCGAATTGGGATCCACCAGGACGGTGTTATGCAGACTTTTTCACAACCACCATGGGAAGGTTTTCATCACCCGCAGGAATCTAGCCCTCCGCGCTAACCTCGTCCGCCCACCTACTTCTGGGTTCGAAATCGCGCTCAATATTTCCTCTTTCTTGCCCTTCTTCTCCCCTTCCTCCTCGTCTCTTCCTCGTTCTGCTCACTGAAAGTGTCACGTTAGCGCTCAACGCTTCAGCTTGAGCACCTGCACTAACGCAGACCGAAACCTTGGTGCCGTCAACCCCACCTATGCACCTCTCCAGATCGGCGTTCCTTGACTCTCTCTACTCGCCAGCACTGAGGTTTATGTGCTGGCCCAGGCGGCAATAGCTGAACAGCAAGCGACTTGAAGTCTTTGCGCTTGCTGAAGGGGACGTAAGAAAGACTTACCTGCGGCGTTTCTTGATACCACTATACGTATTTCGGTATCCCTCTCTCGGAGCCGGTTTTGTGATCGCAAGTGTTGCGTCTATCTAAACCGCTATTGACACTGCTCGGCCGCGCTCCGATTCGAGAAACTTTCCCATAAGGGTTGTCGCGCGGATTTTTCGAGTCAACATGGCCGCGACAAACAACCCCACCCTGACCGCTGAGCCGGTCCTGTCCAAGGTCGACAGCGAAGGCGGCGGCTACGGAACGACAGGCGCCATCAACACCACCGCTGTCGGTACCGGCGAGACCCGCACCTCGCTGTCCTCCGATGCCGAAGCCGCTGCGGTAGCGGCCGGCCTCCAGCAGCTCGAGGCTCGCAACACACACTGGTATTCGTACCTGCTGACCGCCGACTTTTGGCTGGTCATCGCCGTCGGCCAGATCCTCGCGCTCTGCATCACGGGAACCAACACCTTCACGAGCTTCCTGTCAAGCGTAGGGACCGTCATCCCCGCTTTCCAGACCCTCTTCAACTACGCTCTCCTCACTCTGGTCTGGCTTCCCATCACACTGTACCACTACGGCTGGCGCAAGTGGCTGGGCATTGTGTGGCGCGACGCCTGGAAGTACTTCATCCTCAGCTTCCTGGACGTCGAGGGGAACTACTTCACCGTGCTGGCGTACTACTACACGAACATCCTCTCGGCCCAGCTCATCAACTTCTGGGCCATTGTCTGCGTCGTCATCCTGTCGTTTACGCTCCTCCGCGTGCGGTACCGTCTGGTGCAGATCACGGGCATCCTCATTTGCTGCGGCGGCATGGGCCTGCTGCTTGCCAGCGACCACATTACGGGTTCCAACGGTGGTACTGGGCGGGATATGCTCAAGGGGGACCTGTTTGCCCTGCTCGGCGCGACGCTGTACGGGATCAGCAACGTGTTTGAGGAGTGGTTCGTCAGCAAGCGGCCGGTGTACGAGGTGCTTTCGTTTCTGGGCATCTTTGGCGTGTGCATCAACGGCGTTCAGGCCGCGATATTCGACCGGCACTCGTTCGAGGGTGCCACTTGGAACGGCGACGTGGCTGGCTGGTTGGTCGGCTACACGCTGTGCCTGAGCATCTTTTACTCGTTTGCCCCCTTGATCTTGCGCATGGGCAGCGCCGCCATCTTTGATGTCAACTTGCTGACGGCGAACTTTTGGGGTGTCATTATTGGGACTCGGGTTTTTGGGCTTACGGTCCACTGGATGTACCCCATTGCCTTTGTCCTCATTTTATGCGGGTTGATTGTCTACTTCTTGTCTGGCAGCATCCTTGGCGATTCCAAGAAACCGTGGCTGGGGGAGAACCAGAGGCATGGTGTCACTGGTATTGGGACGGCCAAGCTGAGGGCGCTGCATGAGGCGAGGAAGAAGGGCTTGGTTGTTGGAAACGCTGGGGGGGTGGCCCATCAGGCTTAGGGTGATGGCGGTGGGAGCAGGAGTGGGAGTGATGGGTACTGAGTCGTGTTCGCGGCTATTGTTGTGCATGGTTGGAAAGTTGGAAGTCGATTTCAAATATGACAAGACTTTTGGATGGTTTGATAATGTCAAAAGTGTCTCGGAAGCAATGTATCTCGGGCTTTGTTCACAAGAAGCCGATCAGGGGTGTCCTGCGAATATTCAACTTGGGTTAGGGTCTAATTACCGGGTCAGCTCATTCAACCCCTTGTTCTTGAGCCGCTCTTAGTCAGACATCTGTATGCAGTCATCTTAAGATGACCCTCCCCCTTCGTCCAGCCCCTCACCACGCAGCGGGCTTTGCTTTGCCCTTGACTTGCTCCTGCACATGTACAGCTCCTTTCCTCCAGTCCCCTACTGGTCATACCACAGACCGACAGCGAGAATGGCGTCAGCCCAGGGCCAGCCTTCAACCCCTTACTTGGGCTATGGAAGTAATATGTGGAAGGAGCAAATGGCTCTCCGATGTCCCGCGTCCCCTTTCATGGGCGTCGGCCGTTTTCGCGGCTACAAATGGTTCATCAACGCTCGTGGATACGCCAACATTGTCCCGGTTACTGTGACTCCTGACCCCAAGCCCGGGTCGGAGACCAGAGGCACGGCGGCGACTGATGGCAGCACGAAGGACAACGGCGGCAGCAATACCAGCACCAGAACTAGTAACGACGACTATGCGAACCAAGTCTGGGGCCTCGTATACAACCTTTCCCCCGAGGACGAGGCCCAGCTCGACATCAACGAGGGCGTGCCCTACGCCTACGAGAAGCGCATGCTCGAGGCTGAGTTCTGGCCTGCTGTTGGTCATAAGTCTAGTACTAGGCTCTGGGCCAGGAGGACTCGGAGCAAATGTCAGAAGAAGACGCTGCTGCCCGTGCTGGTGTACATTGACTTCCAGCGGGCCGACGACCACAACCACGACCACGAAGGACAGCAGCACCTCCCAGGGGACGAGTACGTGTATCGGATGAATAGGGGGATCAAGGACGCGCTAAGGGAGGGGGTTCCAGGGGGATATGTCGAGAAAGTGCTGAGGCGGGACATACCCCCGCGCGAGAACGAGGAGGAGGACGAGGTGGAGGTGGAGGTGGATGACATGGAGACAAAGGGGGCTTGGAACTTGAAGCAGGTGAGGGGCCGGGCGGGCAGGTTGTTGAGGAGGGTGAAAGTGGTGCTGCTGAGAGCGGTGAGCTGCGGTAGTACTACCAGAAGGGGATGTGGGTGTATGGCCTGGGGCTGTGGGAGAGAACCTGAACGGGCACAACGGGACGGGGATTCAAGTTGGTAAGTAGATTGGGTTGGGTGGTTAGAGGATCTGAGCGTGTATCTAGACGAGACGATAGAGATAGGTATTGATGTCCAGGGACGAGGGGGGCAATTGTTAAGCTGTTCCGGGCATGTGTGTTAAATCCCTTGAATAAGGTAGGTAGTAAGTGCAGGGTACGACGGCTAGGATCCAGATTAAGGAGAATGGAGAGTGAACTGCAACGGCACCTACCTTACCTAAAATTGTTCATGACAAATAGACAGCAGTAAGCAGTTCAAGGGAGTTGAGCTTGCCCACTATCAGGATCAAGTTATGACAGTCACAATATTGTTCAAGGTGTGCATTCGTAAGGTAGCCTTCAGATTTCCGTACCCTACAAGTCAAAACACTCTGCCACCGAGTTTGGAAGTAACCGACTCATCGTGTGTCTTCCTTGATGTTTCTACCAACGTTTGTTTTTGGAATGATAAGCATAGCAGAGTATGTGTTAAAACACTTCTTTAAGAAAGGAGATAGAGCAAATGAGAGGAAGAGAAGAACATAGTAGAAAATAAGAAAGCAAAAAGGTATGCCTCATCTAAGAATCGAACCTTGAAGCAAAAAAGGGGGTATGAGCCTAGACTACACTCCGGGACAGTACCATTCGTCGACCGGAGGCTATCCAGGTATTTTCTCAACCCTGCGCTGGAACCGCTACACCACAACGTCGTTGAAAAGTGTAGTGGTTCCTGTTGAAGACCTGCTCACTTGGACTAACCTATATACCTCCCGCCACCAACTTTTTAGCCACTTCTTTGGTCAGTTTCTCTTGTTGACAACCACAATGGCAGCAATCACAGCATACTTTTGCTCTCGATGTCCCTTTTTCAGCTCCAAGTAAGCATTCTTAAAACCACTCTTCTAGCTATCAGAACTTCACGTTACAGAGCCCGTCGGACCCATCATGATAATATTCCAAGTCAAAAAAAGGCGACGCTCGCAAACTCAGAGACCAATACTACAAGTAATGCCTTGGGCATCCCCCAGCAACAGTACAGGCCGGAATGGAGTGATGATCACTGGCTCCACGATGCCATGAGAACTGTGGCATGTGAGATCAGGCCTGGAGCCCGAATTGGAACCAAAAACCGGATGAGAACCAGTCTGGATGGAGTCTTTGCCCTTGAAGTATTGATTTCGCACCGTCTCGAGATGAATGTTTTCATAGCTCACACAAATCGGCAGTGGATTCGTCTGAACCGAAGTAGAACGCATACAGGACAGTGTGGTTAGGTGGGAGTCTCAAATAAAGCTCACAGCATAACACGGGACCATTTCTGCCTTTGGATGGTGTTTAATGTTTATCAGGACTCGGAATGCAAGGGCTCACCTTTCTTTCACTTGTTTGCCTGTCGTACCTAGGTGTCTCAGGGCGGAACAATTGAATCTGGGATTGAACACCGGTCTGTTTGCACAACATTGCGCTGGGTGCAGAATTTCTTTGTGAACAATCATGTATTTAATTCTGTCAATATTGAGGCTTTGAGCTGGGCTGGTTTCGATGTTAGTACCTGCCCATCAAAGCCCCAACACCAGCCTGGCGAGGAAAGCATCGATGCGGTCCTCCACAGGCTACAACAGCCCAAGGGGGAAATCCACTGTTCGAGTTAGAATCGCCTTCAGTCAAATGACCTGGCTTAACACACGGAGACTGCGATTTCGCTGCTAAGAGTACTTTCACCTACCGGGGCGTACTACGAGGGACCGGCGGTCTCGGAAGCCTCATCCTTCTCATCTGATCCCGGTTTCCATCCTGTGCGACTTCCCGATCTTTCCCCTAACGCATTTACTTCTGCAGGACGGGTGGCTGCAACCCACTGGCATCTGACTTGCCGCCTGTCAACCAGCATTTACAACCCACTGGTGTGCCTCTGGCAGTCATTGCTGTGCGGTCGGTTGTCATTCTCCACCTGTCATCAGCCTTCCAGACAACGACCATAATCCACATGGTCGAATCAGATGGACATTGTGTAAGTATAAGCTTCTCCTTCCCGAGACATTCGCAAATCATTGTACCTGGATTTCCCTTTCAGCGTGCCGACACTCGAATTTTCGTACCAAACCTTTGACCAACATCCGCTGCCGCGAAAACTGGCCTCGAACTTCCCTTCATTAGCTAGAATCGCTTGCTCGGATACTGGAGCCGTTGACTGACATAGCTAAAATACCTACAAAACAGTCAGCCTAATCAGAAGTGGTGCTAAACATGGCATCACCCGCTCGGCTTGCCGAGCCTGGATCACGGCCGGTGTCAATCTTACGGTCATCGGCTTTCCCGACATCTCCCTCGCACCAGGACGCCTCCAGCACTTCAAGTAGAGACCGGTACTATGCCGAGAACTCTCAGAATCCGCTTCCTGAGATTGCTACTGCCGAAGTCTCCCAGAACCCGCCTCCCCAGTCCATCGCTATTGACGAATCCAATCAAGAATCCGCGCCCACCACCTTTCCGTTTCGTGAGACCGAGCATAAAGAAGCCGATGCAATGGAGGACGATTCTGACGGCCCATGGTACCAACAGATCTATGACAGGATCTCCAGAACCGGCTGGCTTATCATTGTCCTTTCTGGTCTTGGTATCATGGCTGTTATCTTGGGAATTCTAGGAGGAAAGGGCATCCTCTCCGGGTCTGGGTACGTTGCGAGTCCAAAAGCAGTCAGGAAGTCGACCGCTGACCTCTTCCTAGGAGCTCTAGTGCAGATAGACCTAGTTCTGCAAGCCCTACAACCGAGTTTTCATCACCTAGCACCTCAACAACAAGCTCTGCTAGTCCATCTTCCACGGTAAGAGTTCCCAGTTACTGTATTGTCTTTCTCTCGCAACTTCTACCTCTGTCCACCACAACCGTCGCCCTCTCCGCCCCTTCCCCACTCCTTTCACTATCCTCTCAACCGCTTCTGCAACGAATCACATGCAGCCACCCCTTAGACACCCGAATCAGCCGAATAATAAGCTCACAGACTTCCCAGGCAATAATACGAGCGGACTGCAAAAACGAATCCAACTTCATAGCAGACGCTACCTGGATCGGCACGGAATCGGGGCCGTACGCGAACGAGTTCGTTCAAGCCAAGTCGGCGGTGGCCTGCTGTGACGCCTGCGCCGACTCGCCCGGCTGCGCGGGGTGGCTATACGTTGCCTCGTCCATGTTTACTCCGTGCACCAAGATCGTCGTCAGCTCCAGCCCCGGCGGGGAAAAGGACAACATGTGTCCAAACGGCCACACGCCTGGGACAATCTTCGTGGTGGAGAAGGGGAAAGATGATAAAGGAATCGCTGGGCTGGGACCGTGCAGCGGCAGGGCACTTGTCAAACCCAAGTAGCGTTGAGTTGGTAACGTCCAGGGTGACATGTCCGCGGGGCTTCCGGTCCGACAACCTGGTGGTCGATAGAGCATAAGAGGCGCATTCTAAGACTGGCTTAATCCTCAAGATTCCAAGCGTTTGCTTCTGACCCCATGGCAGGAAACCGTATCTTACGGGATATGTGGGATTGTTCTAGAAGTGGTGTCTTTACAGGCGGCTCAACATGGATTGTGGGAGACATTGTTCACTAGATACCCCTTCATTTGATACACTCGTCACGTTGCGGTGACAATGGCATTCTCTGCTCTGCGCTTTGCTCACAAAGATAAATGTACAAGTACAAGCCCTTCCCAGAAAACCCTGTCTATGCACCTTCAAACCAATACCAAGCACCTGCCTCGCAAGACTCCGGCCCGTTTAGGTGTCGGCGCGAAAGAAAACGGGCAAGCGAGGCGAAATGCGCAGAAGTTGCATCTCCTCGGCTTGTGCCATTCCGTCCTTGCTGAAAACATGGCAATGACCACCTCTACGCATCCTTGCTCCTGAAGTAGAACTCTATCATCAGAGACGGAGCAGCTTGGCGGCGTACTGCTCAATGAGCCCCTCAGTCGGGAAGCTCATCTCCTCGAGCTTCTGGGCGTACGGGGTAGGGACATCGGCACCAGTGACACGCTGGGCGGGGGCGTCGAGGTAGTCGAAAGCGTACTCCATGGTGAGGGCCAGGATCTCAGCGCCGACGCCAAAGGCGGGGAACCCAGACTCGACGGCCATCAGGCGGTGCGTCTTCTTGACCGACTTGACGATCGCCTCAACGTCGAGCGGCTTGATGCTGCGGAGGTTGATGACCTCGCACTCGACGCCGTACTTCTTCTTGAGCGCCTCGGCGGCCACGAGGGTCTGGCCAACGCAGCGCGACAGCGTCACCATGGTCAGGTCCTTGCCGGCGCGCTCAATCTTGGCCTTGCCAAAGGGGATCACAAAGTCGTCCTTTTGCGCCGCCTCGGACATGGGGAACGACTGGCCGTACATGAGCTCGTTCTCGAGCACCACGACCGGGTTCGGGTCCCGGATGGCCGCCTTGAGCAGGCCCTTGGCGTCCTCGGCGGACCAGGGCGAGACTACCTTGAGCCCCGGCACGCTGCCGTACCAGGCCGAATAGTCTTGCGAGTGCTGCGCGGCGACGCCGGCGGCGAAGCCGTTGGGGCCGCGGAAGGTGATGTTGCAGGGCTGGATGCCGCCCGACATGTAGAGCGTCTTGGCGGCCGAGTTGACGATCTGGTCGATGGCCTGCATGGCGAAGTTGAAGGTCATGAACTCGCACTGATGGGGGCAAGCTTCGCGTTAGCGTGTTCCTGCGGAAGCAACTAACTAGCTGGCATGGTGTGAGATGCAATGCAAAGGGATCTACCGACCACCGGGTGCAGGCCGCTCAGCGCGGCTCCAACCGCCAGACCGCAGAATCCGCTCTCCGTGATCGGTGTGTCGATGACGCGCTTGTCGCCGAAACGGTCTAGTAGGCCCTTGGTGACCTTGTATGCGCCGTTGTACTGGGCAACCTCCTCGCCCATGATGAAGACTTTGGGGTTGGCCTCGAGCTCCTCGGCGAGCGCCTCGTTCAGGGCCTCGCGGACTGTGTACTCCTTGACGCCAGACGCATCGGCATACGTCCGTTTTTGTACGCTAGGGACAGCAGCGGCTTTGTGGAAGAGAGGAGCCCTCGCGGAAGGGCGCACGGCCGATGGCCGTGCTGTCGCCGCAAGGCGGACCGCCGTCCGGAGACCGCGCATTATCTCTGATTAGCTAAGGGGTGAAAGGAAGAACGGGAAAGAAACAGTGTAACGGGGGCGGAACAAAGTCAATTGATGAAGCCCGGTTTCAGACCACGGAGAAAGGCGGGCAATGAAGCCGGCACGCTGCAAATGGTGGTGATGCGGAAGGCCGAAGAGCTGACAGCGCCGGAGGGAATTTTTCTTCGCAACGATTGAAGGCTTTGGGCGGTTCCGGACTTGACGTTGAACCCCCAACGATAAATCCGCGCTAGTGCCAGAGCGGCTTAGTGCGCCACTAATCCCTGTCATTGCTTGTTGCTCAAGGTGGTCCGGCCGCTTGGCTCCTGCCTTTCATTCCGAATCTCTCAAGATTCCACACTTACGGCAACTACGAAGTATCAACCTCTACTAATCACAAGTGTTCTTTGTTTGGGTAAGTGAAGAATGGAAGCTGCCACTGCATAGACTTTCCTGTACTTATTGTGGTTCGGCTGGGCATCTGGAACTTGAACCTTTGGCCACTTCAACCACACAAAATCCACCGATATCCTTCCACCGCTTTTCAGTAACTGAGTCTGTCTGCTTGCATGTGAGAAATAGGACCTGGGTATACAAATCATCTCCCCCTTCCTACTTTTACCCCCTACGGGCAGAATGTGGCATAGCGGTAGTAGTAGCCAGTACTCCTCCCGAACTGGACGGAGATCCCCTGTTCGATTCACCGACCGATTTCGCATATACGCCCAATTCGCAGCTACCAGATACATCGCCATGAAAGAGAAAATGCCACCCAGGGTCAATGATCATGCTAGGACGATGGCTTTCACTTAGATGTACGATGGGTCGACAATCCCGGACTCTGGAAGGGCACCGACGAGGATGTCGCAAAGACTGATCTCTTAAACCAGCGCGCACGTGGATAGCAAACGGCAAGAAACATCTGGGAGAAGGATGATGTGAAGGAGCGTCCAGGCTGCTCTCCCAGTCCCCTTAGGGAAGGGGTTGCGAATGTGGACTTGACTCCCGAGACCACCACGCCCGGGTTCGTGCGGCTCCCCGTCTGCAGCGCTGAGCGCGAGGTCATTCCATTGAGATTGGTGGAGGATCAGGGATATAATTCCTGATCTCGGCGACCGAAACAGGCGGGCAACCGCTGGTTTCCGCATGAGTACGAGAATAGAGGGGAAACAGGATCACTAGCAGGACTAGCCGGTCTGCAGGGCCGACGTCGACCTTGCTAGGGACGAGGTTTCCGTGGACATGGTGGACCCGGGCTGGTAGGACATCAACATCTACTGCCTGGACCCGGATTCGTTCCGTGCTGCTGGCGACGTGCGCCGCCCAATGATGAGGACGACGAAAAAAAAAAAAAACAGAGGACCTGGGCGGCCGTTTGAGAGGCTGTTCGATGAGCATGAGCTCCGGGACAAGAACAATCATCTCAAGCTCCAGAACCAGTTCCTAACGAGAACTGGATGCCTGCCAGCAGGATTTCGAGACGGCCGTCGAAGGCAAGATGCGCGCTAGAGCTGAGAGATAGAGACGAGAAACTCTACGAATTCCTCGTCAACGCCCCGCCTACAGCGCTAAGCGCTCGTTCTGATTGCGTAGTGTAGTATGTGAACGACACTCTCTTACTTTACGGACGCCCATGTTTCGATTCTTCGTCGTAAACTCGAAACCTTTCTTGAGAGCTGAGCACCCTGCGTCCCCAGCACACTTAAATTTTGACAGACATTCGTTCCCGAGCGCTGCTCCCATCTTCAACGCCACCAGCACGAACTCCTCGCATCTCGAGCAGTGCATGCATGGTATCGCGTGCCGCTGAGCCAGAGCTCGATGAGAAAGGGAATGCCGATCTCCGGGCCTGAACCCCGGGTTTTATGCCTCGACCCTAACACTCTTTCCCGGCTGGCGGCGCCGTCAGACCCGGGTGAGTCCTCGGCCGTACTGCCAGTTCCATCTCGACGTCGCCATCCTTCTGAGCGCGAAGTGAACGCGGTGTTGACAGCGTGAGGTTGTCCGACGACGGGCCGCTTGGCAGAAAAGCCAGAGCGCAGACGGGTGTTGCCAGCCCACAGTTGCCGAGCCTAGGCGCAAGGTGTGTGTGCTGGGTTCGGCCGGTCTGGCAGGCTGCACCAGGGTCTGGGATACACTTGACGTGGCTTTCTGTATGAAGACGCCGGACGTAGGGGAGGTACCTAGAATGGCGACTTTTCTGGTAGCAATCCAAGTTCCTCGTCGTCGCTCTCCCCCTCGTCGTCGCTCTCCCCCTCGTCGTCGCTCTCC